TTTGATACGATGGAATGGAATGAATGGATGAACCAAAAACTCAAGGGTATTTCGCTTTCTCAGAATGGAAAAACACAACAAAAAACCAGCTAGCCTCCCTCTCATGACGACGCTACAAGACGAGACGTGTCTGTCTGTCTGTCTGTCTATCCGACTGGGACTAGGCGGGCGAGTCTGTACCTAGGTCGGGTAGGTAGTTCCGCACGTATGTATGTATGATTGTGTTATATATGTCTATTTGCATGCACGCACGCGCAGTCTCAACGTTTCACAAACACGGCGTCTAGGGAGCCCCCGAGGAAAGGGGCATTTCATCGCAAAATGGGCTAACTTCTGTTGTTGTGAATTTCAATGCGTCGCGTGGCTACTGGGATACTATTTGCGTGCGGTGGAAACTTGAATATGTGGACATGTAAGTAGGATATCATGGAGTGGAGGAAGACGCAAGATTGCTGGAAACTGATCAGAGGGGAGAAGAAACACGGTCGCAGGTGTGAATCCTCGACGTTGTGTCTGAAGGGGAAGAAGATGATGATATATTTATGGTACCTATTTGGTATTTGGGGATGGTTTATTCTTGATATCTTTTAATTGGACGTGCTCACTCACCATCACTAAAAGGGGAGAATATAGCGACGCGCTTCCAAGAATGTACATGATGGAACTCCAATACTAGTAGTAGACCCGCTGAACCTGAAGGCAGTGGAAGCAGAAAAATGAAAGAATCTCTAAAAAGGCAAAACAAACAAAAGTGTGGTCATCTGCAGTCGTCTAATAAACCCAAGCGCCGGAGGAACATCAAGGTATCGAAGAAAGGCCAGGCCATACCGTGGCAAAACCCAGAGCTCAGTTGTCCAACGATCCGCGTGACAGAAGGAGGGAAATTGTCTTGAGGTTGGGGTACATATCAACTGTCAAAGTGATATGTCGCCGCCGCGGTCGCTCTCAAACTGGAGAAAAGTGGTCAAAAAGTAACACAGCCCAAACTCCCAGTTTGCGCCCCACGTCTCCCGGGGTATATTCCGCACCCGGAAGAGAATCTCAATGAAGGGAAAGTTTAGAGTTCCAAAACCCCACATGGCTTGTACCCCGCCTCAATCACCTGCCAGGACTGTCAGTGTTGTACGATTTGCTGCAGAAAATTCCCTGGATCATGATGGGGATGCAAGTCGGACAGTCCCGGGCCGGACGGACTTTGAATTTTTCTCGGGAAAAACAGTACTCGGATTCTGGTCGGTGATAGGCAAGCGGAGACCGAGGTTGAGAGGGAGCAATCTGGAAGGTGAACTGCCCAGATGCACCAATTCAAAACTCATGCTTGTTGCTCATCGCGTGAGAGAACCTTTGTTTGGCAGAAATAGGGGGTGTAACACTTCGACTCCATGAGCGCGTGAATCGTCTATCGTTAACTGGCTTGGGGCTGCTGTCAAAATTTGTCGGTTGAGTAACCCTGACCCCACACTGGCTGGCCGTTCGTCACATGTCACATGTCACATCTGGACAAGCAAGTCTTTTTGTCTATGACCAAACATCTTCCTGGTAGACACCACTGCTGCGCATGCTCTTGACCACTTGTTCGGCTTTCTTTTCATCAATACCTCGTTCTTTAGCAATGATTTGCCCTAGAACTTCATTGACCTCCCGAGCCATACGGGCCGCATCACCACAAACGTAGAAGTTGGCCTTTTGTTGTAGAAGATCGTTGACCAATTTTCCGTTCTCTTTGATATGATGCTGCACATAGACCTTGTGTGCCTGTTCTCGGGAGAAGGCATTGAAAATGGTGAGCTTGTCGCCGAGGGCTTTCTTGTATTCCTAGGATTCCCGTTAGTAAAAGAATATTCTGGACATGGATTAGAACTCGACTTACCTCCCACTCGTCTCTGTATAGCCAGTCTTCTGAAGACTTTCGGCATCCGAAGAAAAGGACTGTGTGACCGACATCCTCGCCTTTCTTCGCAAGCTCCGCACGCTCCTGAACGAATCCACGGAAAGGAGCAACACCGGTACCGGGTCCGACCATGATGATGGGCTTGCTTGGATTCGAGGGTAATTTAAAGTTGGAATGACGAACATGAACAGGTACGTGTATACCGTCATATTTGTTGCGTGGACCCGTGATTGAATAGGTGAGACCATGAGGAGATGGATTTGGTTCACCATTCTGCTTCTGCTTCAGAGCCAGGAGGTAATTTGTGGTTACACCTTTGACGACGTGACCAGCACCAGGAATGCGAAGAGATTCGACTACCGCAGTAACCGAAATCTTCTGTGGTTGAACCAGCGATGAGGAAGAGATGGAATAATAGCGAGGTTGCAACTTGTTCAGACCTTCAACGAGACAGGAGAAAGGAACAGCAGACCACGGCTCACTGTAGACTGCGGACACGGCTTGTGCAATGTTGAGCATCTGTGACGAGATCTTATCCTTGAAGTAGTCGGCATCTGAACCTAGTCGAGTAGCCTCCTTCTTGGCCGCCTCGTTTGGAGCAAAGGCAGCCAAAGTCGCCATGAATTGACGTGAGACAGGAGCACAGATCTCGATATGATAGCGGACGGCGGCATCATAGGTGGTCGGCGTGGGGAATGGGACCTTTGCAGTTGGGTCAATACCCTTTAAGCTAATGACAGTATGGCGTTTGGATTCCAAGCCGAAGGTCTTGAGGAAACGGTCGACTTCCATTCCAGCATTGGTGGGCCAGACAGCGATGTGATCACCCGTAGTGTATGACATACCCGAACCTGAAATGTCGATCTCGACGTGAAGACAGTTACGGTCCTTGACAGTAAAGACTTCTCGCGATTCGGCAATGGGAGCAATGAAAGGATTATGCGCGTTATAAGGACCTTTTTGAGTGCCCTCCAGATGATTCTTGTTGGGCTCACCAAGGTAGACGGTATCATCCTCAACGGTCAAGTCTTCCTTTTCTTCCACATTGAACACAGGTTCGTAGACAGCCTCGCGTTCCTCGAGACCCATCTTTTCAGCCAGGGCAGTCCACATTGGCTCTTTCCAGGCGAGAAAGTCCTCTTCCATGGTGCCAGCGCCATCGTCACCCTCACCAGCGGTGCCAATTCTCTCGGCACCCAAGTTTGTAAGGATCTTGTCAAGGTTGCGAACCATGAGGTTGTAGTGCTCGTAGGTGTTGTTTCCCAGGCCAAACGCAACATACTTGAGTTTTGAGAGTGGTTTTTCTTCGCTGGCTTCGGAGAAGGAAGGAGGATCGTTGTTGATGAATTCCCAGAACTCAACCGCGTTATCGGTGGGCTCGCCCTCGCCATAGGTGGCCATGACGAAGAAGGCGATCTTGTCGTCGGGGAAAGTGTCGAGGTTCTCAAAGTCGTAGTCTTCCAAATCGGCGGTCATGGTACTGAGACCGAAGCGGGCATGGCCCTCTTTAGCCAAACGAGAAGCATAGTCCTCTGCAGTACCAGTCTGAGAGCCATAGAATATCACACAGTTCTTGCCGGTCTCTTCTAATTTCTCCACAATGTTTCGAGAACCCTTCTTCGCAGCACTGCCATTGAGGGCAGAGTTTGCATAAGGGTCCTTGGGGACGCCCCAGTAGGTTCCTTTGGTGAAGTAGGCAATGCTACCAATGAGAAGGACCACCAGGACGATGATATCTAGAGTATCGACCTGAGCCATGTTGGCGGGGTATGGGTGGCTGACAGGCGAGGACAGAAGGGACGGACGAGAGGGGAGGTGATGGGCCTGATGAGTCCGCAGTAGGAAGCAGGTCTATTTAAGAGAAGGTGGTCGTAGCGCCAGAAGGAGAAAAAGGACAGAATGTAGATAAAGGCACCTTAAGGATCGGGGTCTATGAAAAGCGAACAGCGTGGAGAAAGATTGGCGGATGAGGGCTGACTTATGTGGCCTGATATGCCAAGACTTGACTGTGGGTGGGTTTAAGTGGGAGGGTGCAGGAAGGTGAAGTTGTAGTCTTGTAGATGCAGATATCCGGGCTCGACGGACAGTCTGTGAATTGGCGCGATGGGTGCTATTGGTGCTTCTGGAGATATTTGAACGGCCTAACAGAGTCGGAACGGACCAACTGTTCGGGAGTCTGGATCGGTGGAAGATGGAAGATGGAGGGGGTTGCCAGTGCCCACTACGACAGGCGGGCGATACGTTATTATCGGGTTTGTACGATTCGATACACTAAAAAAACATACGAGGCACTGGCACGGCGGGAGTAATGCGCGATCACCAAAAGTCTAGGACGTCAGCATGTGAGTAAGAAGCTGAAGTCTATCCGAGTGAAGGAACGTGGTGGATGGAAACCGAAGCATGGAGGGGGTGAGCCTCAGGCAGGAGCACGGCAGTGTAAGAGCGCAAAGACGGGTATGGTTGTGGGAGTACGGGATTCAAGTCTGGAGTTTGGAAGTGGAGGGGCGAAAACAACCAGTTGTTCTGCCCTGGAGAGCCCGCCCGAGGAAACATCGGTTTCTTTTCCAGTGCGGAATTGATGGAGAAGAAGAGGCAAGTCGCCGGGCTATTGTGCGGGACGGTTGAACGAAATGGTTCCGGGTGCTCAAGATCAAGTTATTAACTACCTAGGTCGGTAGGTAAGTACTTAGTTAATAACAATATTTGTGCGGTTACTAGGTATTCCCCACCAGCGGCACTTGATTTTCGAATTTGGCTATTGACCACGTCCCTACTCCTAGTAGGTAGACTGCGTATCTCGTATTGTCCTCTGGGAGCCTGACCGGGTACCTACCTATGTACCCATGAGTAGGTAGGCACATAGGGATCCGGGTACCTACACTACCCAAATACCTACCTAGGTACCTAGGTAGGTACCTAATATTCCACATCACTTGGGTGTAACAGCAACCACTCGGACCACGACCACGACCACGATCATGACCACGTTCCATCACGACCCAAAAATAAACCCCTCGTACATGTCGTGGTCAGCACATGGGTACAAGACAGGCAGCCGGGAAAAGGGGATTGTCAATGATATGATCCTTAGCTAATGCTCGTATTGCCGCCACTGTCAGCCTGGAGTTAGTCCCCTGAGATGACCTACAGGTGACTGGCAGTAACTGTCTGGTACCTGGATGATTAACTGCCTAGGCATTTCACGTCCACGATTAGGCAATGGCACCCCTCCGTCTGATTCGACCAGTGTACCTGCAGGACGACGAATAGAGTGCTGCAGCACACAGCCCACCATACTATTTGCACAATGTCAACACCCTATGATGTAGTACAAAATTGTCCCAGGCGATTCTGGGGTTCTGTAGGTTATGTTTCTCTTCAGTGCGTGTACACTATTCACTAAATGAGACACGTCGTATATTATAGCTTGCAATTGAACATTGCTTAAATCAATTATTTGCTCGTGACTGAGTCCCCAGGTAGAGGAAGCGTTCATTTCCATCACCGCCATTGCAGTGTTTTAGAGTCACGACGCCATCGCCAATCTGTAACCACCGCCTTGACCTCTCCCTCTCGCACACCATTCAACTTTTCTCTCAACTTCGACTTCAACTCTCCCACCACCACGCACACCACTGCACTACATTCCCCTACCTCTTTTACGGAGCAATGACGCACTTGCGCCATTCTCCTTCTACACGGCCATCCACGGCACACAATGCTGCATAACCGTGAGTCCGGAATTCTTCCGCAAACCCTCCCTGCGCGCTCTGTGCCTGCAATCGCCATACCCACATTCGCACCACTATCCTAGTCCTTACACCGCACCTTTACTGACGCGATCAATGCTTTCAGATGTACAATCTGGCTCCGGTGAGAACCAAAATTACCCCCTCGACGGTCCTGGGCCTGAACAGATCTCTCCACCCTTGACCAACAACCGACCGCAGTACGGTGTCACAACCCACACAAGGGAGGCTTCTTTGGTTAGAGGCCGGCCTCAACAATCTACTTCTCAGTCCTATGGACCTTCATATTTGCCACATTCCCGGGCTGGCTCTGCTCAGCCTCAGCCTCATGGAACGGAACCGGGCTTGAGCAACAGAGTCCCCCCTGTGGTCGACACCGGTCTTCAGAGACGCCCCTCCAATAGCTACGGCCACCACCGTCAAACCTCAGTCATACATGGTTTACAGCACTCGAGGGGTCCCAGCTTCAACTCGCCCACCGGCAGTCCTCTGACACCTGAACCATCTGCCCCAAATTCCAACTATGCAGGCTACCCATCCACGGTTCGCAGAGGCCAATACTCCAATACCGAAGGCCCTACCGCTTTCACCTCTCCAGTCTCTCCATTCCCAGGCCATACCCAAGGCCATTCCATCGACTCACTCATAGATACAACCATTCCCACCAGAGACACCCCACCAGCTCAGCCAAGAAAACGAAAGGATCAGTCACGGACTCGCCGCGCTCATGGCTACCAGTCTTCTAGCTCGCAGGCCGAGCCACGTACGCCTGGAGAATATGCCCTACACCACTTGTTTCATGCCTTTGTCTTGAAAGCCGACCATAGAATCAGCCAATGCATCACCATCCTCGACTCTTCTGTTGCTCCCGTCGAGCAGGCCTGCGCTCCGGGTGTCGACGTGGGTTTTGACCAGCTCATATCTTCTCTAGGCCATATTTCCCGCGAGGGTCCAAAGCCATTGGTGGACAGCTTGATGTTATGGCGAAAGGGCAAGGGTGATACCGCTGCGAACTTGAAGAAGCAAGTATACCAACAGCGACTCCAAGCCGGAGGCTCAACAGGAAATCTTCCGATAGCCCTACCTCGACGGAACACCGAGCCCGTCCAGGGTCCGGGTGAATCAAATGTTTCTCAGTCAAATGCAGAACACGTCTCTTCGTCTGCAGACGATACTCTGACTCAAGACTACATTCTCGCCGATAGGAGAGCCACAATTTCAGTCTACATTCTCTGTCGTGTCTTGATTGCCATCTTTGAGCAAAGCAACCTGTCCGCCATAACTCAAGACCTAGCAAGTAAACTTGAAGACATTGTTTTTACTCAGATCCGAGAAGTCGAGCCTGCACAGATCCTGACTTCATCCATCCGCTTATCGAATTGGAGAATATATGGAGAGGTGCTCGGCCACATGAGTAGGCTTGATTTTGTCAACGTAACCGCCCGGTTCACCCAACAGCTTGATATTTGGCAGCAAGAATTCGCCAAGAGCTCCGCCACGACCACTGCTAGAGATCTAGAGTCAAGACTTGAGTTGTTGTTGTTGGGTATGCGCCATCTGCATATCAACGCGACTAAGGACTCTTCTTACACTGTAGCCGACTTTCTACGGACAATGGCGGCTTTGTTTGCAGATGCCCATGGCCCTAGAGTCAAACAAGCCTACTGCCAGCTCTTTGAGCGCCTTCTTACTGCGGTAGCAAGCAACCCTGAATGCTTCCAGGCGGTGCCAAAGTGGAAAGATCTCATAGAGGCCATCAACTTGAGACTCGGAAGTATGCTGGTCAAAGTCCGACACTGGTCTGCTGGCTTTCCCGTGTCAATTTTGCTTCTCTGCATCTCCCCTATCGAAGTATTTTCGGTACAATGGTCTCCTATGGTTGCAACCTTGGCTCCTAAGCTCAGAGATAGGTCCACTCGAAGCCAAGCTCTTCAAGCGATATGCCAACTTGTCTGGACATACCTCATGAGAGTCAACGAGCCCAACCAGATCAAGCAACGCAGACTCGAAGACATTATCAAAATCACAGTACCACAAGGGAAGAAAACACATGTCTCCTCTGATCCCTCAGTATCGGTTCCCCTGGTACAGCTCATCAGAGTCATCGGGTATGCTTCGCAAGATTTCTGTTTTAGGACGGTCATATTTCCATTGGTACACTACGACATGTTTCAATCAAGTAGAAACCTCAAAATCGAGAACATGGAACCTGAGAGAATGGTCATAGGTATTCGTGCGTTTTTGGCGATCATGTCTGATCTAGAAAGAGACGGGTCGGGTGCTCCTCCTTTCCCAGGCTTTAATCTGCCCACGAACAATGTTGACGGTCTGCCGTCATCGCCGATGAGCATGCGTACCACTCTTGGTGTTGAGTCTCCGATACGTACCTCATTCGAAGATGACACCCCCCCGTCTGTGCCAGTGAATGTTTCTCGCCTTGATGAAAACGCCCGGCAGATTTACTTGCAATTCTGTCAAATACTGGGGAAAATCACCATCCTTTGCGATAACACCTTTGGTGGTCAAGCTACATTGAACGAAAAGTTCTCCAGCGCGACCATTGTCCCAAAGACTCCGCTTGTGGACGCATTTACCCTCACCCGAAATCAGGATGGAACGACCACCGATCAAAGACAGTACTATTACGAGCTTCTTCATGTGGCTATTCAAGCTCTGCCACGGTGCTTTACCGACCACATTCCTCTCAGTCCGTTGATCAATCTGCTGTGCACAGGATCCGCTCACGTTCAATCTAATATTGCTGCATCTGCTACTCAATCACTCAAGGCAATTGCTCGACAGGGTCATGCACAAGCCGTGGCAATCGCTTTCCCCCGATTCATCTTTCACTATGACTTGCAGTACTCGACCATGTCCGATGAGGGTCGTCTGGGACCTGCTCACATCGAGGCTACGCTCTCCTTGTATCTCGAGTTACTCCAGATCTGGACAGAACAGCTCAAGCAAAAAGCAGTTGCCAATTCGCCCGAAGCACGAGATAGGGTCGGTTCTGCCTCTACGAGGGCGATGCAAATGGAACTTACAAATGTTATCCCTTTGGTTGACGAGATCGAGGCGTATGGGCTTTTCTTCCTTTGCTCACAATCAAGAAGGGTCCGAACCTTTGCGATCAAGGTTCTTCGCCTTGTTCTTCAGTTTGACAAGGTCTTGGGTCAAGATGAACCATCAAGAATTATTAAAATACTTGAGAATCAATCCTCCAAAGTGCTAGAGTTTCACGATGATGCGCTGAATGTGGCTGAGCGCAGTCGACTACAAAAGGACAAACGTGGTGCCGATGGGCAGAGCACATTGATCGAAATCTGCAGTTCTGAAGTTTCTTATGACGGAACACTTTGGTTCAAAGCATTTCCAAATCTGATTCGAGTCATCTTTGATGCATGTCCAAATGCAATCGCTTTGTGTCGAGGGACTGTCACAGATAGACTGATGATGATGCAGCGCGACATAGAAGGTCTGTCAGAAACAATGACTGGCCAATCTGCTCTGTACGAGTATCGTGCTCAGGGGCGGAGCTCTGCGACATCATCCGAAGTTCTCTTCGATCAATGGAAGCTTTATCTGATTATGGCTTGCGTGACGATCAGCTCTCCAGGCGCTCAATCACAGAGCCAGTTGGCCGAAGCAGCGCATGCACGGAAAACGTCCAGAGGACCAGAGCGCGCACAAGATAAGCTGAGCTCAGCCCGAGCTTTGTTTTCCGCAATTATTCCGATGCTGGGAGCTACGCCTGATGCGATCCGCGATGCAGTGGTTTCTGCTCTTGGGTCTATCAACCGTAAGCTTCATCGAACGCTACTGGAATCCTTACAATATGCTGTCATAAAATGCAATGATGAAGCCAAGGCAAGGATCAATCATCAACGCACGCCAAGCAGTCCGCAACGTTCACAAAAGACTGAACGTCTCCGTACTGAAGTGACTAACGTGTACAAGTCAACTGCTACTTTCCTGCGCCATGAAGATATCTACAATGACGAGTGGATTCTACATAATCTTGTCACCTACACGCGCGATCTTAGAATATTTCTTAGCGACACGGACATTCAGAAGGATTGGCGCTTCCAGAAATTGCGATACCATTTCTGTGGCTTAGTCGAAGAAGTCTTTGAAGGTGTGAATAGATCGAAAACTCCATCAAGGTGGATGCCTTTTGAGTCACGCAAGTCAGCCTTTGCCCTCATGGAAGATTGGTGCGGCTACTCTGCCGAGCAACATCTCTTCGACCCAAACCAAGCACATGCTCGAGAAATGAACGAACGTATGAACGCCAATGCTGCAACAGAGAAAGAAAAGAACAATCTGCGTGTAGCAGCTTTAAGTGCAATGGCAACATTGTGTGCTGGCCCTATCACCATCAAGACTGATAGTAATGCCATTCTTTCATTCAACCTACAGCGGATGCTCTCCTGGGTCGACACGATATTCGCCACCAACAATCATAAGATGCATATGATAGGCCGACGAGCTCTAAAATTGCTGTTGTTGAATAATCCGGAGCATCTGGTGATCATTGATAACGCCACCGAGCAATGTTATCGAACTGAGTCACCTCTGGCTTTGGAAAGTTATTTCGGTGTAATTTGCGAGGTATTGATCGAACAGGCAGACTATCCAGTCGCTTTCTGGAAAATTCTTGGCCTCGTTTTATTCACTCTTGGGAATGAAAATCAAGAAATTCGCATGAAAGCCGCTCGTCTTATTCGAACCCTCGACGACAGGCAACACAAGAGTTCCAATCTTCAGGAATTTGACATCAGTATTTCTGACAAGACACGCGCAGTCTACAAATTAGCCCAGTTCGAGTATTCCAAGCGACTTTCCAAGGCGAATTCAGAATTAGCCTTTATGATCTTCTCAGAATTTTCTCTCCACTACAAATCTGCCCGCAATGACCATCAGCGCAATATGGTCGCCGCCATATTACCTTGGCTTCAGGTCGTGGAACTTCAGGTCGACCCTGGCACTGGAGGCCCAACAGCTGTTTCGTACATGCTTCTGGCTAATATGTTTGAAATCACAATCCACTCCATTAGTGTGATGCATAATGAAGTACAGGCGTTGTGGCAGGCTTTGGCTACGGGACCACACGCCGGTAATGTCCAATTAATTCTCGATTTTATCATCTATCTGTCGCTGGATCGACGCGATCAGAACTTTGTTGAGCACGCTAAACAAATTGTGGTCTATCTGTCATCGACTCCAGCAGGTTCGCGAGTTTTGGAGTTTTTCATGTTACAACTTACCCCAAAGAACATGGTCAATGACAAAAAGCATGCCGATGTTGTAATGCCAGACACTCGAAACCTACCCTACGTTGCTGATCTGACCTCACTATTACCAATGGGGAACAAACAAGTAAGTGATTGTCCAATAAATCGCTGAGAACACAAACTAACTCGGCCATAGGTCGGCCTATCCATGGGCCAAGTCTCGTTGATTTTCTTGGTTGATTTAATGGTCACTCCTGTGATTCTTGTCAAAGATGAGGTGATAAAACTCATACACACTGTTCTGATCTTGTGGGATCATTATACCACATCGGTTCAAGAACAAGCAAGAGAAATGTTGGTTCACCTCATTCATGAGTTGGTCACTACAAAAATTGAACCCAGCACCCTGAACTCGGCAAAATTACGAATCGAGAATCTGGTGGATGCGGTTCGCTCAAATCATGCAAAAGTAAGCTGGTCTTATGAGCACAACACACGAAAAGATGAAGATGATGGGGCCAGCCGGGTCCCACCCGCTATGTCAGTCTTGACCTCTGAAATTGTCACCATATTTAACCTTGCCTTCGAGAATTTCAGTGATAGCTGGGCTAAGGAGGCCTTGCACTGGGCATCAATCTGCCCCGTGAGACATCTAGCCTGTCGGTCATTTCAAGTCTTTCGCTGCATTTCTGTCACTCTCGACGCAAGAATGCTTGCCGATATGCTTGCTCGACTTTCTAACACCATTGCTGATGAACAGACCGACTATCAGACTTTCTCAATGGAGATTTTGACAACACTCAAAATCATTATTGGTGCGCTAGATCCTAAAAACCTTATGCGCTATCCCCAATTGTTTTGGACAACTTGTGCCTGTCTGAAAACTATCCACGAGAGAGAGTTCTACGAAACAATGGGCATGTTGGAAAAGCTATTAGAAAAACTCGACCTGTCCGCAGCTGATGTTACGGAGGCTATGCTGAAGGGACAGCCTGGAAAGTGGGAAGGAGGATTCGAAGGTCTCCAACCGTTGCTGTACAAAGGACTGAGATCTGCTGACAGTTTGGACAAAACACTGCTTATCCTCCACAAGCTCACCGCACTCCCCGACTGTAGTCTGGTTGGAAGTGATGATCGCTTGGCTTATTCTGTTTTCGCCAATCTACCACGCTTTCTCCACAGCTTTGACGAGGACATGCCAGATCCTGGAGTGTTTGCAATAGCCCAGCGTCTTGCCCAGGTGGCCGATATTCAAGGTCATAGCCTTCTCGCAACATGTCTTCAACGTTTTGTGGACAAGGAGTATCTCATGGGCAGAGATTTCCTAGTCGCGAGTGTTCAAGCTCTGAGGGTTTCATTCTTCCCAGCTTTCGATGCCCAAAGCTTGATTTTCATGATCGGGCTTCTGACAAACAAGACTCCTTGGTTCAGGATCAAAACTATGGATATTCTCTGTGAGTTGATACCTCTTGTGAATATGAGAAGTCCAGCAATCACGACTCATGGGCCGGATCTCATCTCGCCACTACTTCGACTGCTGCAAACCGAGCACTGCACACAGGCGTTGGAAGTGATGGATTTCATCATGGAGGTCGCCACAACACCAATGGAGAAACACCATATGCGCATGAGCATGGCTTCTGGTACGGCAAAGGCAATTCGTAAAGAATACGAACGAACACAAAGTTTATACGGCATCCCACTTGCCTCTGGCTGGTCTATCCCAATGCCGGCTGTTTACTCGAGTATGACACGACACAATGTTCATGCAGTATTTTACACCTGTGGAGATTCTGATTCTCAAATCGAACAGACGACTGCAAAACCTGACGTGGAGTTCTCCGGGGATGATGGCTATACGGATTCATACTTCCCTCCACAGAGTCGTGCTGAGACCATCAGATCAATTGAAGCTGCCGCAGATACCAACGTCAGTGATCTTATCAATACACTCGACAGCCTTGATGACTTCTTCGACGATGTCGATGACGACGATATTTTGACACCAACTGGAACAAGCCACATTGGTGTTGCGACGATGAACATTCCGAGTCTACCTGAGCATAGTACGACCCTTTATGATGAGCAAACAGCGCCAATTCTTCGACAAAGTCTTGCACGAAGCTCTTCCTTGGCACATATGCAGGATGGGTTTGCTGAAACAGGTATGCTCCCAGGCACGATACATCGAAAACAACCAAGTGTATCATCGCCAGGCTACAATAGTATGGCGCAGTCATCATTCTCGTCCATTGACGAACTGGGGGGTCCGGGTCCGTCGTTGCCAAGCCCTTCAAAGAAGCAATCCATTCAAACAATTTTGAGCCCAATGAACCAGACTCGACCTGGTTTACATGCTCGATCAATAACGTCTCCTGCCAATCAATATCCGAATTCCCATCCCACCTCGGAGGGTTTTCCATCGATACCTGCAGGCAATGGCTCTTTCAGGTCACAGGACGATTATGCAGATCAATATGATGATGCGTTGCTTTCGGATGGAGAGAACAGTCCATTCCCAACACTTACTGTGCCTCAATCAGGCCAATCAAGAATTTTATCAGGGCCAGGACCGGAATATCAAACTACACCCACTTCTGCCACTGAAACTGGAGGGGCTTTCAGCATACAGAGTATGCGACGAGGCATGCGACGTCTCACAGGTGGGAAGAGTGAGAGCGCCAAAGAAAAGGAGAAGGGTCGCGACTTTGTTCGAATACGAGGTCAATCAGGCGGTCAAAATCAAGTCGCTGCTGCTATCCAAAGCCCAAGAGTACCAAAGGTTCCTTTGGAATACCTCAATGCCAGCAATAGCAATATGACTGGTCTCAGTCCTACAACAACAAGTCCTGGAGTATGATAACAACAAATCACCATGAATTATGCTTTTCTCGCCTTTTCCAACGTCAAATATTAGTGATACCCATAGATTGTTCTACGAAAAATTGATGGCCACATGATCGGGGTCGTTGCCCCATACACCAACACTCACGCACGCATTGCCTATGTACAACGTCAAGATGATACTTGGAAAAGTAAGGCGCATGTTTCTGTACACTAGAAATGATAATCTGGCTGGTTAGGAGCTTTGGAGTAATCAATGAAAAGAATGGACTCTTACATCCACCTCTCGGCCCCCTTTCAATCCTTGTTGATCGCGCACTGACCACAGCAGCATTCCGTATTGCGAGACACTCTCATTCCTGCCATAAACCATCGAGCAAACGCGACGCGTCTCAGAATATTGACTCACCTTCTTTCGTGTGTAGGATGTTGGAGATGTTCAGCAGATCACAAGTGGTGGAGTCTACAAGATGAGAAGTCACAGTGTGGAAGTCGGCTTGTTGTTGCACAGTCTTTTTGCATATGCTTTTGCACAGTCAGGTATGTCTACAACTTATTTGCACGATTGGCAGAAGTTTATGTGGATCCCGAATGAACTGTGCTAACCTGGCACTATATGCAGTATCGTTGACAGACTCTTGCTATCTCACTACCACAATCATATATGGGGATCCCGGAACATGGATCAGCTACTCGGGTATCCGGTCTTCTACAACCACCACCAGCTCCGCCCTACAAAGCACGTTGACAACGACAAGCTCTGGCGGACAAGGATCCATCGCATCTAGTACCATTACTTCGACCGGAGAATCCAGCTCGATGAGGCCAACTCCGGTCACCAGCACGGCGAGCTTCTCGTCCTCGTCAGCGACTGATATCCCAGCCTCAAGCTCGGCTAGCATCTCCACATCATCGATCCCAATCATTGGACCGCCGCTTCCAACATCCGATCCATTCGTCCTGGAAATCAACATTCCCAACCCAACCAACCTGAAACTGCACAGACGCGATGTCTCATATCTCACTTTCATCGAAGGCGTGGCATACCTAACTTCATACGAAAACAAAGCAGCGGTCTTCGTCCTCACGGCCACCAAGTACCTATTGAGCGAGGGGACATATGTCGAACCGAACTACGATCAATATAGTGCGCCCGCTGAAGGACCTCCAAATGACGGATCTGGATCTAGACCTGTCGACCCGCTGTCCTTGCCTAGACCAGTGTCTCTTCAACAGACGCTCGTGCTGGCTGGGAATCGATATGGCTGGTCGTTCAACGGTGGGGCATTGATGTTGGGGAACGCTTCCTTCTATGTCGATGATATTGGCCGGGTCCTGGTGTTTTTCGGTGGTCAGGCTGAATTGCCTGATGATGTGGTGAGTGCGGACTTGGGAGTTGCGTACGTCGATTCGACTGTCAGCACGTCTTCGGTTCTTACCGATCAAGAGCCGACATCGAGTTCGATGTCGGAGACCCTCACCGCGACCACTTCTCCGCTGATCGTCTCGACCACGAACGAGGATACATCGATTCCAGAACCGACAACTACTCCTAGCGAAGAAGAGACCTCCACTTCGACTCCGTCCTTGCTGGCTACTTCTTCTATGACCGTTTCTTCATATATTTTCTGGACAGACCCATGGGTCACTTCGACCACGACTTCACGGTCTCCATCTACGTATCCATCGAGTTCAGCGGGAGCCAGCACTACACAGCCTACCACAACCAACGTTGTAACGAGCGGTGGACTGACGAGCACTCCTACCCGACTGTTGCCGACATCTCAGGCACCAAGCAGCTCGCCGACTTTGAGCAGATTGACTCAGACTGGCCTGCCTCCACCGTCGTCGTCTTCTTCTATAGTCATTCCAACTTCGTCCAGTCAATTGACTCAGCCGTCAAGCGCGACTTCGTCGAGCATGGCGTCCGCCAGAAGTACTTCCACCAGCCTTGCCCCGACGTCGGCTGCTCCTACATCTGCTGCCCAGACTACAAATGTCTCTGTGCCTCCGACGAACTCGGCCGTCGTGTCCGTTCCTACGAGTTCTTCTTTGAGCACGTCGCTTACAAGCTCCCGGATAAATTCTTCGACAAGTCTTGTTTTGCTGACATCTTCAGTTTCTCCGTCTTCTTCCACGACCGCAGTGTCCAGCACAAGTGGAAGCTCATCTTCGTCAAGGTCGCCCGTCACGACCCTCCCACCGACCACTGCTCTCACGCTCACCACAACACGCTCAACAACCACCAGCACCTGGACCTCTTCAACCTCCACAGCCACCGCAACGTCCTACCCAGCAAAACGCGGCATCGCCTACAGCAACGTGACCACACTGACGTACTACCCACCACCAAGCCGGTACATCAACTGGAGCTACAACTACTTCTCGCTCCCGAACAGCAGCACGGACAACATTGGAGCGTACCCGACCTCGCAATTCGCATTCATCCCACTCCTGTTCAACGACAACCCGACACTGACGTCGATCTGGGCGGCGAACGTCAATTTCTCCCTGCTGAACTACCGGACGGACGCGCTGTTCGGCTTCAACGAGCCCGACGCGTGCTTCGGGGGCCTCTCATCGTGCATGCCCATGGAGCGCTCACTACAAGGCTACGCGACGCACATGCAACCGTTCGCGGGCCGACGCACACTGGGGGGCTCGGGCCCGCCGCTCAAGATCGGCAGCGTGGCCGTGACCAACGCGGCCGACGGCCTGAGCTACCTGGCCGCCTTCCTCGGCAACGCCACGCAGTTGAACCTCACCGTCGACTTCATCAACCTGCACTGGTACGCCAGCCCCTACAACATCCAGTATTTCAAGGACTACGTCACCCAGGCGTATGCGGATGTTGGGGGTGGCCGCTATCCCGTCTGGATCACCGAGTTCGGCTTGGATCGTGCCGACTACGACGCCGCGACCGTCCAGGCCTTCATGCGCGAGGCCGGCCGTTGGTGTGACCAGACGAGCTGGGTCGAGCGCTATGCTTGGTTCGGCAATTATCGCAGTGAGAATGGCGCGACCAATTTGTTGCTCAATGCTGATGGGAGCGGCTTGAGTGCCCTCGGGAATGTCTGGAGGAGTTTTAATGCTACGAATTGATTTGCTTTTGGCGCTGCTGGGGAGGAGTGGGGGGAAACGGGGGTTCTTGGATTGACCTTTATAGGTGAGAGTAGATGAGGAGGGAATGTTATTGCCATTCACTGTGTGTGTGTGCTGGTTTGCATGTGGTTCCTCGAGGAAAGAGTTGGCTTCTGGCAAATACTACCACAATAAAGGAGAAATGTAACACGAGTTAAGTGGCTGATGACATCGAGAGGGTGTCCTGGACAGATCTTCGGTTACTTTTACCTGGATAATCATCATGTTCTGGCTATTTCTATTGTACAGCTCAACGTATGTGATTTCAGCAGCGTTCGAAAACCCGGTATAAGCCTTTTAAGTTGGCGACCTCCACAACACCCTTTACCATTGCTTCTGTAGCCAGGATCCTAGATCTGAAAGCTGGAAAGAGGACATGTTCAAGCGCGTAAACAACCTCCTTACGCCTGTTTTCGATACTGGCATCGATGTCATTTGAAGGAGTACCAGTCTGTTGATCTTCATTTGATGGGTCCTCGAGATCCATGTCTTCAGCCTCCATATTGGTGGGTGGGGCTGAGCTCGGTTCAGGTAATTGCTCAGGCACATAAAATGAAGCAAGCTCTCGTAAGAACGTTCTGAAGCAATCCTCCTCTTCCGTCCAATTGACAAATGGTCCAAGTCTTAGGAGAAAGGTGGGAAGCTTAGCCATTGAAGGAAGATATCCCTTGAGTAGTAAAGGAATTGCTTCAACAAGTCCGTCATCAGAGATCTCTATTGAAAAGTACTCAGAGATCATTTGTTTCCGGTTCATCAGTTGATCGTACACTTTCTGGACAACTTCATCCTTGTCTAGATTTGCGCAATCTGACTCTGTGTCAATGTAATGCTGTGCGGCGACTTCAAGCAAATCTTGCAGTCTTGGTGCTGGCTGGAGTTGGATGAGCCCGAAATTGCCGAAGTCTGTGAGACCCACTTGATAGAAGAACTCATGTGCCGTCATTCCATAATCAACGAGGTAAAGATTCACACCAGACTGAACTGCTGCTAATCTTCTCCTGCTATCAACAAGACCAACATAGGTGAGTGATGCAAAAACCTCCGTGAGATTATTATGCATGGATTCTCGAACATCAGCACGAAGCTTTTTGACGGATGAGAGGCGGATCTGAATTGGTTCACGATCAGTGGCAGTATAGATTATGCCATCTGCAGAACCAGATGATTCGTCAATGGAAGCACCAGGTGTTAGAGCAGGAGGTAACATTGAAGTTATCTTGCGCATTTGTGAATCTGTACGTATCAGATTGTTTTCGTATGGCTTCTTTGTGGAGGATTTATTTCGTGGTACGCTCCCAGAAGTTGAAGGTGAATCTGTAAGCCCTGTTGATTTCATGTTTATCGGCGTCATGGGACTAAGTCCTGGCAGCAATGTTTGTGTTTTGAATGTTCGACTGGTGTCGACTTTTGCCAGTCGCTCTCGTATATCAGAGCAAACGACTTCTATGATCTCATCTTCATTGAGAAAATGTACTTCTCGCTTTGTTGGATGAACATTGACATCGACTCTGGTGGGCTCAATGTCAAGACTGAGATAGATGAATGGATGGCCTCCTTTCGGAAGAAACAGTTGGTAAGTCTGCTCGACGGCTTTCTTGATAGCCGATGAATCGACAGAGCGATTATTGATGAACAGAAGTAGAGTGGTCCGCTTCACGCTATAGTTGGCATTTGTCGCATACCCCGAGGCCTTAAAGCCCCATTTGGGATCTTCAATCGCAAAATCGACGAGTTCTTTTGCGATGAGTGCCCCGTATGCTTGTCTGATGCGATCTAGCTTCGTTGCGGCCGAGGCAACTGAAAAGCCAGTACTTGTTTCCCCGTGCTTCTTTATTGAAAAAGCGATACCTTCACGATGAACGGCATATCGAGTTATTACCTCGAGGACTTTTGCATATTCTTCTGAAGGTGATCTGAAAGCTCTTCGGCGGTTGGGGATATTGTAGAACAAGTCTTCGACGGTGATCTGCGTACCTCGTCTCCCAGCACATGCTTTTGGGTCAGAACTCTGTCCTGGTTTGGCTGGAATGAGCTTCCCAGATGAGTAGTGAGCTTGCCATGCACAACTGGAGTTTGCAGTCTTTGTAGTGACCTTGAGGTGAGCAATATGACTGATACTGGCCAAAGCTTCGCCTCGGAAGCCATAGGTTCCAATGGCCATCAGGTCTTCGAAGTTTTTCAGCTTCGAAGTTGTGAATCGCTCACACAAAATGGGTAAATCATCTTTCTGCAACGGCATAAGCATTTCGAAGGACGATAACGGAGGCAGCCACACGACATACCTCGATTCCATGTCCATTGTCGGTGATTTGCAACAGCTTTAGCCCACCTTCTTTGACGAGGATTTCGATGGAGGTTGAGCCTGCATCAATGGAATTTTCAAGCATCTCCTTCAAAGCATGCATGGGGGCGACAATGATCTCGCCTGCAGCGATCTTGTTGACCACATCTTGATCAAGAGCCTTAATTAATAGATTAGCTTTACCGTGACCTACCTTTGAAGTATTTCACTCGCCTTGATCCGACGAGGGGCTTCAGGGGGAAGGCCGGCCTCCTGAGCGGTTCGTTTGATACCACGAGGGCCATCAGATTCTAAGTCCATCTGATCTGCCATTGAAAAACAACAGATGTAGACTTATGGTTCAATGCATGGCCACCAGCCACTTGACAAGGGTTGGATGCTTGTGTCTTTGAAGATAACGTGGATGGAGAGGCGAACGTCTCTTTCTTGGTGGGTGGCTTCCCCACAAAGTGGCAGGCACAACCTGCCTGGTTAGGCAACGACCCTTTAGGAATTAGGTGCCCTTCAAGTTCGGAAGGAGCCGACGTCACATGCAACTTGGACGAGTTCCAAAGGCAAGTGCAACTGCATCCAAACAGAACCCACTGCCACTGGCCTTGGTGACTCGTCAACCAGGTTGACCTTCCTTCTACCTGCGATCATCTCAACTCTCGTGTCCAGGTCACTACGGAGGTACTTGTCAATTCTCAACAAGCCCGACCAAACCACTGTACAGCTCCCACAAAAATACGCAGGGACATACCACAACCAGCCGATTTCTGAAGTGACCACCAACAGAGCCCCAGGTCCCCAATCATCCATGGACTCGCAATGGTTATAGCATTCGATGGTGATCTGTCTCGTCCCTGCACAATGGCAATGAACTTTGTCACTTTTAATCAGGACTACAGCCACTTGGCTGTGGGTGGGTTGCACATGCTCCTTGGTCGGCAAAACACCTGTGTTAATAGACATCGTGATAGGTACCTCAAGAGGCTTTCGAATCTTCACAACCGACCCCTTCACAAACTGCTTCGAGTCTAGAGATGCCGGAAATATTGCCATCCTCGAAATGCTCTTCTCAACTTCCCTGGTCGCACTCATATTGTCCCCGAGAAGGTTACAGATAAAGAATACCAAGGTGCGCCCCAGGCTCATGAGGTGGAGATTGTTGTTGACAAAGCCAGCGGGATTCCATCATATGCGAGCTCACATTTCCTACAACTGTCTTGTCCGTTCGTCTCAACCGGAAAAGGTTGGTTATTGTGCTGGAGGATCAGATTTACCTCTACGACATCCAGACCATGAAATTGCTCTACACCATAGAGACATCGCCAAACCCAACAGGTTGGTAGTGGTCTGTCATATTCCTAATTGTCTCGAGCTGACTCTCGCCTAGCAATTTGCGCACTCTCCCCGTCGTCGGAGAATTGCTTCCTTGCTTATCCACTTCCACAAAAAGCAGCATCTTCCTCCTTCGCACCACCCTCCCATGCACCTCCAAACACTACACATGTTCCGCCGACCTCCGGTGAGGTTTTGATTTTTGATGCGGTCAAGTTGGAGGCGGTGAATGTCGTCGAAGCCCATCGATCGCCTCTATCATGTGTGATATTTAACAATGAAGGCACTGTCCTCGCAACTGCTTCCGACAAGGGAACCATCATTCGAGTTTTTTCCGTCCCGGATGCTCACAAGCTATATCAATTCCGAAGAGGCTCTATGCCGTCAAGGATATTTAGTATGGCCTTCAATATCACGTCAACCTTATTGTGCGTCTCATCTGCCACCGAGACCATCCACATATTCAAACTTGGACCTCAAACCCGGAAAAGCGAAGACGGTGACGAACCTGTTTCGCCTTCGAAAGTTACGGGTGCATTTCATAGACGACTAAGTCAGGGCAGTGAAGCTATGGATGACAACGCTGAAGATGAGGACGGATCAACGTCACCAACTGCACTGTCCAGTCGAAGACCCAATGGCACGTTCATGGGCTTGCTGCGCAGAACCAGTCAGCATGTTGGTATCAATCTTGCAACAACTGTGGGTGGTTATCTGCCCAAAGGTGTTGCGGAGATGTGGGAGCCATCCCGCGATTTCGCTTGGATCAGACTTCCACGCTCTGCTTCAGGGACTGCACCGAGCCAATTGCGGAGTGTGGTAGCGATGAGCAGTAACTCACCTCAAGTGATGGTCGTGACCAATGAGGGTAATTTCTACGTCTTCAACATTGACCTCGCCAAAGGTGGAGAGGGGACATTGACAAAGCAGTATTCGTGAGTAGTTTTCCTGATTCGATCACGTGCTTGATAATTTGGCTGACAAGTTACAGTGTGCTCCATATTAATGACAAACTGGGAGGATCATCGATTGACTATTAGTGCAGGCTTTGCGGTATACTCCTGTCACGGCCAGGATAAGAAGGACAGAACGTTGGAATTGATTTCCTAAGCGCTGGCGTTGTGGTGTCACCGCCTCCTCTCATAGTGAAGGCATTTATAGCAGATATCACTGGAAATTAATCATCTTAATCACAATGGCTGCCCATCACCAACAAACACGGTCGTGTTTAACCGTACTCGTAAATCGTGTCACAACTGCCAGTGAGTGAAGGATCACCCAAAACGGTGGCAGAAACTGCCTAACAGAGAATAATTCTGGTATTTTATGATCCAGCAACTCATTCTGACAGGTTCCCTCGCATCCAGTCACACGTTGTTCCAAGCGTGACCAGTGCCCGCATTCCATATCGAGATGAAACTTTTGCCCATTCCGGCTTTTCATGACCCAGCAACCCCGTACGACGTATCCTTCAACGACTCGTGTTGTGGCGGGAAGACTTCGTGAGATCGGATGCCGTGTTGGCTTCAGAAACCGTTTTCTGATTCGAGATGTGTCAAAGTGCGAGACGGCACAACACCATAAAAGTCATTTGCTGGGCCGGGAAGATTATTCATATGGTCTGATTAGGCAGCACTTGACGCCAGAATCGGAAATGCACTTTCTTAGTCCATTGAACTGCCCACCTGAGGTAGGTAGCTACTTAACGTATGGTTAAAAAAAGTGGTGTCCAAGTATCCTTCAATTCGACTTTCACGCCCTTCGTGCTCCCTCAACGCTCAATCGGAGAGTGAGGTCTAGAAGTGAAGTCATCTTCAATCCATCATAGCCGTGCTACCCATTATGGTCATTCGACCTGTAAGTGAGTCGTCAAATAAGGCGCAACGACCTGCAATCATTGGACTTCTCTGCGACGATCTACATACATCGGTAAGAGTAACTCCAGAACTCCGCGATCTCCATCACCTGAGAGGCGGTATACCTGAATCCACAAGGCGGAATTCAGCGAGCAATTCCGCGACGTTTTCACATCCAATGGCAAACCAAGAATATCGGATCTGGCAAAAGGGAACCACGGGCCGAAAGCCAAATCGAAGAATTTTCATCGCTTTCTATACCTTTTTCGTACTTTACAGGTCGGTTGATCCCCGGGGCGTGATGAGATCATGGTCTTGGGCAATGCTGGGCAATGCTTTTTCATTTGCTCCACCTTCCGGTCTCGTGGTTTAGATAGATATCCTTGGCCTGTTATATGTTGGAGAGTTGGATATTGTTCCAAGTGTATGCATGGTCCTTCATTATCGATTAGCTCTGCCCTGTATACGTTCCCCGAACCGGAGATCGCCCCATTTGCTCAATCCTGGTACATTGGTCACCATCTGTCGTATATCAACACGACCCGTCCCAAAAGCCACAGTCCATTGCAGACCTCCATTTTCGGAGAACTGAATTGAGATAATCTCTTTCCAATCAAGAAGCAGGCTGCGTGTCATATAAAGTGTGACTACGTCGGCCACTCGGGGGGCAATGTCCCAGCATATGCAGTTCAACAATGGCTCGGGCGGCAGCTCGACCATGGTCATGGAAATGCCCAGGCTATCTACCCAACGGGAAAACTCAGACAAACATGCCCGTGAGACGGTCGAAGACACATCAGCAGGTGCCCTACCGTCTCCGACCACCGCTGTAATTCAACTGCAGAAATGGAATTCCCCAAAAATCAATGGCTGGCGCTGTTTTGCCTGCTTTTACTGCTTCATCATTCTCGGAGCAAATGATGCTGCATATGGTGCTCTCATTCCATATCTCGAAGAATACTATAAGATCAACTACACAGTGATATCGCTGGTGTTCCTCAGTCCGGTTATTGGCTACGCAACCGCGGCAATTTTGAACAATCATATTCATACCGTCTATGGTCAGCGGGGGGTTGCTACCATAATGAGTGTTTCACACTTGGTAGCTTATGGTATGCATCCGCTCAAACATAAGGTCTTGGGAGATCCTAATCGATTTAGTGGTGATTTGTCTTCATCCTCCTTATCCTGTCCTCGTGGTGGTATTCATTCTCTCAGGATTTGGCAATGGATTAGGTGATAGCGGATGGTAAGAAGAGCTCAGCCTCTCCGGATATGTGTTTTGTTGACCTTTTTTCTTAGGAACGCCTGGATAGGCGATATGGCCAACGCCAATGAAGTTTTGGGCTTCCTCCATGCCTTTTATGGCTTGGGTGCAGCCCTCTCCCCTCTCATCGCCACAGCCCTGATCACTCAAGCGGGTTGGCATTGGTATCAATTCTACTATCTCATGGTTGGGGCTGCAGCCATTGAAGTTTTTGTTCTAACCGGTGCGTTCTGGAAAGCTGATGGACAGGCATACAGAGCCGAGCATCCACATACCGCTGGAGACATTGATTCCGGTACAAACACCCCCCCTGCCGCTGATTCGGCCACCTCTTCTGCTCAGGGAGGCAAGCCACGCGGATTTCTTGCCAGATTCAGACCCTCCAGCACAGGCAAAAACCCGAATAGTAGCAAGAGCAAAACGGCTGAGGCGGTCAAAAACAAAGTCACAATACTCACAGCGGTTTTCCTACTTATTTATGTCGGTATTGAGGTCAGCATTGGCGGCTGGATCGTTACCTTCATGTTGAATGTCCGCAAAGGATCACCCTTTGCCTCTGGAATGGTTTCGACCGGATTCTGGCTGGGTATCACTGTGGGCCGGCTCGTCCTCGGGTTTGTCACCGGACGCCTCTTCAAGACAGAGAAGCACGCAGTTGCGACTTATATCGTCCTCAGTGTGGGTTTACAACTGATGTTTTGGTTTATTCCCAATTTTCTTGTCAGTGCCGTCATGGTCAGTCTGGTTGGATTCTTCATGGCGCCTCTTTTCCCCGCGGGGGTTGTTGCACTCACCAAACTGCTTCCGAAGAGACTTCACGTGGCTGCCGTGGGGTTTGCAGCCGCCGTTGGAGCAAGTGGTGCCTGTATCTTACCATTTGCTGTCGGCGCCATCGCCAATGTGGCCGGAGTGAAGGTCCTCCAGCCCATCATTCTTGGGGCGATGGTTCTGATGCTAGCAGTATGGCTTTTCATTCCCAAATTGCCCAAGCAGAGGTTGTCTTGAAGAAGTCTAGGTCGAGAGACAGTGACAGTGACAGACAGCTAGGGTGGAACTTTAGCATTGAAGACATATCTCGGATCTGTGGGGTCTGGGCAGTGGGCACAAACAAGACTGCCCTGCCCACATCGTCAAGAATTCAGGGGAAAGCTTGGCATTTTTGCAATCTCGTTCTGTGGGCATTCCTCCGATCTCATGGACCAATTGGTCCCACAATATCTATTTCCACATGTCGCCATACTCGATGAAGATAGAATGGTGATTTAAGAAACAGAAAAGAAGCAACAGAAGAATCCATGCAACACTACTAAATATAGGTTTCATGTACCTGAACCTGGTCTGTCTGGTGGACTCGCCGAGGGAAAGTTTGATGAGAACTCTATCTTCTAAACATGCGCAATGGATTCGGTACGGAAGGCGTTGCGAAGTCGTTGAATACGAGCATGTCGATGACTAGTCTAATTTGCATGTATATCCACGGGCAACATCTACCAATGGCCCATATAGATATTGATAGAGGAAATGGTGTTCAAAAAGGACCAAAAAATAGGGTCATAGTTCAAGGGCAAAGGGGATGACAGCCGAAGCAGGTCTAACTTGATGGAGAATAATAGCGGCAAGGGAGTCAAATCGTCTAGTTTCAAATAAAAAATATGCCAGTGGTGGTGGTTTGACCCTGATTCCCTTATTCAGCTCCCGCTCCTCACTCGGTGGCTGCCAGCTCCCCTAAACTTCCAACTAACCCTTTGCCTCCCTCGAGAACTTTCCACCTCGTCTCTGGCCATCGATATCGTTACTTTGTGTTCGCGTCTTGATGATCAATCTCATCTCTTTTCTGTTCTATTCAACTTCAATATAGACTAGACTTTGCACGACCACAAAACACTTGGTCGCGATCCATCAGATTCAGACCCCTGTCGCGTCTGGAACGCGTGCTTGGAAACACCCACACAGGCTACAGCCAGAGATCCCACTCAGGCTTCATCCAGCCAATGACCCAACTTGGCGCTCTATAACACTTCTCATCACATCGACATATATCGACTTCTACCAAGCCGTTTCAACACTTCTTCTTGCCCATGCGGGTATCCGGGGGCATGTTCACCCCAAGGCACGCCCCGTTGAAGGAAGGCCGATCTCTTCCCGGTCTTCCCTATGGAGGTCCCACACGACGAAGCCTACGATCACGACAAGGAGCTTTATTGATAATAGTCCTATTATGCGTGCCTCTGATATATTTTCTCCATTCCAGCAACTCACTACCCTCAGCTCCACCGCCGTCAGACTCGTTATTAAATCATAGGCCGGGTGGTTCTTCATCGAATTCGGATGGAGTGAGGCAATCGGATCCCAATGGTATTCTTCAACAAGCTGATTTCCCACAGTCCCATCTTGGTCACGAACCTTCCAATCAACATTTAGATACCGATAATCCTTTCGCGGCTCCTCCCAAGGAGGCGCCTTTCGCCAACCCGAAGAAACCAGCTGTAACCCATAACTACGACGAGGAACCAACCCCCCTGAGGGACAGTGATAGGACTTCTAAACCGAAAATCATTCCTGCTGAAATGTCAGGAAAGGAGAGCCAACAGTCGATTGGATTTACGGAACGACCCAAGTTCGAAAAGGCTCTCGCTCGAGTACTGGCTCTGCTGCCAGGTGAGATGGAGGGTCGAGATCTGCTTCGACAAGTCGAGGGGACTGGAAAGGAGAAACTCCGCGAGATGGGTCTCCGTGTACGCGAGTACAAGAAGTTTTTTGAGGCGTGGGAGGCTCTGCATCTCAGCTTTGACGAGGAAGGTGGCAGTTATGTGCGTGACGATGTGATTCAGTATCTTCGACATCACAATCATCAACCTCCTGAGGAAATGACTGGTGCCGAACTTGCGTCGACCATTCATTCATATGAGGCCTACCGATATTTCCTGGTCAAATTCGGTCAGATGCTCTTTCCATGGACCGCGCCTTACTTCCCCGATCATATGACCCTACATTCGCATTTCAAAAAGGGAGGTCGAGGTATTGTTCTCACGGCAGGAGACGACCAGGCACCTTTTTTATTGACGACAATCCCAACATTCAGAAAACTCGGATGTAATCTCCCTATCGAGGTCATGTATCTTGGTGATTCAGATCTCAGCGAAGATTACCGGCAGGAATTGGAAGATCTCGATGGTGTCATCACCCGCGACATTGCCCAGATGGTCAACGATGAGGGCTGGAAGCTGGCTGGATGGGCCGCCAAACCTTTCGCCATCTTGTTCTCTAGCTTCCGGGAAGTCATCTTTATCGATGCAGACAGCTTGTTTTTCACGAATCCCGAAGTTCTCTTCGAAGACCCGGCTTATCAGAAAACTGGTGCTCTTTTCTTCAAAGATCGTCTCATTATGCCTGAAAATAAGAAAAGATGGCTTCAACAAATTTTGCCAAAGCCCATTTCTCGACAAGTCAAGCAGAGCCGATTTTGGACGGGTGACAGTGGCCACATGCAGGAATCAGGTGTGGTTGTGGTTGATAAGTGGCGCCATTTCGTTGCACTTCTCCTCGTCACGAGAATGAATGGTCCCGATAGAGACGGGAACAAGGACGAAGGTAGAGTGGGTGTTTACGACATGGTTTATGGTAGGCTCTTTCCCCCGTCCTAAACATTGATATCCATATCTAACATACAATCCAGGTGACAAAGAGACATTCTGGATAGGCTGGGAACTCGTGGGTGACATGGACTATGCTTTCCACAACGGAGACGCCGGCATCATGGGCACGGTTCAAACACACGAACTGACCGAAGAAGAGAAACAAGAAAAGGCCCGCAAAAAGGCCAATCGAAAGAAACCCTTCGACGGCGAAGCACCCCGAGAAGGCGAACCCTCGCAACCCGCCGCGCCGGAACCCGAAGAGGTAGAAGAAGAGACCGACCCCATTGACGAAGAACCCTCGACATACTCGATCTGCGCGCCACAACTCCTGCATCTCGACTACGAGGGCAAACCACTGTGGTTCAACGGCTGGCTGCTCGATAACAAATTCGCGGACAAGAAGCAGAAGAAATTCGGCAAGTTCGAGCATTACCTCATTGAGCCCAGGGATGTGCGGGAACCTGGTGCCTGGCAGCTCGAGGAGAGTAACATGTGTTGCTTGACGACCGACGCGCCGCTGAAGCGGGATTTCTCGCCCGAGGAGAAGGCCATCTTGGCCATGATGATCCAGCAAGCCAAGGACGTGGGTGTGCCGGGTTGAGGACCTTGATATCTCTCTCGCTCCCTCTCGTCGGGCGGTCATCAAGACCAAGAAGCGAGACGTACCGTGGACTTCCTGACTAGCATTTTTTGTCATGAGCTGGGTGAATCATTCAACGCCCCTATTTATTGGCCCGGTTTTGCATTTGCTTTTGTCGCCGTCGATTGAGTATTGATCGAAGTTGGTCGGGAAGGGAATACATAGAGGCATCTTTACGATTTTAAAGGCTTTGTTTATCTATCGTTTTCTTTTGTCGTTGGGACCACACATGGATACTTGAGTATTGTGGATGTGAACCGGCTCTGTGTGTTATTACTTTGAGAGAAAAGAACGGGAGTCTTGTCACGCATGCCTTGGACCGCCCTGGGTAGGTAGGTATCATCTTCTGTGCTTGTCTTCAGAAAAATATTCTTGGAAACGAAATGATCTAATTTGACTGAAAGCCACTGTAATCCCATGATAGTGCCGAACGTGCAGTGATGAAGATTGAAACATATCGTAAAGCAAGCCAAACCCGATTGAGCGCGAACACAGGTTCCTCAACACTGACCACAATAACAACTCTATCAATCCATGACAATCACAGGATTGATAGTGATTGCGTCGAACAACGCACCAACCACCCCATATGACGTGCAAAGCTACCCGGCAATCCTTCACCCTCCACAGTCCGGTCCGGCGTGTCGCTAGACACCTAACATATACGGCTCTCATAAATCTGACCCAAATCGGGCCTCTCGATTTTCCTTCCCCGCATGTCCCAAAAGTTTCTTATCATTGCGTTGTAAACTAAACGAGTGGTCACCTGGCCTCCAATGGCCCTGGTCCCACGCACGCTCTTTGTGGAGGTCAGCGACTTGTCGGCTCACGCATTCCGATCGTTGAGTTGGACGGGATAGATATGGCTTCGTCGTGGGCTCTTATCACGTTGATGATATCTATGGACAGTCGAATGTTGCACGCAGTGCAGTTTATGTATGACTGACTATTTGGAGAGCGAGATACTGGAAACTCCTGCGGTCGAGTATCACACGACAGTTGTTCGATATCGGGACGTGGATGAACGGATGATTATATTCGTTTCGAGATTTATCTGAGATAGATCCTGATCAATAACCAACCCCGAGGGATGGCAAAGTCTATGCATATCCAGACTTCGCGTGTGCTCTGGACGGGCTCTCGCCTCTTTTCCATCCATAAAACATATGGACCGTCAGTGAGGATATCGCCACTCACACAGGAGAGTCCGAGGTCTCGGACTATCCACTCCAACAGCTCCAATGCATCCTCGCAGACGCTGGCATCGACCTCGGCCGCCGCTGTACGGATTCCAGGGACAGACACCATAGAAGACTCCTCCGAGCCAGCAAGAAGCCATACGAGGAGAGCCTCGCCACTATCACGCCTGTCAACGGTGAGTCTGCTGCGATCACTGTTCCTCGGATACTGCTTTACGTCGCCGAGACTGCTGAAGGTCCTGATGGGCGCAATGGGATTCATTGCACATTCCAAGTCACCATTCCTGAACCCCGATCAGAATCCCGTGGTGGGTCGGGCTATCCGTGTCCTTGTTTATGATAATTTTTGTGCCGGAACGACGCCTCCAGAGGTCAAGCGGACCATCGCAGAGATCAAGAAGACTGGTTATGCGGGCGTGATACTGGGATATGGGCGGGAGATCGTGGTCGAGCCGAGTGGTGGTGCTGATGGTGCCAGTAAGGAGCTGTCAAGGGCCGAGTCGCAGGCCGCGGCAGCGGAAAAACATATCCAGTTCTGGCTTGATGGGAATATGACAACTTTGGGTATGATTGGTGAGAACGATTATATGAATGTGAAGTAAGCATACCCTTGAAGAATTGTTTGGTGGTTTGGATAATATTGAAGACTTACCATGATCTTCGGTCCTTCAGGTTCACCGGAGCGGGTCCGTTCGTCAGCCAGTGCCTCATCGACCGCAGCCAGCCTCCCGAGGCACTGGCGAGGGCGATCGATACAATATGCAACCAAGCTCGGTTACAGGGCAGCCGAATCTGGATCGATGCTGAGCAGCAAATCTTCCAGCCCACCATTGACGCATGGACGACCAACCTCATGCGTCGACACAACATTCACGGTGACGCCCTTGTCTACACCACCATCCAAACATACCTCAAGAGTTCACGTACCACGATAGCTAAATACTTACAAGTCGCCAGCGACGAGGGCTGGACTCTGGGCATCAAGCAGGTCCGGGGAGCGTATATTGCCAGCGACGTGCGTGACAGAATCTGGGACACGAAAGAACAGACCGACGAGTCATACAACTCGATTGCCAGAGACTTATTGGGGAAGAACACATCGGACAAGGCGTTTCCGGGGTTCAAAGCACAGAAATTTCCGAATCTGCACCTTTTCCTGGCGGGGCACAACACAGAGTCCATCCGATTGGCGACTGCGTTTGTTCGGGAGTTGGCTTTGGCTGGCAAAGAGGTCCCACATGTTCAGTACGGGCAGCTGCACGGCATGGCGGATGACGTGAGCTGTGATTTGGTTGAGCAGTGCGAGACTGCTGCCGAGAATTTGGAGAAGCACAGAGGCGACGGGAAGGCCGTAACGGCGAAGTATGAGTTAGAGATGAAAGCGGCACCGGTAGTGTATAAGTGTTTGAATTGGGGCTCGGTGCAAGAATGTATTCACTTCTTGTTGCGAAGGGCTGTCGAAAACGCGACTGCTGCCGAGAGGATCAAGCACGGTCTGCCTGACTTGAGGGCAGAATTCAAGAGGAGAATGTTGAGGCGGGCTTGAGTTTAGTACCACTTTATATTTTACCAGGAGCACAGTAACACTTGATGATGGGGGTTAGTTAATGGAGAGGCTTTGAACACTGAAAAGATCTAACTTCCCCTGAATGTTTATCTACTTGAGAACCTAGCACTCGCCAAGATATTAGCGGCAAGGCTGATCTGGCTCCTGAGACGATGTTTGATCCAACCTCAACATGTCGTCTCCTCCATGTCAATAACTTACAGGCTAAATATGTGCTGATATACTCGGCGCTTTCCGCTTCTTCACAGCCTGATCATACTCTGCATCAATGTCGTCCGTCCAAACCCAACGCATTCTATCAATTACACGCTTGTGGATCTCTGGAACACATTCGTCGAATGGTAGATCCTTCATGATATCCGCCTGAGCCTGGTACACCTCTACTGCGTCTCTACTTGTCCGCTGAACCTTCTGTGCCCGTGGCAGTCGGACATCCTGATACAGTTGTACCCAAGATTCCAAAGCATCTGAACTCGAGTGCGAGCTTTGCAGATAATCTGAAAGCGCACGCCCGAGAATGTACCCATCCTCGATCGCCTGACCTGCTCCGGCACCTTTCCGCTTGTTAGTACGGTCAAAGAAGAGAAGTTCCAAGGACTGACCTTGGTGAGGTGTCATGGCATGTGCAGCATCGCCTAGTAGCACAACCTTGCCTCCCAGGTATACCCATTGATCCAAAGGTTTTCGATCATTTATAAGCCACTTGGACGGCTGATCGTCCATCAATTGAATCACTTTCTGGACACGTTCCTCGAACAATTTGAAAGCGTCGAATACTTCTTGCTTTTCTCCAACCGCCGTCCAGCTTTCCCTCAGATCGCCCAAATTCTCTTCCTTTTCCGCCACAAATGCAACGATATTCAGTATCTTGTTCTGCGAAATTGGGAAGCAAAGAAAATGCCGATTCTTCCCCAGCCAGGTCACGGAATATGTGTCGAATCCCCACCATGATTCAATTTCGGATATTGGTACCAGCCCCCGATAAGCGATCCTTCCGCTATAGTCAGGGTTATCGCTCGTGAACTGAGCTCTAACAGCAGAATGGATGCCATCACAGCCAATGACTAGATTTGCCTTTGTGCTTGTTCCGTCCTCAAAGTCGATGAGAACTTGGTCTCCGTCCTCCTGTTGTCTTGTCAGCATGAATTGGCAAAATTGGTCTGGCACATACTGTTAACTTGCGACATCGCTTGTTAGTGTAAAGATCTGCCGCGTTTCTTTGCTTCACTATATCGACCAGGAGATCCAAAAACTCTGCGCGGTGAACAGGTGTTTGCCTGACTTCGCCCGTCTCTTCCAGCGGCACCGTCACGACGTCTGTTCCATCATCGAATTTGCGGAACGTTATCCAGATGCCGCTTCGTTTTCCTGCAATTGCAGCAACTTTCTCACCAATTCCGATCTTGTAAAGCAGCTTGGCTGCATTGATGCCTATTCCTACTCCGGCACCGATCTCCTTATATTGGGGAGCTTGTTCATACACATTAATCTGGAGTGCAGAGCCACAGTGGTAGTGGAGGGATAGGGCCGTGCAAAGCCCACCAATTCCACCTCCGACTATTGCAACAGTAAGCCGCGGGCGGTCATGAGTCGAGACCATATCTTTTATTCTAAATGAAATGTGATCTGAATGCTGCACTTCCAGTTGATTGGCCGACGAGGACGACAATTCTCTCGATCGCTTGCAGAACCGATGAGAATAGTTCGATCAGAAAACTTACTTACTCAACGGGCCCAGAAATGTTCCGTCTTTCATATTTCTTACTGCCTGATAAATGGGTTTTAGCCGGAGGTGACTAAGTGAGTTCAAAATGTACTTTCTCCTCACTGACTGCCTAGGTAGGTAAACATTTCTGGCGTAACCGTTGGTGGCCAGACTCCCCCAATGAACAAGATCTCCAAGCCTTTGGGCCACAAAGCTTATGCGGTTTCTGGTATAGAACTGCAGGCAGCTAGCCTGTTCAGGCAGGATGTACATCTTCAACGACCGCATGATTACCGCACCATTTCTTTTGCTCCCTATTCAACGCCACCGGCCATTCTGCGCTGCCGCACATGGCATCCATTCTCCTCATGTTCCCCTCATCGAAGGTGCATTATCCGTTGACCAAGCGGGCCACTTCACCCACAATAGTACAAGGAAAATTTACCGTCGGATCATGAGATTTCCCCATGTCTCCCCAGTCTCCCCAACTACAGGGGGCTCTTAGCGAGCCTCGTGGGCGTTTTCACAACTACCGGGCATACAGATGTTCATTCTGGTTGCCTGTTTAGGCAGGCGATACTGTCTTTTGGAGTCCTCTTATCCCACTTCTGCGGGCAAGCAAGCTCTCGTGCACGGAGAGAAATGCACATCATGTTCTCCACGACACTGTACTGCTCCTACTTCAATTGTACCATCAGTACTCATACCCAGCGATTTTCTCTCCGTCACCAAAGAATTTAGGTCATTTGGAAATCATGGACTCTGGACGAGGGAAAGCCGAAGTTGCGCATGCTGAGGAGGGCGAGAGGTCTTCTCGTGACGATGTCGATGAAGCACTGAAAGAAGCGCAGATTGGTTTTGAAGCGATACCGAGGTCAGACCTGAAGCTCGACAAACGTGGACTCCCTCTTGTTCCACAGCCGACAGATCGAAAGGATGATCCTCTCGTATGTGAATCCTTATCAGAGTCTTTCCAAATAGCTCGAGAGTGGCTTGAACTGATACTGTCTAGAATTGGTCGGCCGGGCTCAAACTGTTCGTTCTTTTACAAGTCAGTTTACTGGCCTTTCTCGGTCCCATGGCTGGTGCTATCGTCAACCCTGCTTTCATTCCGTTGAGCAAACAATTCAACATCACTGTGGTCCAAGCTTCATATGAGCTTACGGTGTACATCGTTTTTGCAGGTATCGGACCGCTGCTTACGGTTCCGTTGTCCAATCTGTACGGCCGAAGACCCGTCTACATCGTGGGAAATCTTGTCGCTGGCATCACTAATATCGCTGCTGGGAAGTGTACCACATGGACAGGGATACTCGTCACTAGAGTTTTCAATGGTATAGGCGCAGGCTCACCAGCTGCGATCGGAGCCGCGACCATTTGTGATATGTACTTCCTGCACGAACGTGGGTTCTACATGGGTATATTCACATTTTTCCTGACCAACGGACCTCACGCTGCTTCTTTATTCGGAGGCTTCATAGCTCAGAGATTGGGTTGGCGCCAGTGCTTCTTAATTCCAGTACGTGTCACATGTCCCTCGATATGCAGAGTCTAACGTCCACTTCAGGGATACATCCAGCTAGGCGTCCTTGTATTCAACCTCTTCTGCCTCCCAGAAACCATTTTCTCCCGACGATCTGTCGCTGGACTCAAGGAGCGATCCTTCATGGATTTACTTCTCTTCAAGAACTCGGGACTACAGGGTCGCAGGCTCCGTGCTGCAGACTTCATCAAGCCATTCTACATGTTCAAGTATCTCGCTATCCTGATCCCAGGATTCTGGTACATGACGGCTTTCGGGTTCGGCTCTGTGTTGTTTGCGGCGACAGGTTCGAAGTTATTCCACGGAATCTACGGCTTCGATGTAGCGCAGACTGGATTGATGCTAAGCATCCCACTCCTGATCGGGTGTCTTCTGGGTGAAATGTGTGCGGGTTGGCTGACTGACCACATGGTTTATCGATATGCTAAAAGCCATGGAGGTCGACGAGAGCCCGAGCCACGTATTAATGCGATACCACTTGCAATCCTTTGCCCTGTTGGAATCATCATTGATGGCGTCTGCTTGTCACACCATAAAACCGTCCCGTGGATCGGCGCTGCGTTTGGAATGGGTATTGCCAATTTTGGTCTTCAAGTCGCAACGACCATAACGTACAGTTATTGCACAGATGTAAGTCCACGCAAAACGGTCTATCAAGATGGAGTCGCTACTAATGTCAAGCTAGTGTTATAAACCTCAAAGTTCCGAAATATCCAGTATCCTCAACCTTTTTCGAAGCATTTTCTCAATGACAATCTCCTTCTATGCGTGAGTAGCAAGTCCCATTTACTCCCCATGTGCATGACTGACATGATCGGCTTGACAGTATCCCACTTGGTGAAAAGATCGATTATCAATACGCCTGGCTGATATTTGCCATGATCAACGTTGTTTTCTTGATTCCAATGGTGATGCTCCGATTCTACGGAGTTGGCTGGAGAAATAGCGTTTGGCAGAAGCCTCCAACATTCCACGATGACCTTTGAAATATTCATTGGAGCTTAGAAGGCAGGCGTGACCTTTTTACATATTTGCCATGTGAAGCCAGGGGTAATTTCGAGGTGGACGACTTATGGAAACTACGAACTTAGGAAAACGCCACAGTCATCTGAGAAGGTCTCAAATATTCTATAGTCAGGATTTGAAGACTATTTACGTGCCAATTCCAGTTTCTAGCTCGAACGACTGCTCATCCCGCTCCGCTATCAATGTTGCACCGTGGAGGCCGGATTAAATATTATCGGAAACCAAAATATAGTCCTTGATACTGGCCAAAACAAAACCCTAGCTTGACACTACATTATCCAGAACCCAAATAACTCAGATCACGCATAAGAAATGTTATCTCGCCTCTCGTCTCTCTCCACAACATATAATACTTGTCGCGAGGGCGGCTTATCACAGTCGATCCCACGAACCCAAAAGCATCGGCATTCCGCGCCCTTCTCCGCAGGTTATCGGAAAGCGCGAACCGATATCTTGTCGAGCCTGGAGTAAAGTAAGACATCGCCTGGATGAGCCGGGGCGAATGATAAATTCCTAGGGCGTGTTCGTTGCGGGGTTGTCTCTTTCCTTGTCGAGATAATGTGGTTGTATCTCGATCATTAGGTAGCTGGGTGCTTTGTCTCTCCATGAAGATCGCGAATGTTAATTCTACTTCTCAAGATTCAGATAGACAAGGAAGGGCAGGACTCTGATTAAGAACGAACTTAAAATGAAGGTGCAATCACTGGGTCGCTTTGCTGCTGGGGCTCGTCGGCCTCAGCAAGCATGTCTTCGGAAACAACGAGTCTTCGCTCCTCTGCACGATGCACGGCCGTTGCATTTGTGGAACCCTCCTCATTTCGAGAATGAACCTGTTGTAAGTAGGAATAACGTGAAGTGAAGTTCAAAAATGTTCTGACGAGGCATCTACACATGCAGAAAACATATGCCAAGGGCTCCCCTGAGCGAACTGAGATTATCCAAGCATTGAAGGATCTCAAGGCGGCTTTGCCGGTCAAGATTCCAATAAAAGCTGACGGTGTTACAGTAAGTGATCCCTACAAAAAGAAAGGGTTATGGGTGTTACACCAAAAAGTCCCAGCGCACTCCAACGCAGTATTGACATCTCCAATCCTAGATCAACGAAACATATTCTACAACCCAGGAAAATCCATCAGCGTTCCACGAGATTGTAGCAGAATATGCCTCAGCATCACCATCCGACGTCAATAAATGCATCGACGCAGCCTTAAAAGCAAAGCCCATGTGGGAAGCCATGCCGTTCGAGGACAGAGCCGCCATCTTCCTCCGCGCGTGTGAGCTCATTACGGGCAAATATCGGTCGACGATCAACGCCGCCACCATGCTCGGACAGGGAAAGAATATCTTCCAAGCGGAGATCGATGCGGCCTGTGAGACGGTCGATTTCTTTCGCTACTATATCCAACAGGCGTGGAAGTTGTTTGCACAGCAGCCGACCATCCACACGAGCGGGACCTGGAATAAGCTCGAGTATCGGCCGCTTGAGGGCTTCGTGTACGCGATCGCTCCTTTCAATTTCACCGCCCTCGCGGCAACACTAGTGGGCCCAGCTGCACTGCTGGGAAATGTCGTGGTCTGGAAACCATCACCGTCGGCACTTCACTCAGCCTGGGTGCTACACCAGATCCTCCTCGAAGCAGGTCTGCCTGAAGACGTCATACAATTCGTTCCTGGCGACGCGGCACAGATCACGGATACAGTGCTCGCAAGACCGGAATTCGCTGGCTTGTCGTATATAGGTTCGACTGCTGTGATGAAAGAACTGCTGGGCAAGGTCGGCAAAGCGACTGCGGCAGGGACGTTCAATTCATACCCAAGAGTTGTGGGTGAGACTGGAGGGAAGAATTTCCACCTCGTACATTCCTCGGCAGACGTCAGGAATGCTGCTCTGAACACCATTCGAGGTGCCTTCGAGTATCAAGGGCAGAAGTGCTCGGCTTGTAGTCGAGTGTACGTCGCTGAATCGGTGTGGCCGGAGTTTAAGAAGGTCCTGATTGAAGAAACGATGAAACTGAAGGTTGGTCAGCCTGAGCAGTTTGACAATTTCATTAATCCGGTCATTCATCGACGAGCGTTCGACAGACTCGCAGATGTGATTGAGCGGATGAAGAACGACAAAGAAGTCGAATTACTCGTAGGCGGCACCGTCGACGACTCGCAAGGCTACTTCGTGCACCCGACCATCTACCAGACGACAAATCCCAAGCACGAGCTCATGACGCGGGAGCTCTTCGGGCCCTTATTTGCCGTCTACGTGTACCCCGACGACAAGTTCGCAGAGACGCTCAAGCTGGTCGATTCGACATCTACGTATGCGCTGACCGGCTCGATCTTTGCGCGGGACCAGATCGTCAGTCGACAGGCGCAAGATGCGCTGCGCCATTCGGCTGGGATGCTTTACTTGAACAGTAAATGTACGGGGAGTGTTGTCGCGCAACAGCCCTTCGGTGGCAGTAGAGATAGTGGGACGAATGATAAGTCTGGAACGGCCGCTCTGCTTGGTCGGTTTGTTAGTGTCAGAACTATCAAAGAGGAATTCGGGACCATCGACCAAGTTACTTACCCAAGTAACGTGGTTTAGTTTGGGGGTAGTAATAAATGATCGGCTATTTCGGAGTTTGTTATTCAATTAATAGCAACTCGCAGGAAGATGTCCACGTTGAAGTAGCTTAAGCTTGAGAAGTCGAAGCCCAGGCTTTTGCCGCACTCAGAAAAGAAACAGCTCTTGCTCATTCCTCGGCTGGCAATTTCGGTCGACTCACAGATCCCAAATCTAATTTCTTCCAATTACTCGCTAGTGTCGTTTTCCATTTGTTCATTGTTACGGTAGCTTCTGCCGCTCTGAGTTTTAGTATATCCTCCACGGCATCCGCCATCTTAGAAACGTTCTTCTGCAAGTCCTGGCTCAGCGGCCGGGGGAGAGGGTCGTCTGGTTCGTCGTCAGAGTCAACTTTGTCAATTTCGACTGACTGAGTTCTGCGACGCCGAGCTGTGGGGGCAGGTTCTGGCGAGTGAGGGCCTTCAGGGGCGTCAGCCTCGCGGTCGTCACCGTATAAGTCTGTCGATTCTTGAACCGCATGTTCTTCTGGTTGTCTTACTGATCCTTGAGTAGATTGTTGGGAGTTCCTCTGCACACAGTCCGTCTCTGTTGGCCAGCGGATTGCGGATTGGACAAGATCTAAAGTTTCATGTTCCTCTTCTGGCCATTTGGCGTAAATGTCGTAAAACCGGAGGTAGCCAATAATGGAATCAATCTCATAGAGTGATCGAGATGTCCCATTATTGAAAGCCAATATTGCAGATTGAAGTGCATCATGGCCGTTCTCGGCAAGGATTGTGGGATCAAATCCGTTTTCGGTAAGGGCCAGGAATTTTGCCTTCCTGTCAAGAGGACCATGATCATCTCTACGCTCGATGGAACTGTCCAGAAGGGCTTGAAAAACTGTACCGCCCCAATAACACTTGGCATGTAGATCTGCACCGTGTACCATCATCAGCTGTAACACCATACTGTAATCAGCTGTTGGGCGTATTGAGCCATGAGCACATCGACAGGAAGGTGCGCATGTCACTTGGGCCCAGTGGAAGAGGAGCCCGACCTTCTCATCCGAAACCTTACAGCATGGTTGCCATTCAGCGTCATGCGGTAGCTCCGGCGACACATGATTCATGAGTGCAACAGAAAGATCTGAAGCTGTCTGCCAGCAGTTGGTGTTCCTCATGAGGAAACATATATCTCTTTGTAATGGAAACCTACCATAGTTTGCAAGTGATTTCACGAAGCCTTTCACTGCCTTCAGAGATATCGCTTGGTTTGCAGTAGGATGTGATAGGATAGCTTTGAAGAGAAAGTCCTGTTGATATTCAGATATGGCCGATTCGGCTAGGCGGTCTCGGAAATAATATTCCAGGGGTGCCTTGACCGCCAGGTAAGCGTCCATGATCGGAAATAGTTTCTTGTCGCCCTGGACTTTCGTCAACAGTTTTCTATCGACACTTTCTCGTCCACTCATGAGGATGCAATAGGCTAATATGGGGTTCAGGTGGCATTTCATAGCTTGAGATACAATGGGATATGATGATTCTCCCGTCTCTTCGTGTATAACTGCAAGGTCCAGGAGGAGAAAGACTGCCGTTCTTATTATGACATGACGTCGCTTCCAAGCAGGAGGGAACTCGACATTTGGCGCACCTGCAACAATAATTCCTTCCAATGCCAAGGTTATTGGGTCTGAATACTCTTTAGAGAGCAACAGTGGGCAGAATTCTGTGCCTTCACAACAGAATATGGACGAAATGCATGGTGGGAAAACCAGCGAACAATCTTTTTCGGAGCATCTTCCATTCTTAGATCTCCAAATGACCACGCTTCGAGCCACATGTTTAATTCTTGTCGAGCATGGTCCATGATTCTTGGCTCAATCATGTGGTCGACAGACGCCTGTTTGATTAATCTCCCGCAAAATCCAAGCCAAAATGATGAAGAATAGCGAGTTTTGATGATCTCTGGGAGATATCGATCGATCCAGTTTTCTCTACTGATGAAGGCAGAGAACGTTTCGTGAACATATCGGACGCTTAATCCGGTCTCTCCAAGCAAGTCTATCATGGTAGCTCCACCTTTCGAAGGAGAAAACTCGACCAAACCTTGCAGAAGCTGCCTCGTGCGAGCTTGTAACTCTTCATGGCTCTCCAGTCGAAATGTAGCAAGTTCTCGGCCCACGTCATCTAGAATGAAATCATATGCACCCCAAAAATGATCCAGATTTGTGGTCGAAAAATCCATAAAGACTGCAACACCTTCTTCAGTCCATTTAGACATCGACTGCAGTCTACCGGTGAGGAACAATAACAGCGCAGCTTCAGGTCGATCCCGTTGCGGTATCATTTCCAGGATCCGATGATAAGACTTCGTCAAGCGTATCAGGAACATCTTGTACAAGATCCACAATCTCACTGTTGGATGCTCCTTGGTCAAATTGTTCGACTACCATATCAACCACCAACTTGAACCATAGTAGGATACCTTCAGCACGACGAATGAGGTATTTCGTGAGTGTTGGATGGAATCTTCGCTCAATGGTATAATTTGCTGTACTTGCTTTTTGGACCTTTCTTTCAATATAACGCAGCATACTGACTTCGTTGAATTCTTGCATTGTGATCTGTGACCACAAATTGAGCGTGTTAGCGAGTTGAGAATCAGGTCGGCTAGCTAAACAGAACTTGACCGGGATGCGTTGCTTCAGAAGCTGACATATATGAACAACTTCGATCACCCCTCCTTCGAATTCATCAAGACCATCTAGGAAAAGACAGAATTTATATCCGGACAGAATCTGAGCTTCACATAATGCATCAAGCAGATTTTGCTGGTTGTCAACCCTGAGTCGTCCACCTTCAAGTAGAGTTGTCAACCGCTCCTTGATTTGCTCGTTTTGATCGGCTAACTGGTGGAGCAGTGTTCGATACAAGCCAGTGATGTTATTTGGCAGATTTTTTCCTGCTCGATAATCAAAATAGAAGTGACCTGTCCAATAACTTTCATCCCGTATCCGTAACTGGGCCATTGTCTGTTTTGAGACCGCCAAATATGCCATCAGAGTCGACTTGCCAGAACCTGGCTTGCCGTTGATCCAATAAGGGCGGTCAGAAGTGGACAACCATTTGGGGAAGTCTGTCTCCCAGATCCAGTCGTTGTAGTACATTGCTTCAGGCATTGAGTACTCCCTTTTGTCAAACATACCTTCGTACTTGAGAACGTCCAGAACATCTTGTAGCACGATCAGCATCCATTGTGACAGTATATCAGAAATACTTACCGTTCTTCTTGCCAGTGAGAAGCTTGGTGACCCCATATGTGCCTACCCTAAAAGTTTTCAAAGCACGTACAACCCCCAAGAGCTCCTTCGCATACATTGCCGCAGCTGCTGCAGCGTATTCCTGCCACTCATCGTTCTTATGAGTATCAGAGTAATCACAAATGCCTCGAATCACAATACACCTTAGATCAGTGTTCATAAGTCCAGCAGATTCCATCTCGAAACAAAGAATGCCGTCCTTCGAAGCCAGATGGTCGCGAAGTGAAGCATCTTTCATTAGATTATCAGCCGAACCAATAGTTCCGTAGTGAATAACAGGTTGATCCACATTACTGGGTCGTGGAAGTCGTTCCTTGACAGCTTGGTCTTGTTTGGCGCACATGTCAGTGCAGCAGCTGGCTCCCTCTGGGTGAATAAACGTCGACCTGTAAAGAATATCTGACTCCTTCGGAGGCCGCTTGTACTTGTCAAGACGTGGGGAGTTCTGTTCGATAATCTGGTGTATCATATGGTCCATACGGTTTCCTTGGCGGTCAAACTTGGTCTTCAACTTGTTTGTCGCATTTAGGAGAACTTCAGGTGGCGCATTTAGGTTACCGCGCCTTTGAAAGCCTTTTCGTTGATCTGTGGCTCCAAAACCATAATGAACCACACCTCCAAGGCGTGTATGATCATCTGGAACACTCACAACCACGTCACCGAGCCTTATATCATTGTTCGCAGATGGTGCAGCTCCTGCAATCCCAATCATGAGCCCAAATCGTAGTTTGGGAAAAGTCCGCAACATCTCTGTAGCGAGAATTCCAGCTTGGGTCAAGCCCATTCTCGCCATTGGCAGGCTAGCAATCACCACATTGTGTTCACCGATACTACCAAAGGTATAGCAGTTATCATCATTGCCGATATCGATTGGGTTATCATGTTCGTCGTCCAATAGTGCGCATGCTATGAGGTATTCCTTCTGAATAGCCGAAATCCATGCGACGCTGTAGTCCTTTGATCGTAGGCTTCGAGCAAGTGGCGCCATGGTCGTAGTTTAGCGATAATTTCCCCGCCCAGATGGGCACATTTGGTATTACTCTCTGCGCAACGTTATCAAGCAGCTCTGCCAAGCCCAAGTATTCTCTGCTAAATTGTCTGCGACCAGTTGGGCAATAGAAGGCTTTGTGTGTTGGTAAGCGTTGCAACTCGTGGTACACTTGATGGCGCAATAACCTCGCCGCTCAATGCTACGAGACCGATGTTTAGAAATCTAAGGCTGTCGAGGCGCGGAGGCGACGTTAAGTAATGCATGGAGCTCATCTAGCAACGGCAAATGCGGAAGGCGCAACTGATCGTCCAACTTTGGAACGTTTGAGCGCTATCAGGTGGTAGCCCATTCGTCTCCCACGTACGTATGTTGCCCGACTTATGTGCCATGACCCCCACCTTGGAAAGAGGCATGTTGGTTTATCGTAGGGTGTGAGCGCCCCTCTTTTTGGCGTTTCGCTTCTTCTTACACTTGTGATAGGCAGCGGAGCTCGAAGTTTAGGAGACAGACATTGGGTAGCGCCGCGTAGCCTGACAAAGCCTTGAACATGCAGGCTCGGATATTCATGTCTGCATCATTTGGCCCCAATGTTTCGAAGCAGATGTGTTCGTGGAGCTAATTCTGGTGACCTTAGCCCCTTCTGTGCCGTCCCGTGGGGCCTATGCCGTCCCTCCATACCTAACTTGAAGATACCTCCAGTTAGAACCATTTTTCCGAAAGTATTTTGCTGCAGAAGAAGCGCATAGCAATCATGAAGACTGAATCTAATGAAGCCGTCTCTTAGCTAGGCGCGTAAAAGAACAATATCTGCACTGCATGGCTGGAAAATACTTGTGTCAATAAACTGGAAAGAGATGGGGGAAAATGAGAAGAAAAGATAATGTGTGCTCGGCTGGGAAACGGTACTTTGGACGGCAAGGAGAGAGCTTGCCCCGCGCCTTCAGCCGCATGCCTAGATCGAAGGTCTCCACAACATGCGGATCTTGAACATCTTGTTCAAAGACTCGTAGAGTTTGTTCGGATCCTCAACATGCGATGGTGGTGCACCTACGACCTATGTGCAGGGACTTGCCCTAAAGTACTTCAACTGCAGCACCATCTTATTGGAGTAACCAGTACTCCTAAATGACTAGTGGCAGGAGCGATGGGTTGAAGACATCCGCATTTACTGCGTTTCCAACATCCCAGAGCCAGCAGGGAACGTGGCCTTAATAGCTCGATGGTATGCACCCTTATACCTGAGAAGAGAGGTTCAACTCCATCATGAGTGATCTCCTAGTCGATCAGCAGTACTCGAAGACCTGGACTGTTGACATGGGATCCGTGCTTGAACTTCCCCAGTTACGTCATGACTAGGACATGGCGTTTTTGATGTAATGACTACATCATACATTGATGATCAGGTACAAAGTACAAGAAACAGGGTGCATCTACCAGGAAGAGAGACGAATGGAGCTTCTTCATTGTGATCCATCAAAGGAAACTAGTGCGTGTGTGTCCGTTTTCCGAAGAATTCAAGATGCCTCCCAAGACACGAGCTGCTGAGGCCAAGGCTGAGAAAGAAGATGGAATTGATCTCCCTTCTCACAGCAAAGCTAAGCAAAGTGATCGCGAGGTGGAGCAAGAAGGCGAGTATGAGAACAACGACGCCGCTGAGGAGCCAGAGCCAGAGGGCGAATCTGAAATTGAAGAAGATGAGGAAGCAGAGGAGGACGAAGAGGAAGAAGATGACGGTAACGATGATCTTGATTCTGGGAAGGATGCGCACGCCGGACAGAAACGTAAATCGCCACCAAAAGATGGATCAAAGCCACCACCAAAGAAGGCAGCACGACAGGCCTCAGACTCCCCTTCTGTGAGCCCTAAGAAATTGTTGAATTTCTTGCTCTCAGCCAGAGCTCTTCCCTACTGCTTTCCTGCCGAGGAGCTCGAGGCCGCAAAATCGTCCTCGACATACAAATCCTACTCGCTTTCCTCGCCCACATCATTCACACCATTTGAGCATCTTCTTTGCGCGCATATGCTGTCCAAACCACTGAGTCACAGGCTGGGAATGCGCAGCATACGCACGCTCCTCAATGATCCATTCAACTTCAGCACACCTGAAACGATTGTTTCAGCGGGCGAGCACCGAGTATGGGAGGCCCTAGAAGAAGCACGAACACAACATCGACAGAAAACCGCTTCATACCTCTTTGGAACTGGTAAGGCGTACTCAGATTCGGAAACGATGTTTAATCTGGCACAAGAAGCCAATGACTCAGGCCCTTCAGGTGTCATTGAACACATCAAGTCAACCGTCCCGGGACTGGCTACCGTGGGCGGTGAAATCTTCTGCCGCAGGGTACAGTGTGTCGATGGCTGGGGAGATGCCCTGTGGCCGTATGCAGACGGAAAGGCAATTGATTCACTGCGACAGATAGGTATTGAGGTCGAAGATGCAGAGGACCTCCAGAGCGCTATTGAGCGTGAGGTCGACTGGACTCAGGTCAAAGATATGGGTCTGCACGAAAGAGACTTGAGTAAACAGCAGCTGGTGGGAGAAATGGAAGAAACACAGATGCAGGCGGAATTTGTGGTTGTTTTGGAGCGAGCGATCGGTTGTGTACTGGAAGGTAAAGTTGAAGAGCTGAAGAAGGCGGCAGCGGCTGAAGCGTAGAATTGGGTGATCGTAGTACAATGTACTATCTAGCTGATCAATACAGGAAATGTGTAGTCAGTCCCATCATAGGAACGATAGCCTGTTCAACAAGGTTAATCAAGCCCACCATTCGTCCTGCAGGCCGTCAAGGAACTTGACATCGACATTGACAAAGCTCTTCCAGAAATCGATCTCGAGTCTCCACGGCTGGGTCTGAACACTGAAAGTCGCGGCCGCCGCAAGTTTCAACAACTCGTCTTCATCTCTACCCATAACGAGCACGACGTCCTTCCGTACTTGGAACTTGTGGCTGTCTGATCCAAGTTGGCGCTGCATCTGTTCCAGCCTCGCGGTCATGTTTTTGTGTACACTGTACTCCGAATACGCCATATCTTTACACATAAACTTCCAGACCCACATGCGTCCGATACCGTCGCGGAAGATAGTGAGGTCCCTGTTGTTGAGGCCCATCATGAACGGGTAGAAATGCGGTGCGGACCAGAGGCGGAGGAGGGCGAATCTTGCTTTAGGCGCTTTAGCACTGAAGTCTTGGGCGGCCTGTCTTAACGACTTGATCGTGATGGTGTACGGGTTGATCATAGACTCTGGCATTTTGATGTCCTCGATGGTTTCGCGGTAGTCGAAGAACAGGTCCAGCGGTCTCTCTCCTTCTTGGCCTGCAAATGCACGGCCAGCTTCAAACCTGGCGAAACATTGGTAATGGCAATCAGGCCCTCACGGAGTACTGTGAAGGAGAAAAGCTAGGTGAATGGACTCCGTCAGCTCCTGAACAGGGGTTTACTTACACTGTACAACCTTAAGTCGAATACATTTATTCCATTCCAACGGCAAAGGGATCGTACAAGGATTCGATGTTTTTTGATTCCTTTTGAACTTTCTCGAAGGCTGTATAGAATGACTTTTCGCGAAATCGACAGCTTTGAAAACTCCTGCAGTCTGGTAAATGCTTGCTTCTTTGCACTTGATTGAAAAGCTATGAGTCCTTGTGCCGAGACCCCCTCTTGTGCGGAAGAATGAAAGAGTCCCAGAAGCGAAGAGCGTGATGATTGAATAAGCTCGCCTGGCGTCCTTCATCACGCGGAGATGAGTTTCAGGGTGATACTTGAGGGTCTTTGAGAGTTGGGCACAAGGTAGTGCTCATTCATAAAGTAGATTCCTGTCCATTTCTGCGTCGGAACGGAATGAGAGATACTCTTGCCATCGTTCTTGAGCACCAATCTCGAAATTACATTTGTGCCAGGATTCTTTGAAGACTGTTACAGTTTTCGGTGGATCGTACAGTATGAATCAATAGCAAGGACCGCAGTTTCGTCGGACTATTCTTAAACGCACAGGAAGCTTTCACGTACGTTTTTGACTCTCACAGATCGACATGAACGATGAATTCTGCTTCCATATCTATATTGCGTTCCGGGCCTTTTCCAAATGAATCCAGTATTCTCTCCGCCGCTTGTAAAATGCCGGCCCGAGTGGAAGTGTACTCCCGTAGACTATGACAAGTTATTCAAGCATAAATGTGTTTCAAATGCAAGGTGCTTTTGGTCGCAGGCACGTATGCCAAAGGGATAGCGAACCTCTCATTCATTGCTCCATTGTGGGCCTGATCGTCAATACCAAGTTTGGCAACTTCATCAATTGGTAAACCCCTATCTGAATCGGCACTCCCTTCGCTCTCCGATGTATCGTCCCATGACGAAGCACCATCGTCACTGGCATGGATTGTATCCCCGTGGCCAGTGTTTGGGACTTTGCACCTCTTATTGCGTCTCATGTTTTTCCGAAAATTGGGTTTCAGTTCTTCTGTTGGCTCTTCGTCGGTGTCCAGATCGCCAGTTAAATTGGCAAATAGCTCGACCGGAACTTAACTCGAATGTACCAATGGCATTGCCAACAGACTTGAAAGGCTTCGAGCCTGAGGCTGTACGTGCATCATTGGGAAATAATATCGCATCCTCAAGTGCATCCGCTTCATTGTAGATCAAGAATTTGGGCATCTCGTATATTTCATCTCCCTCTGTGTTCCGCCAGGTAAAGGTAGCGCTATCGCTCGACATTTCATCCCAAATGCTCCGAGTAAACTGACACTCTCTCCTCGTGTTCAGGTAAAGGAGGACAAGAAGCAACCGCAAGAGTCGACTTCAGACTTACCGAAATATTGCCTGGCATGAAAGCCACAGGCTTTTCCGTCTGCCGAGATGGCCTTTGCATCACATTTTTCGCCATGTGCAAGACTCAGGGCACAACATTGATGATCATTTGATGTCACTTTTGACGGGTGGGATCCTGAGGCAGCCATTGCAAAATAAGACAGGCAGCTGACTCTCACATAGGAGTTGGCATGAGGCTTATAATAAGCCAATTTGCATATTCCTAGATGGAAGAATCCCAGCTCAACAGGACCATGAATTCTTCGTAACTGGTGGAGCTCTGAGCCTCCAAACTCGCCGCCAGTCGAATTGCGGCGCGTCTTATTACGCGTGCCCTAGATCGGTGCTAGTCAGCACGGGGAATATTTGATCCGGTCTCGGATTATCTGACCCACCAAATTCAAGGTATACGACAACACCTGTCTGCACATACTCCTAGATTTGCTTCATCTTAACATTCAGCGACCCACTGAGGTCATTTGAAGCCGAATTCCGCCATGGATGGCCGTGGGCTCACATTAAGAAAGAAGCGCAAGGACCGCCCAACGATTAGTGCTCCTCAAAATGCCTCTGGTCCAGGGATTACCAGGCCTGCACCACAACAGAGCAAGTCCAGCACTCTTACCGTTCCTCGAGATCGAAATGCTCCCACAGAAACCTCTGATCTAGTCAAGCGTCGCTACTCGACTCGATACAACCAGCTACCGGATTTCAGCAATGCTGGTGCGCCGCCCGTGCCGAATCTTCCAGGCACACTCAAGAGAAGGTCAGGGGGCGGTTCACCTCGCAGACCAGGCACATCATCCTCGTCTCGCCCCTTATTGGTGGACGGAGACATCTTCAAAGACCCGAATCTTCAGCATGATCGATATGTGACTGATTTGTTGTCCAATGCATCGGAGCAAGAAATTCAAGATTACCAGTCAGGTCTTCAAAGACTGAAGAACCGCAACTCTACCGACCTTCAGCAAAGTGTCTACCAGAACAGAACCCAGTTCATCAAAATAAGCAAAGAGGCGGAAAAACTGAAGACTGAGATGTCTATCCTACAAAACCTTATGTCGGAGCTTACCGGTACACTTGGCCAACGGGCAGGAGGAAATTCTACCAGTCCTTCATCCCCCGAAATTGACGAAACTTCGTCGTCAAGACGTAATCCAAATCGCAGCTCGGTGGCCAATCTTGAGCTGATGTGGAATATCCAACTTCAAGCATTGTGGAAGAACGTCGAGAAGTCACAGAAATTCCTGCCAGCCGCTCCGGGACGACATATTGTTGCCGAGACTGGAAACTGGATTGAGCTTGACAGTGCCACGTGGAAACCCAAACGACCAGTTCACATTGTTCTATTGAATGATCATCTACTTATCGCTTCGAAGAAACGCAAACGAGTTGATCCGAATGCTCCTCAACAAGGCCCAGCTCCAACAAAGAATGTTGCTGAAGAATGTTGGCCCTTGCAAGATATCGAGATCATTGACATGTTGGGCAACAGCGCATCTGGAAACACCAATCCTGGAGAGGAGAAAGCCATAGCATCAGCTCTGACGATCAGATCTGGTGGAAGATCCTTGACCTATCGGCACGAAAAGCGGGACCTCAAAGCCAAAAATCAATTGTTAATGGCATTAAGAAAGGCTTCTGAAGATGTCCGCAAAGCCAGTAAGACACAAGAGGAACAGAACAAGCCACAGACCGAAAGCCTGAATTACTATGCCGCCCGTGATCCAGCGTCTGCCAAGAACACTGAAATCATCGAGAGCATCAATTCATCAAAAGAAAAGCCCGACATCCTGATCGAAGTAGACGGAAAGCAACAAAACTTCCGCTGGGTCGAAGGGCAAATCGACGATCTCGACATCGACATCGCACTCCAAGTTTTTGAAGAAGCAGTCGAGAAAGTCGAGAAACTCCGCAAGATCGCTAAAGGACTTAAAAGCAACTCGATCGCCCAAGAACTCATCTCGCTGAAAGTAGACGAGAGATCGTCCAAGCTCGCCACAATCCTCTGCCGCGAACTCGTGGAGACCCCTTCGTTCCTCGAAGCGACCAAGAAGACCACCAACTTCCTGATCCGCCTAGGCTTCGAAGACCGCGCCCGCGAACTCTTCCTGAACGCCCGCAGCGAAAACCTCAGCAAGTGTGCCCGCCAATGTATCTTCGAAGGCGACCTGCTCCGCTACGTCTTCTCCATCTCATATGTCTACTTCAGCGTCGTGAAGAACACGATCTTGATCTTCCAAGCCTCGTTCGCGGCCGGCACGACCAGCGCGTGCATCAAATGGGCCAACGAGCACCTCGAAACGTTCAACACGCTGCTGGTGCGGCAGCTGGGCGCGATCGAGAAGGAAGGAAAGCTGTGGCGCGACTGCATGGATGTCATCTGGACGCATGAGAGGGAGATGCTCGGCGACTTCGGCCTCGATTTCAGAGAGGTAATCGGCCGCGGACTCGAACTTAGGGCTGTCAGTGGTGCGGTGCCGAAGTCGGCTGACGAGGCGAGAGCGGATAGCCGCTCGAAAAGTCGTGTTAGAGGCAACACTTAGCTGGTGTGAGCTTCGTGTGGGAGGCATTGTCAAGACATTACGGCTGATTGGAGGACGAATTGTGGATGAGAGAGGACATGAGTACTTGAGCGGAGAATCAAATTGTATTGGCTTTTCTTTATCACACAGCCATGTGCACGGACTATCCGCACAGCATGGGAAGTAAAATGGTATACGTTCCCGGTTTATGCCAACAAGAACTCCGCGCTTCAGATACGCTTGTGACAATATCTGTCTTCCATGCACTGCGCATTATTGAGGCCCTTGTCATTGCCCGAATGCCGAGTTTTATCCGACAAGCAGCACTCTTGGGTTGATTGGTAGATTCCGGATTTGGTGTCAAGAGCCACGCATATCTGGCGCATTTGATCGTACAGTACTACATTGATTATACAAGATTTTTTTCATCGTCGTCCTGCCCAGCGGAGAAGGGAGGTCTCGGGGTGAAGCAACGTAGAAGCGTGAGGGTATCTCTCTATTCCTTGATTTTCGCGAGAAGTCTGTGTTTGTGTTCATTAGCTCGCTGATTCCAGAATGTCGTCGGACTGGGTCTGGTAAACATACTCATGATCGCGGAAGAGATGATATTCCTCCTCTCCGACCTTGACAGGGCTGCCACCATACTATAGCACACAATTAGCCTCAATCTCCCTCTCATTGTATCTGCGCCGAAACCTTACCTGTGGAATCAACACCTTGTCACCAGCCTGGACACCCATAGCTATCCGCTTGCCATCTTTGTCGAAAGCGCCGGGTCCGACGGCAAGCACGTTGGCCTCGTTGAGTTCCTTGACGCTGCTCTCGGGCAGGAAGATGCCGCCGGCGGTGCGGGCCTCGGCTTTGACTCGCTGCACGAGCACGCGGTCCAGCAGTGGGACGAGCGATTTGATGGATTTCAGAGCAGTGGACTATTTGCCTTGTGTTTAGTATTTGGTATTAATGTTCGATGGTTCGGGGGAGCAGCTGGGAAAGCGCATGCGAGCTTGCTGATTGACTCGCTGCTTGTTGCTCGGAGGAGGTTGTCAGATGAGTGGCTGGGGTGCAAGCTTACCATATTGGTGGTTGATAGAGGTTGGAGAGACGGGTTATGAATTTCGTCAGAAGTGAAGGATTGTAGATTGTAGATCAAGCAAAGGTACAATGACAGGGAGTTCAGAATTGGAGTAAACACGAAGCGGACGCTGCTTCTCCTGGGGAAACTTTTTTTCTCGAATCATCCAATTCGCCATAGTTGCCTCTCTAGGACTTCCGAGCTCCCATCGGGCGCCATCTACGCTACTTGTTAGCCCGCCTCGGCCACTCTCACTCTCTCTGCAATTCACTCCCTACTACCGTATTGAGGTACGAGTAGTAGAGTTTAAAGTTAGCGGCTATCTTTCCCGACTCGGCCATGTAGAGTAAATGGGTATTGCGACCGGAGCGCATTTCAAAAACAATCCGTTTGGTACGAAAAGAAATGGTACATGTTCATGTTGTAGAGCAAGCCACTAGCCAGGAGGGCGTGGAGAACCACAGTTACACGAACCTCTACTACCGGATCCTCTATCAAAATACACAAGTAAAGGTATAAAATCATTCCCCGCAATCAAATAGCATGTCGTCGCTTAGATAGCTAATCAAACCGTAATCCTCTGCATGTATGTCAAGACACAATCATTCGGTCCAAGACAAGGCTGCCTGCGGAATGCCAAACAAAGTCAACTGGCTGTCATGGCCTGCTCGTCGTTCTTCGGGCTAAAGTTGGCGTACTGGCTTTGCCCGAATGAGATCTGCAATCTCAGTCTGATCGGTGCTTCGGGCAAGTGACTCTGATGTCCTCCCGAGCTGATCACGCCATTTCAAATCAATGCCCTTCACTGCCAGTAGGGCGCGCACAATTTCCTTCAGACGGAACTCTACTGCTAAGTGTAGTGGCGTCATTCTATTTTTGTCAGCCTTATTGACCGCGGCACCTGCGTTCAAAAGAAGCTGTATCGTGCCTACAGCATCACCTTTGCCGGACATAGCTGTGTGAGAAAGAGGCGCCCGGCCATCAGAATCGATTGCATGGACCTTGGCCCCCTTTTCAAGCAATATGCGCACTGCTTCCAAATTTCCAACGCTGGCAGCGATGTGAAGGGGAGTGCACATTGCGTAATCCTTCGCGTCCACGTCACACTCAAGCTTCGTCAATAGGGCTGCAACCAGCTCATTAGAATCCACTTTTGAAGAGGCGGCAAGATGCAAAGCAGTCCATCCGACACCCCCAAAACGAGCATTCATATCCAGGCGTTCTGACTCGAGTAATGCCAGAATAGACGAAAGTAATGCATGACCAACCGCGGTGTGGAGTGGAGTCTTGCCAATTATGTTCTCTGCGTTGACATTGCATTCGATATGACGGATCAACAGCCTGATAACTGAAACTTGGCCCGCTCGAACAGCATTATGAAGCGCTGTTCTCCCAAAAGAATCCACGGCATTAATGTCAGCCTTTGCCAATCCCAGGAGCACCTGCACAAGCGAAGGGCGTCCCTCTTGTGCTGCAGAGTGGAGAGCAGTAGGACTCCATAAATTCTTGATGCTGGCGACACAAGTGCGATATCTCATCAGGACGGTAACAACTGAGAGCCGATCCGCCCTTACTGCAAGCATGAGTGGTGTCACACCATCAACGTTGAGAGGATTGAGATCAATTGCTTCAACTTGGAGCAGAGCCTTAACGATCCTAACGTGCCCGTGCCTAGCCGCCCAATGGAGAGCAGACATGCGAGTTCGATCCCTTGCGTTCACGTCGCAATCAGCATGACGTAACAGAACTGCAACAATCGACTCGTCAGCCATCTTGGCTGCAAGAATAAGGGGTGTCTGGCCCTTAGACTGTGAAAGGTTAACTTCAATAGTTCCAGATTTGAGGAGGATTTCAACGACTTTGATGTGTCCGTGTAAAACTGCCCTGTGGAGGGCAGTCATGCCATCTGCATCCGAAGCATTAACATCCAACTCGGCATACTTCAAGATCATAGCAACGGTCAAGTGTTTGCCGGCGGTTGCTGCAAGTATCAGGGGATTTCGGGCTTTCAGAATTTCGCCATGGTTGTCAACAGCTATCTTTTTGAGCAAGGCTTCAACCACTGTGTGATGTCCGCCTTGGACGGCAAGGTCGAGCGCAGTGTTTTCGTCATCGTCCTGCTCATAAACCAAGCAATCAGGCTGGTCCAGCAGGACTCGGACGACCGAGACTTGACCCTCTAATGCTGCATAATGAAGAGCGGTTGATCCTGTCGCGTTGACAACTTTGATGGCATTTGGATATTTACGCAACAATGCCTGAACAGTCTGAGCATGGCCATTTTGTGCAGCTAGATGAAGGGCGAGGTTATTGCGAAGGGGGAAGTTCTTGTTTTCGAGAACCAGTCCTTGCTCCTGATAATGGGCCCAATCTCCGTGATTGCATAACTCCATGACACTAGACAAGTGTCCTTGGGCAGCAGCTTCATCTAGTGGTGTCCAATTGTTGTGGTTGCGTGCATAACATGCTTCACCATCATTCTTCATCAGCGTAGATATGATACGCGCATGGCCATACCTGGCTGCATAGTGTAGAAGCGTGTTGCCCTCTTTGTCCCTGTACAACGCACTATCACCCAGGAGAATCAGTGTTTCTACAGCCCTGGCATAAGAAGATGCGAATTGAGGATGTTGCAACATCACGCAAATCATCTCTTCCCACCCTGCACTTTTCACGACACCAAGCATTGTCCAAGATGGCAATGCGAAAAGATGCGAAAGGGCAAGGCCAAGTGCTGTAGCGCCTCCTTCGTCAGCGACCTTAACGTCTCCTTGCTCTTTGAGGAGCAATTCGATACAGTCAAAATGGTGAGACATGGCGGCCAGCATGAGCGGTGTTCGTCCTTCTTTGTCTCTTTCATCGACTATTTGACGGGCGGAGGAATAATCCAGGAGAGCCAGGATGTCAGCCTTGTGGCCATTCATGGCGGCTAGCGACATTGCAGTTCGACCGTTGTGGTCCTTCACCTGAATCATTACATTGATAGTCTTGTTCGACATGGTTTTGTGTGGCAAGAGTACCTTGGCCGTATGACCATTCGCAGCCGCGATGTGCACAAAAGTTTGGCCACGAGTATCTTGCGTAATAAGTTTCGAAGCTTTCAAGTGCTTCAGCGATCTCCCGCAGATATGGATATGCCCTCCTTCGCAGGCGTAATGCAGAGGATGTCGGAACGATTCATCAAGCTTGTCGAGATTGCAAAGAGGCAACAAATAATCAAATATTGTGTTGCGGCCGTGCTTTGCCGCTAAGTGCAATGGAAGATGGTTGTCATAGCTCGCCAATGGCAAATTGAAAATGTCAGCGCGAGGTTTTGGATCTGTCGACCCGGTTAAAGCGGACAAGAGAGGCAAATGATCATGGTATATGCTCCAGCCTAGCAGAGCAGAAAAGTGTGAGTCGAGTGACATTCCGATGGAACGCCAAGGGTGCATTCCATACGTCAGGTCAGGCTCCAATGCGAGTGCTTTGAACATGGACCAGTAGTCTCCAGATTCCTCCATGAAGCGTGTGAGAAGCAACCATTGCTCTCTAGCGAAATAGAAAAAATCTGGTAACTCCCTGAATGTCGCGGGATTCGCTGCTCTAGTCTGTGAACGTAATAGTAATGGCTTCGAAGTTTTCGAGGATTTCGAACCCCACTTGCGAAAGCCAAGATTGAAGTTGCTCAGCACGGCATTAGACACTTGACTGATATCAACAGCCGGTCTTGCCTGAGAAGGGGCTGCAACCGCACGACTGTATGTGGGAGAGCTCAAGTGTAGCACACAAAGATATCCCAGTTCAAGTGCTGGACTCAAAGTGAAAATTTGACCATGGCCAACGGCTTGCAGATATTGCCGAACAGAGTGATGCGCAAGGAGAATTTGGTCATTCTCATCACGTATCACTAGATTGGCACAGAATCTCAGCAAGTCTTGAACTTGGAGTATCTTGTCGCGATCCACCATCCCAGTGCGGGAATCAATTGCAAGTGCTTCCAATAGCTGACGAGTTTTGAAAGGCTTTATCGCCCCCATCAAGTAATGTAGTACCCTTTGAGCCATCAGACTTTGGCGTTCGTCAACCCTTGACAGGCAGCGACTATAGGTTTCGTCCAGGTCTTTCGGCAAATTCTCAATTGCTCTTCGAATATCTGCTGCGTCAAAGCATTCATCCCACAGTATCTCCAGTTGCAAGTTAACCCATAGTATCCTGTCCATGAATTAGTACTCAAGTATGGAAGTAAGCCAGTCCTTCACTACTCACATGCGATCCGCCTTGTCATTCAGGCAGCGTTTAATTTCATTGAGCATGTCTTCATATTCTGTCAGTGGCCTCTCCAGCATTTTTTCGTCCACCTTCCAGTCAATAAATCGTCGAATGTCATCAATGGTGTCTGAGCTCAAAATCGGAAGCTCGACAGAGCCATTGATGGAGTTCCTAACATCTAGGACTTCGCGACCGGAGATAAAAATGCTGAAAACACCAGCTGTGCTAAGTCTCCTCAAAACTTTGAACACTCTGTGTAATTCAGAAGATTCACATTCATCCAGACCGTCCACGACAAACGTAGCTGATGAAATGGATGCGCTTAGGGGGAAGATGAGATCGTCCAACAAATCATCGAGGATAGGCCTCTGTCCTCGAGGTCCATAGTATCTCTTGACTCGTGCTTTCACCTGGGGAGGAACATTCAATTTCGTCATCTCGAAGTAAGATATCATTTGCTTCGCAAAACTTTTAAATAGGTCTATTGCTTGTAGCCGCGATCTGTGCGACTGATTGTAGAAAAAGTGGAAAACTGGCCGGTCGTCAGAAGGCGACATATCTAAAAGGTGCTGGATCACATTTGTTCTGCATATGAGTAGTTAGTTTGAAAACCTAAGAATGTTATTGGTTGACCGACGAAATCATAGTTTTGCCAGAACCAACTGTGTAGGTGATTAGTCAAGCTCTAGTAAGGCATACGCCAGAGGACTTACTTTTACCACTCAGCCAAAGGCATTGATGACTTCGACCTTCGGTCCAGGCTTTGAATCTCTCATCATTCAAGATCCATTGTGTTGTTTCGGGACACTTCTTGCGTGCAAGAGACCTCAAGGTTGCCTCTGGGTCATAGTCGGATAGTGAATCGAAGACATTGAAGGGCAAACCTTTGATGATCTTAGTAGATGTGCTCGGGCAATAAGACTCGGAAACATTACCATCGTGAGTTACTATAGCCCAGTCTGACCGTTTCGACACGATCAGGAAGTCTGTGTCGTCGAAGGACTGCGGTGATCTTGCCCCGGCGAGCGATAATTCATGCCCTAACAACAAAGAGTCAGTCCGGAGTTCCGCATGGCCTTTGGGATAGTATCAGTATTCGAAATTGCACGCGAGGCAAAGCTGGGCAGTGAAGACTTACTCTGAGCCTCGAGATCTGCAAGGAGATCCTGCCTGTTCACAGGCCTATCTGCAATGACAATATGTAATAATTCTTTCGAGTATGCTGCTGCAGTGATCGCGGCATACTCCTGCCAATCCTTATTCTTGTGAGAGTCAGAATAGTCACAGATGCCTCGAACAACGAGGCAGGGGAGGTTGTTCATCAGCCCGGCAGCTTCCATCTCGAAGCATAAAACATCAAGCTCTTTTCGACAGCATTCCCTTGTCTTACCATGTCGCATAACCTGGTTAGCGGAAGCGATTGTACCATAGTGGACGACAGGCCTGTGGGAGTTTCTCGCAGTCCGTGGTACTATCATGGATTTCTCGCAGTGAATGCAAGTCTCATATTCCTCTTTGTGGTCGTAATTAGCTTGAAAAAGCATGTCATTGTCAATACCCTGATACACATATGCTGGACCCAACGATGAGGACTGAACGTCAGAGAGGATTGAGTCCATTCTGCGATCTCCAATGCTGTGCTTCGCTCTCGCAGTGTTTATGGCAGAAAGTAGGATTTGTGGAGGAGCATTTAGAATGGTGTCACGGACGAAGCGACCTTCTGTGACAGTACGTCCAAAGTCGTACTGGATGACTCCAGTGCTTGACTTGCCGGGAATACTGACAACGACGTCTCCAAGTCGGATATCATGACGGTCGCTAGGTGCTCCACCTCCAATGCCCACCATCAAACCAAAACGGACATTGGGAAAGCTGTAGCGCAATTGACTTGTAACTGCAGCGGCCGAGTTGGTTCCTGTCTGCCCAGCAGGTAAGCACACGATAACAACATTGTGGCGGGCTATGCAGCCTAGTGTATATATATTGTTATCTTGTAGATTTCGTGGCAAGGCTGAATGCTCCTCGTCGAGCATACATATTGCTGCAGTCAACTCAGACGGTAAAGCGCATATCCAAGCAACTGTGTAGTCTGTGCGCGATAGAGACCGCATGTGTGAGAATGGGGTACACTACATCTATGGGTGAGATGCAGGTACCAGCGAAAGGGTGGATGGGAAGGATAATTGGGCAAAACTGTCTCCATACGCTGATCATGCAGGGTCTTGACGATTGCGCGGCATGATAATGCTCGAAAAAAAAAATTTGAGCACAGGCTATACATCCGCTGTGACTCTCACTCGAGAGCGATGTGAAGGAGAGTAAATTCATGTTTACAGAATGAGGCTGAAGAAGTAGATGCAGCTTGGGCGAGGTGGTGGAAGTGGGGTCGAATGATACGAACGAGGCTGGGTCACATGACTCAAGCCTTGTCGCAAAAGTGACAAACAATCTGCGCTGCCTCCAATGTTTATCGATTGCAGTGCTTTCCACCTTGTGAGTATTCATGTGAATTCCACATCCTCAGGTTCCCGTTCAGTATCGCAGCCTTCGACAGGATGATGGACTCGGATGATGATGATATCTACCCTCAGCATGAAGAGAGCAACGGTCAAAGAGCCCAGAGCGAGATCAACATGCAAGATGCCGATGATGGCGAAGAAGAAGGGGAAGAAGTGGAGGAAGACGACAGTGATGTAGGATAACTTGACATATACAAATGCCAATGCATTGTACTGAAATTCTGTAGGACGATGTCGATTTCATCATAGACGACAAAGAAGAACCCAAGCAAGAGGCTGAATCGTGAGTTGAGACATCAACGATAGATTTTAGATGGAGCGCTCATTGACATCCGATTGAAGACATACAAAGCGACAACCTGCACTTGCACAGCTCGCTGCTGAAACGCGCAAATCATCCTCTACGCCGCAGCCCGCATTCAAGCCAGGCACCCCGGCAGAAGCGAGAGCTGGCTCACAACAACCGAACGAGCGACCTGGCACAGATTATCCGGCGCGGCATACCTCGAAACTTGATGTTAATGGTAATCCAGTTCATCCTGCCACGGGCAAGCCTATCCTAGCTACCGACTTCGACACCGATTTCACCGCCGAATCTTCCAAACCGTGGCGGAAACCCGGTGCAGACCCTACCGACTACTTCAACTATGGCTTCGACGAGTTTACATGGGCTTCATATTGTTTGAAGCAACAAACAATGCCTAAAGAGATCAAGGAGATCACACAGCAAGCGGACCAGATGAAAGCCTTCGTTGAGGGAATTCCTGGAGGTGGAATGCCGGGGATGCCTCCCATGCCTTCTGCGCCAGGCGGAGATATGTCACAAATGGCCATGCCCAGTGAAGCACAGATGCAGCAGATGTTCGCTGCAATGGCATCTCAGGGCATGGATCCTTCCACTATGGATCCCTCTTCCTTCATGCAATTCATGGCAGGAGGCGGTGGTGGTATGATGGGACAGCAACAGCCTCCCACAGGACCTTCTGCTGGGTTCTCGGGCAGTGGTAGCGGCGGTGGTGGAGGAGGTTATGATGGAGGCTTCAACCGGGGCGGTGGTGGAAGAGGCAAGGGTGGAAGGCGGAATTGGTAGGGCCATTCTCGTCATCCAGACTCTCCTGTGAAGAGGTGATCTGGTTTACAAATCGCTCAAACGAGTCGGCCTTTTCGACTCTCCCCACTCCGAAGGGAGCAGACAACGGATGTGCTATTCCACTGCTGCAGCACTGATTGTTGAGTGGACTGATATTGGGATTCCGCGCCAACGACAGCCTTCGCCTCAGCAATCGGGATCCGTGTCTAAAGGACGGATTAAGAGCAACTTCGAATGGTCAGGCAACAGAAATCTCTGACAGTCAGATTGAGGAATCAACAAGCGTGCGTGCTTGGTCATGTCCAGGCAGGAAGAAAAGCCTTGAAACCAAGATACTCACGAATTCTGGAATATCCAGATACAGTTTGCGTCGTGCTCAGTCTTTGTGCGCTCCACTTTATTAATGGCAGCCATGCTAGAAATCAAAACAAGACTGCTTTCAGGTCGATATTGGCTTGCCCTTTGCCATACTAGACAGATCTATTCTCAAGTGTCCCAGTAGAACACCATTCAGCCTTGTGGATGCAAGTTTAGTCAGAGCCCGTCCTAATAAATCACCATGCCCCACCACAAGAGGGGGTAATGCCGCCATTGCTTATGCTCAATGTCTTGGGTACATTGAGCTGGCAGTTCATGCAAGTACCTTCAGGCTCTAGTAACGTAAACTACGTAAGCAAAGAGAGTGAAGAGGCCCTTGCAGGCCCTTAAAGGGCACTAAGATATGCAGAGTACATCAGCAAGCACGAGCCACAGTAGTTCATTTCATCACCCATTGGCCGAGAAATGCACAGAGCGGAACACTCCCTCCTACAGGTAGCTTGCTAGGCAACTGCCAAGCCTTTTTGTCCTTCTCGAGGATAAGCAACACTGCATCTAAAAAAGCCATGAGGGATCAAAGCGATACCCTATCTGGTCCCTAATGGCTTGGGCTACCGTGGGTGCTACCCTCGCTTGGAAGGTGTTTGTCAGCGGGCGTCGACACGCCAATACCGATTCTCTCCTCCCAGAACCTTCTACCAACCACAACTCGGGAAAGGATGCAACACGAAGAGATGTTGTATGTCTGCCAATGGTTTTCAAATCATCTCACTGGTCACAGACGCCAGGACGGCTGCATTAGTCACTTCAGCTCCTTTTGGCGCAAGCTTTTGATGACCCCTGTATCCATAGCTTCTGCTTAGCTACTCCCTGTACTGTTGACAGCACGGGCTCTCAATCGCGTAACCTGCGCAGCTTCAGCACTGATGGATCAATTGCGAAGACCGGCTGGAAAACAGCGCGTGCAATGCTAGCCGTTTCAATCAAGGTAGGATATATATGACCTAGAGAACCGCGAGGTATGATGCTTTTCCAATTCCAACACAGCATCATCAGTCCCGTAGGAACTCGTCCAAACTTCAATCCTTTTCACGCAATAGCTAGCATTCTACAAATTTGATTCAATCTCAACTTTTGATCCATCATGCCTACAACACTCGTCACAGGAGGCAATGGCTTCGTGGGTGCCACGGTTGTCTCAACTCTTCTATCTTCGAAATTCAACCACCGAGTCATCCTCGCTGTCCGCTCCGTCGCATCGGCCGAAGCTCTGATAGCCATCCACCCAGAATGGCCAGCCGACAATGTGGTCATTGCCTCTGTCCCAGATTTCACAGTCCCCGGAGCCTTCGACGAGATCTTCAAGTCACACTCTGAAATCGACTATGTGATCCACGTGGCAGCACCCCTTCTGGACGACCCTCGCAACAACGAGTTCGTCGAGCATTTCGAAAAGCCGAACGTGTTGGGTAATATCGGTATCCTCACGAGCGCGAAGCAATTTGGCAAGAATGTCAAGGCTATTAGCGTCACTGGCAGTGTAAACGCTATCACGCTCGGCGATCAGGACGATGTCAAGAAGCGAGTCTTTGGCAACAAGGAGTGGCTTGTTCAAGGTCGAGAGGACGCTATCAAAGCCCAACACAACTACGTGAGTATTTAGTGAACATAAATCCCACGCAAGAACCGACGACTAACAGCAGATGGCCTAGATCTCATATTGCGTTGGCAAGAAAGTCGCAGAACAAGCCCTCTGGAAGTTCGTCGAGGAGGAAAAGCCCTCCTTCACAGTCACGAATTTCATGCCACCTCTGATCTTTGGGCCCATGGAGCAGAAAGTCGCAAGTGCCGCGAAGATCAATTTCAGCAACTCGCAGATCCAAGCCATCTTAAACAGCGCAAAGGCCGAGGGCGGTAAAGTGCCGTCAACCATATTCCCCGGCTACGTAAGTTTTCATCCCTACCTCTACCATAGCAGACACAACCTCTAACAACATAAAACCAGATCGACGTCCGCGATCTCGCAGAACTCCAAATCCTCGCGCTCACCACGCCCGGTGCAGCGAACAAGCGATTCGTGGTCGGTTTCCCCATGATGTTCAACCGCTTCGCAGAGGCACTACGTAATGTTCCAGAGTACAGCTCCCGCATCGGAGAGAATAACGATGACGATGAAAAGCTGACGTCTGCTCGCTTCGGCACTGACGAGGCTGAGGCCGTCTTCCAGTTCAAGTTCAGATCTCTCGAGGAGACGGCGAAGGACGTCGCTGCTAGTATCGTCAAGGTCGAGGCGCAAGCTGCTTGATTGCTGGAATGGATGAGTTGGAAATGGTTTCTTAGTCTGCAGTGGTCTGCATTGAGGACGTGGGCATTGTTATATTCCTTTTCGTTGTGGGCATGGAGTGAACAAGACCGGCTGGGATGCCGTGCCAGGTAGATTTCAAGAGATAAACTTAAATAAATAATTTCTTGCATTTTTCACACTTTTGACTGTTCATTGAGGCCATTAAGCGATTGACACCAGACCACGATGTAGACATTATGCTCTAATGGTTGTCTTCGGACACGGTCACACCGTGCGCTGAGCCAAGAGTCTAACAGTACAGTACATATATCGTGATATTAAAATCCACAACAGCTAAACTATGCACCGAATCCCAAACCTCTCGCCTCAACATCCCCCATTAACGCGCTCTTGACCTCCTCCTCGCCAACCCTCAGTCGGATCTTACTAGCTCTCTCACCTCGGCCTCTAGCCTCCATGGCGATGATCCCTGCATCCACCAACACCATCGCCGCACTACTCAAACCCATGACCATAGGCAGAATGTCCGACCGGTTCTCCGTATCGCTATCGAGCAACAGAAATTCGTGCATGACGCCGCTGTCAGCAGTGTCAGCGATACGTTTGGCCTCGATGGCCACGTCACCAAAAGTAGACTCTGCAACTCCTGTACGGCGGAGGCGGGCGAGCACGGCGGCCAGGAACAGTTTCGAGTTCAGTGAGACGGAGCGCAGATGTTGTGCTAGTGGAGAGGATGTGGCTTCGTTGATGGCTTGCTTTATCGTCGCGATCGTCACTCTCGGGAGCGGTTTGTCCGCCACTGGGGCGGGTTTGTCCTGCGGCTGTTTTGTCTGATTTCTTCCTTTGCGGCTGGGCGTGTTGGCAGCAGGGGTTTCGTCTTCCTCTGCTTCTTCCCCTGCTTCCAGAATTGGCTTAGGTCGAGACTGCTCAGCCAGCTCGACTGCCCGTCGACAGATATCTAGTGCGCGGCGTGCATCGCCTGACACGGCTGCGACTTTTCGACTGGCGAACTGAATGGCATCTTGGTCGACGATGTTCCCTGGAACTCCTTCGAGACGTGATGAGATGATTTCCATCAACTGTGTATGAGTATATCCGGGGAAGGTTATTCTCGTCAGACCAAGCCGCGAGCTGATCTTATTAGAAAGTGTTCTCTCTGGCAGATCCATTGTGTTGGCCACGGCAAGCACAATCAACCTGGAGTGTCGCATAGCAGGCCAATTGAAGAAATTATACATGACACTCTGGTTCTTTGTGACCAGCTGGTCTAGCTCATCCATCAGCACGACACAGGGAATACGTCGTGGGCTGGGATGCGAGAATTCTTGTTCTAGCAGACTGAGTGCGTGGTGAGGACTGACACGGTCTCCTTTCAATGCTTCCCACAGTAATGAATATGATTGATGAGGCTCTGTAACTTTCATGCCGTTGATTTCCACAAAGTTGAAGTCGTCTAGCTCCTCATCTACCACGGCTTGATGCAAAGATGCCACTACCTCACGCACTGTAGCCGTTTTGCCTGTGCCGGGTGTCCCCGATATGTAGATGCAGGCACCAGAGCCATCTGCAATGGCGGAGTAGAGATGCGAATAGACCGTGCTGAACTCATTTGACCTGCAAGGCAATGATGTTGGAACAGCTGAGACATGTAAAGTTGTCCTTGCATGTGAGTAGGGGGTTGATGCATACTGGCTCGGCGTGAGAATCCTGGTGCCGAGAGGTGTGATCTCAATGGGCCTTTTCACCATTATTCGCTTGTGAGTTGGAGTAGTATATTTTGAGACCTTGACTGATGACTTTGGCGTTGATACTGCTGTTGTCTTCTTGCGCTTTCGAGGCGTGGCAGGTGTTTCATCTCCTTCAATCTGTTTCCTCTCCTCATAATCATGATCTCCTTCTTGACGAGGCTTTTTGCCCTTTGTCTGGTCTTTGACCCAATCGATCAAAGACAACAGATCTTCAGCTCCGTTATATATCTCATCCCAGACGAATTCTTCAGTGAACCGCAAAGTCCGTTGCTTCACACCTTGCCGGCAAAGAATTGTCTTACCATAAAGACTTGCGGCTGCCTTCGACTTCGGTGGAGAACCACCAGGATACTTATCGAAGAACGCATCTTTCGACAAAACAGTTGCTCTCCCATTTATGGCAGTGAGAGGGTTCATGTTGAAGTCGGTGGTGATAAATGACTCGTTGGGCAAAATATCTGGACGAATCTTGGATCTCTTGCCAAACGCCAGCTCTTCTGGAGAGCAGAACCACTGGACATAAACCGACATTTCATCCTCATCATCCTCATCCGTCTCAGAAAAAGAACAGATAAGAGCGACCCAGTCCTTCCCTTGCTCAGGCGACTTCAGAAGTACTGCATCGCCAATACGAACAGAGAACGAGCCCATTCTGGCACCCACGATGCTTCCAGATTTCGACGATTCGTTTAATGCGCTGGCTTTGCGTTTCCGTGGATTTTGATTCTCATCCCCTGCCGACTGAGGGGTGTCGTCTGAGTCGTAGATCCATTCCCATGGATGATCCTCATACCCAAGTTCATCGTCGGAGTCTTCTCGTTGAATACCACCCTTTGTGGAGTATTTCTTTGGTCGCTGCATTGTGGATGTGAAAACTTGTTTTGTGTTCCTTGGAAGATGGATGAGATGCTTGAGACCAGAGATATTGTTACCAAAAGACGAGTCACGTGCCAGACGCGTCAACACGCGTTTCCCAATATAACCATGTTTGGTTAGCGTGGTGTGAACGTCGCCCTCCAATCAGCGAAATCTACAAAATAACGTCTCCTCACTCACTTTTGTTACCCACTTGATAACAGCGTAGGTACGAACTTCAGAAGCCGCGGGAGATGCGACTTTACATCTGGGACAGGGCTTGTCTATGTATGATACTGGCGACTCTTTCAGTAATCCGGTCGGCTTAGCCTGATTTTAAGTGCCTTGATCGTCGTTTCGCCCTCTCACCCATCATGGTTTGTGTTTGATATCACACTTCCTCTGTTTGCGCCAGGAACCAGGCAGGTCGGTGAACGCAAGGACCCTGATCTATGCGACTCATTCAAGTTGTCGCCGACCAATGGTAGGATCACTTTATACGGGTCTAGTCTTACGCAGTCCTTTATATTTCCGTGAGTTGGTGGATTTTTCTCTTCCACCTCATCTCTTCGTCAATCTTTCTCTCTCTCAAGATCCTTGAAGTTATGACCTTCCTTCCAATCCAATATCATCTGACTGTCTCAAATTCGTAGCAGAGAGGATCATTTGGAGATAGCAGTACAGGATGAGCGAGTGAGTCCAAACACCTATCCTTCGGTCCTTCGGTTTGTCTAACTCGTACAGCCACGAAGGCGATGGCTTTGACCTCGAAAGTATAAGTCCCACTTCCGCAACTGTGCGACGTGGTAACTGACGATCTCTAGGATGGGAAGAAGCCAGTCTAGCTGAGAGTTCGGCGTTCTCATATGCAGGAAATGCGGACGGTAATAACGGACGCCTCTTCGCTAGTACGCCTGGACTGTTCCCCCCTGTCGTACCGCCACAGCTACGTATATCAAATGGTTCTCAGACCAATCTGCAGCGCGATCGTCCGTATGTAGCTCAGAGCACAGATCAAATTGTGAGTCAAAACGGGACGCAGAAAGGTCTCTTCGACCGGATTCAAGACGGAGTGTTGAACGGTGCCCCAAGACCTTCTCAAACAAGAGTTCAAAATGGCGCTGAACCTGGTTCAATTGGTGCTGCTCAGCATGCAACACTGAGTGGTCCGCGAAATGGTGTGCAAACTGGGTTACAAAATGATGGAATCAATGCCACTCATGCTGCTCGACTGACACCTGTCAGAACACCTGGTGGTGCTGTACCTCGAGATCCTAATGCTCATGGACATCGGCCGCCAATGTCTGGTCGTCGACCAAATGGTTCTCCAGTACACACTTCAGCAATGGAAGAGCGTTTGAAAGGGGGGCCACCCAATGGCCAAGTGCGTAACGCCACATGGTTCAAGGGCGCTGCGGTTGACGGTCGAGCGGAACATCGACAAGAACTTGAGTCACAGACAAAGCAGTTTGCACTGGCCCTGAAGTCGGCAAATATCAAATACCCGATCGAGGGTGGCCTGCTGTGGTCAAAGACGCTTGACGGCAATGAATTTTGTAGAGACAATGCTGCAGCTCTCGACGAGATACGACTTCAATTCTCCTGCAAAATCGAATTCTGCCAGGTCCCTGGTGAGTTTTCCTGGATGAAGATTTGTGTTACGAAAAAGAAACACCTTGTCGTTGTCATTTCCAGAATCACAAACATCGTCAGAGAGTATGTCTCACGTTCTGATCAGCTGGTCAAGATGAACCTCATTCGTTATCCGAGTTTTGGGATGTATCGCGAGGAGGTAGGACTGCTTGATCTCGATCCAAAGACAAAGTCATACCTCCCAACCTTGCATGGTGCATTACATCCCAATGAAGAGGAATGGAAATGCAAGCAGGTCGCGAAGCATCTTGCCAACCGACGGAAGATCAAATCAGTCCTTGATCGCACGCTGAAATCCCTCGCAATTTCACAAAGACATGTTCGCATGCGCTTGGTTTTCGGGGAACTGGGTTTCATCCAGTTTCAAAAACCACCCAATGGAGCCCCCTCTTACCAGTTTGAAGACTTCTACAAAATGGTAACGCAAGGCCGCACAAAACTTAACTTGAACAATGTCGCGGTTCGTCAGGGTCGGATTGAAGATCTTAGCGATGTTATTGACTCTCTTGACGCTTTCATCTGCCCTGAGGTCACTTATGGCGCATACTTTGACTTCGCTGGTGGGGATCATGAACCAAATTCTCTCATTCGTCTGGACTGTACATTCGGTACAATTGGTGACGGCGCTGATCACGAAATCCAAGAAATGCGATGGCTTGTTATCAACGATGTCGTCGGCAGACTTCAACTGGCAATGATCGACTTCGAGCGTCCGGACTTCCAATTCACAATTGACGCATTTCCACTATACGAGAATCGTAAAAGCATTGGGGAACGACAAGCCTTTCAGACCAACGTTTCATTCAAGCCTCACCCCCAAGGTCTCAAGGCACCTCCACGCATGCGTGTCAAGGTCCCACCCACAACGGCCAATCTTCGCGAGGTCTCAGAGATCACCACGATGAGATGGTGCTTCAAGGAGACCGATGGTGTTTTCGAACTCCGAAGAAAAGACATTTATGAGTACAACACTAGCAAGCGAGCTGGCATTCTTCGACGCTCCACTTGGCATGCCGTGTACTATTATCCTGAGTGGGACAACCTGATGGGTCAGTTCGGCTCTGTCAGACCGGGACAAGTTGTCGATTGGGAGAAATCTATCATGACATTCTTTCCAGAAGACGAGGATGCCAGTGGTCTGGCGTTGCCCAAGGGCTTCAAGGGATTTATGGCCGAGGTTGATGAGGTCCAGGAACTCCTGGGTGATGCTATTCGTCAGCTTGCTGTGAACTCTCGAGCTGCGGAAAGCAGTGGAGCCAACGGAACGGAGCAAGCGACCGAAGAAGACAGAGCATCGTCGTCCTAAGTGACATGCGTGGGTCACGGGGACCGAATGTCGATGAATGGGGAGCACGTGTCTGAGAGCCAGTATGCATTCTCGCAACAAATTCGAATGGAATGATTTTCATACCAAACCCGGACTGCAAATGCGTTCAGAAACGCACTCTCAGATTTGACGCTTCGCGCTTCGATTCAGCACGTCAAATAGGGTCGGAGGGCCACATACGACCAAATCATAGATAGCACATAGCACCATCGACCCGAGTCTAGGTCCAAGGACTCAAAACCAGCAGTCAATCATAAATGCACATGTCATGATGACAAAGTCGCTTTTATTTCTTTTGTTTATGTCGTGCCATGTTCTTCTGATCATCGAGAGGCCTTCCTGGTCTATATAACTCACCCACATAGTGGACCATCTCAAAATATTGCCTCTTATCCAGCACTGGCCTGCACCGACTGACCAGCCCTCGAACCACCACCACCACCCTGACCCTCCGTCAACATTTTCTGGCGTAGCACTAATAGACGAAGCCAACAAAGTCAGTTCCAAAAAGTCTCGCAAACACCAGCAACCTCCAAAGAAAGCAACGCAGAACGTTGAAAAAATAAACCATGTACTCACCATCCTCAACAACCTTCAGGTTATCATTCTTGCCTGCAACCACCTTCTCAATATCCGCAAGATTGCGACTCAAATCGTCGATTTTCTCGGTATAGAACTTGACGGCGTCGGCGGTGGACTTCTCGACGTAGAAGCCGGTGCCCACGTCGACGAGGACGGTCGCGGTTGCGCCGGCGCTTGTGGTCTTGCTGTTCGCCGTGGAAGACGGCGAGGGGGACGGGTTCGCCAGCGTGCCGGGCACGTATAGTGAGGTTGTGAGCGGGATGAGGAGGGGTGTTTCTGCGGTGTGGGAGGCCGGGTTAGTGGGTTGCGGTGCATGCAGTGTGCAGTTTCTTGTGAGTAGGGGGGAGTTCGTACCTCCGCTCTTGCCTTGTATGCCGTCTTGGATGCTGCGGATGCAGTCTCTGAAGCGCGACTGGGCCGCGCGCAGGCGTTGGTAGGACGTGCTCAGGTGCTCGAGTTCCTGTGAGAGGCGCTGTTGCAGTGCGGAGAGTTGCTGCGCGGGAAGAGTATTTAGGTCGATGGTGTTGCCTGATGATTGCGACATGGTGTGGGAGGGACTGGTGGTTTTCAAAAGGCGACTTAGACTAGTTGGGACTTGTAAGTGCGGCTGCAAAGTGGTGGTGTGTTCAGAAAGTTACAGTAGTATGGAAATATTTTGGGTGACGTTGGTGGGGAGAGGTTTTGGCAGCCTTGTGCACGAGGCTACGAGCTTTGGTCGGGCTTTCCAAGGCGGAGAAGGATTTCTTTTGTAATCATTCACCCATGTGATTTCTACAGGCCACACTAGTTGTAGCGGGCATTCTATGTTACAGAAGAGGGGTATTTAAACATATAGTACAGTCCAACCGCTTACATTTACAGTCTTGCAAGCACGTCTTGAACAAAGCTCGTTACTTGATCGCGCGCCACCTTTTCCTTGATCTTAAGTCGTCGACACTGGATTTCGACTAGGCCCTCTTTCGAGAATGCCTTACCCAGGATAATCAGCACAGGATAGCCAATCATATCTGCGTCTTTCATCTTATATGGTAGAGAGACATCTCGATCGTCGAGGACAGCATCCACAACCCCATGCTCGGAACTCGACAATTCATCATACAGCTGTTCTGCCGGTTCTTTGAACTCATCAGACCTCAGAATGATAGCCTCAAAGGGTGCAATAACCTTAGGCCAGTTGAGTCCCTTCTCGTCCTTTAGACAAGATGCCACAGCTGCGATCAGTCGGGTTACACCGATGCCATGACAGCCCATTTCCACAGGGGTCAGAGGGCTGTTCTTTTCGTGATCCTCACGGATCTTGAAGTCCAGAACTGAACTGTAGCGTCTGCCTAGGTGGAATGTGTGACCAATCTCAATGGCCTTGTGCATTTTCAGTTTGCCCTCCTTGCATTCAGGACAATTATTGCCATCTCGAAGTCGCAGTAGATCAATTTGAGCAGTGTCATTGGGTTTAGAGTCCACAATGAAAAACTCCACGCCGTTTGGATATTGCCGTACATCAGCAGCCAACACGGTCTGAATCTCGTGAGGAGACACTGTCTGGTCAAGCACGTAGAAGATGCGGTGCATGTCCGCTGCTTGAGTTTGGTCGACTCCAACAGAGCTCCGATGGGAAGAAGCGAATTTCTCCGCAGCTTCTTCAACACCTGTGTCCACGTCCAGAGCATCTTTGAGGACGGCCTTCACGGCATAAGAGTTGATCCACTCTTGGGGCGCGTCTCTTGCAGATTCACCCTCAATTGGCCGTTGTGCAAAAGCTCGAACAAGATCGGTTCCGCGTTGGCCGAGATAGTCTTCTTGGACCACTCGTGCTCCAAGTGGTGATTCATTTGTCTCTGGGATGCATTCGATGCGCGTAGGAGGGAAGGTATTACGCGAAACGTATTCTTCATTTCTTGCGATGTCACATGATGTGCATGTGATAACCGTGTCTTCGCCAGCATCATTGGGAAAATGGTACTCGTGGCTCAAGTCGCCTCCCATGTCGCCCGAGTCAGCTTGAGCTTCGATGTATGGAATAGTCAGCTCGTTGAGGAAGCTTCTATAGGCGGCTCTAACTTGGTCGTATGTTTTATGGGCATCCGCGAGGGTTGGATCAAAAGTGTACAGATCCTTCATAGTGAACTCTCGTCCACGGAGTAATCCACCCCTTGGACGCCTTTCATCCCTATATTTTCTCCCAATCTGGTACACCCGTACTGGCAGCTGCTTTGGAGATTGAACAAACTGGGAGACTAATGTTGTGATCTCTTCCTCGTGGGTCGGGGAGAGTAGCATTGCAGTGTCTTTGCGATCCTTGAATTTAAAGAGCTCGGAAGACTTGCCAAGTCTCTTGGATTTCCTCCATAACTCTTGCGAAGAGATCGAGGATAAGGCGACCTTGGAGGCACTAACGAGCTTCATATGTTTGTCTATGAGCCTCTCAAGCTTTTCTTGCACTCTGAGACCAAGAGGAAGCATATGGAAAATACCAGCGTATGCCTGACTGACATAACCAGCTTTGGTGAGAAGTGTTGTGGCATCATTGACAACAGCTTGTTGGTTAAGCTTCACCGGAGGGATCCAGATCTTGCTGATCCTTTGCCTGGAGTCAACATGGCTATGTCGTATATTTAGACGGCCTCTGCACAGGAGGCGATTGGCGCTTCTGTGAGAAGCTCCGCCAGCTAGATGAGATGGCATCAAGACTCTCTGATCAGCACATGTGTTAAGTCGTAATTCAATGATGAGCCAAAAGCTCTAGGCTTGAAACCCAGCTTCTTCCAGTGCGACCGGCCAGGGCTTCAAGCCAGATAATCGTTTCACTTTGAAGGCGAATGACTTCTTGGGCGTTCAATGCGAATGTCGAATACAACTGGCAGAAGAGGCTGATCCGAGAATACTATTTGATCTTCCATATCAGCAATAGCAATTGTAGGGCAGCAACTCACTATGGGATCCAATATCGCCCCTAAAACCATTAGCGTCCGTCCCTCGGCCTTGGTAATGGTTAACTCCGACTTCATGCTCCGCTCTCTCCAAATTATTTTTTCCTTGAATTTGGACCATATTGAATTCTTGAGCAGCCGTTCCACATTGGAAGAAGCTTGACTAACTTGTATTCTGAGACGTGCTCAGTGCAAGGCAAAATGTCAAAATCCAAATCCAGCGGTCACGGTGCCTCCAATGTCGCAATAAAGGACTCAAAACCCAATACCGCGAATAACCCCACCGACGTTCCCTCGAACGACTCGTTCAAAGATTTGCGGAGTAAAATCCAAGCGCAGTTTCAAACTCTCTCGCAGAAAGGAGCCACATATAAATCGAGGGATTCAAAAGACAAACCCCAAGAAAAGAAGCAGGGGAAGAATAAAGAGGACCGAACAGGACCAGAGCGGGGCAAGAAACGAGATCGCAATGGAGAAGTGCTGAAGCAGAGTGGTTCAACAACTACACGACCATCGAAGACTACTGTACAAGATGTGGTACCAGAGGGCGTAGACGAAGAGTTCTTCAAGGAGGTCCAAGCGCTGGGAGGAACCACCGAAGATCTCGACCTGTTGGCCGATGCAGATTCCGACTCAGAGGTCGAAGGTTTGCTCGATGAGCCATCCAAGACTGCCGGCTCCGGGGATCATGCGGCCTTAGGAAAAGGCATGAACAATATTCTGAAAGAAATTGCTCTTGCACAGGGAGAGTTGGAAGACGAGGAGTCAACATCAGATGAATCCGAAGTCGAAGTTGAGGAGAGTATAGTACAGGCAAAGATGACCTCAGCGAAAACTCCCATTGAGGAAGACACTCGTCGGTCAGCCAAAAAGGGACGAGAGCTACAGCCAACATACGTCTGTGAACCGAAACCTGACTGGTTTGAGGTTGAACCACCACACGTCAACCTTGAAAAGACTCTACGTGGTTCGTTGTCTCCAGCGATAGTAACAGAGCTATATGAACATGCCAAGCATCTCCTTGATGAAGAGAATCGGAAATTCAAATCAGCACAACAATCATCTTCACAGTCCTTCTACAACACAGTGATCACGTCAGGTACTCTGTCTGATAAGATTTCAGCATTGACCCTTGCTGTTCAAGAGTCTCCCATTCATAATGTTCGGGCGCTGGAGTCTCTTATTGGATTGGCTAGAAAGAGAAGCAGATCACAGGCGGTTGATGTGCTGAGGTCTCTCAAAGATCTTCTTGCCCAAGGTTCACTTCTGCCCGAATCACGAAAACTTCAAACCTTCGCGTCACAGCCTACTCTACCCTTTCTGTTCAACAGGACTCAAACTTGGAAGAGAGGAGACAAGCTCCCAAGGGGACTGAAGGAACACCACCTTGTGGTTTGGGCTTATGAGAATTGGCTGAAGGAACAATATTTTGAAATCCTGAAGATTCTCGAAGTCTGGTGCAACGATGAGATTGAGTTTTCAAAGTCAAAGGCAGTCAGCTTCGTGTATGAACTACTAAAGGAAAGACCAGAACAAGAGTCAAACTTGTTGAGATTGTTGGTCAACAAGCTTGGAGATCCGATCAAGAAGATCGCATCACAAGCGTCATATCTACTGATGCAGCTTCTTATCACCCACCCAGCAATGAAATCAGTGGTTGTATCGGCGGTTGAGACGGATTTTATTTTCAGACCAGGACAAAGTCTTCATGGTAAATATTATGCAGTTGTGACTCTCAATCAAACAGCATTGAGTGGGAAAGAAGAGGAAGTCGCCAGTAAGCTGCTAGACATTTATTTCGGCCTCTTCACTTCGCTTTTAAAGAATACGGAAACAAATCTGGTCCCAGTTCCTGAGAAGGCAGAACCTGAAACAGGACCTGCGGGAAACCCTCGGAGAAGGAGGAACAAGAAACCGAAGGCCACTGTTCAGCCACAAGCAGAGGAGTTGAGGGAGAAGCTCATTTCTGCTATCCTAACTGGTGTCAACCGTGCATATCCTTATGCCGAGTCTAAGGAGAAAAGCTTTTCCGATCATTTGGAGACGCTGTTCAAGGTTACACATTCATCCAATTTCAACACCAGTATCCAAGCGATGCTCCTGATACAGCAGGTATCCGCAACTCACAAAGCTTCCAATGATCGATTCTACCGAGTGTTATACGAATCACTGCTCGACCCTCGTCTTCTGGTTGCATCGAAGCAACAATTATATCTGAATCTCCTACACCGAGCTCTCAAAGCTGACTTGAATGTCAAGAGAGTGAAGGCTTTTATCAAGCGTCTGTTTCAAGTATTATCCTTGCACGATGCATCATTCGTTGTTGGTGCATTTTTTCTTTTACAAGACCTTGAGAAGACATTCCCCTCCTTGGCAGGACTGATTGATCAAGCGGAAGATCACGATGATGATGAAGAAGTCTTCCGCGACGTGGAGGAAGATGGGACTCAGGCACCGAATGTCAGCGACTCAAATATTCAGGCATCGTTATATGACGGACATAAACGTGCGCCCGAGTACGCCAACGCGGACAACAGCTGTGTTTGGGAGCTTCTACCATTCCTTGCACATTTCCATCCTGCTGTGTCGCTAAGTGCAGATCATGCATTGCGCCATGCTAAGTTACCAGGCAAACCTGATCTCACCTTACATACCCTCAGTCACTTTTTGGACCGATTTGTTTACCGAAATCCCAAATTGGGTGTGTCTGGGCTTCGTGGTTCATCAATTATGCAACCTATGGCAGCTAGTGACTCACAGAATGTATTGATTCCAGGTACATTTGCCGCTCAGCGAAGACTACCAGTGAACAGCGAAGCATTCAGAGTCAAGAAGGATGGAGACATTGCAGCAGAAGATGTCTTCTTCCACAAGTATTTCTCCAGCTTAGGAGATGCATCTAGCAAGAAGAGCAAGGAAAAGAAGAAGAAGCATGATTCTGACGACAATGAAGGATCTGAAGATGAAGACGAAATCTGGAAGGCGATGATGCAAAGTGCTCCAGCAGATATAGAGGGCGACGAAGACAGTGAAGACGACCTGGATTTGTCCGAGCTCGAAGCTGAAATGGACGGGTCAGATGCAGACGATGCAGAGGGGCAGGAGCAAGACGACGACGACGATGAGGGCGTCGACATCGACCCAGCACTGTTTGACGAATCAGAGGATGATCTTATGGACATCGGCGAAGCTCCCGCACTGGCTAGCGAAGATTCGGACTTTGCAGGATTCGACTCGGCTGAAGAAGAGGGCCCGGCAGCCAAAAAGGCAAAGATGAAGTCGGACAAGAAGAAGGAGAAGGCCAAGAAGAAAGCCTTGCCATTGTTCGCCTCAGTGGAAGATTATGCAAAGATGCTGGAGGACGACGAGAACGAGGACAAGTGAAGATGGATTGAGACTGTTTAGCCAAGTCTTGCACCATCGCTAAGACAACCAATTGCAAAGCGATCAGTAACGAAATGATCGTGTGCCCCAATTTTTCTTCTTTTTTGGTGCTCAAATGAAGAAATCTCCAAGCATTCTTGGAGATTCTTGTCGGCCGCGCTGGGCATGCTTGGTCGGTGCCACGGCATCTTGGGAAATCTCTCACGTAAACTCGCCAGTTCACATATTTGGCCCCTTTAAAGGGGTTTCCATGCATCTTGCTCCTCTGCATACTCGGGCGAAGTAATTCACATGTTTTCTCAGGACCTTGGGCTAGACTTCGACACCTTTGCTTCCGACCGGGCCCCTCTAAAGTCTTTATTCGAAGTATCACGGATACAATCAGCCGAGAATGCCAAGCTCTTAGAGGGCGCCTCTCAATGCACGAGCGGGACGAGCTAAAGCTATGACATCGTATGACATAGCCTTCAAGTTTCTTACAAGGCCTCCAAACCACTCGAGAAGTCGTCGATTCTTCCGTCCAACTCGCCTGGTACTCATACTCATACTCCTGTGCATCTATTTCCATGTGAGGTCATCCTGCTTCCGCTTTTTGCCCCGTAACACTTACTTTCGTCCCCCCAACCCATGCTTAATCGATCTTGCTAGTGTGTAGATTCTTGTCAGGCTTTTCACCACCCACACCCGCCACATGCACAGGAAACCAACCAGCTCGAAGAGGGGCCTGGTCCGGTCGTCTCTTATTGATTCATCCCCACTCGTCTTTTTTGGCTTGAACGCCTTCCCGCTTTACGACCCGCATCCAGGGATGGCGTTTCTTTCGCTTCGAGCCACTGCAGTGATCGCCAGCCTTTCCATCCCGCCAATTCGTGAATAGCTTGTCGTCACCAGTCGGTTCATCTGTTCAACATGGCCCACAGGTTACTGGGATGTGCTTTGCCATGCTACCGCAAGGTCGTACCAGCTTTTTTCCCTAAAGCCGCGCCTGTTCGTCGCAGTTTTGCTTTTTCTTCCTTTAATTCCAAGTCTTATCCCGTACTGTGACTAGAGGGAGATCTATATTCCTATACCAAGTTACCTTGACCGTAACTCGACTCACATGAAGGCGGCATTTCTCATCGATATCGATTCTTTGTTTTTTGTCTGTTTCATACGGGCAATCCGCGCTGTCAAGTGGCGTTGAATCGGTCTTCTGAACAATTTACACCCTAACACACTCATACACAATGTCGCACATCAATGAGAAGGATGAACCTGGCTTCGGCCAGGCAGGAGTCCTCAAACCCGACCAAAATCTAGGTGCCGATCTGGAAGCAAGACGGACCTCCACATCAGTCAACGGACGCCGAATGAGCAGAATTGGTCCACCGCCAAAGCAATCGCTCGAAATTCCCGTTACTGATAATGCTAGTTCTGTGGATGAGTACGGTAAACTCGTCGAGATGGAAGCAAATGATGCGATTCAGTACAGGACTTGCTCCTGGCAAAAGACTGCAGCCTTACTGTTCTCCGAATATATTTGCCTGGCCATTATGTCGTTCCCTTATTCATATTCAGTATTGGGTCTGGTACCTGGAATTATCTTGACGGTTGTACAAGCTGGGTTTGTACTTTATACGTCTCTAGTGGTTTGGTATGCTTCTTCTTCTATCTCAATGATTTCAACCCCTTTTGAAACTAATTTGGGCACAGGGAATTCTGTTTGCGCCACCCAGAAGTACGCGATGTCTGTGACATTGGACAAATGCTTTTCTGGAACTCCAAGTGGGCGTGGTACGCCACCGCAGTAATGTTCTTGCTCAACAACACTTTCATCCAAGGATTGCATGTGCTCGTTATTTCTCGCTACTTGAACACCATGAGTGGTATGGACCATTCTGCTACCTTGGAAAAACTGCCAACTAACATACCATATAGGACACAGTGTCTGCACCGTCGGCTTCGCGGCCATCGGCGCAATTATCTCCTGGGTCTGCTCCATGCCACGGACGTTCAACACCCTCTCCAAACTCGCCGCAGCCTCAGCCGTGTTCACCTTCATCAGCGTGATTCTCGCTGCAGCTTTCGCCGGTGCCGAGGGTAAACATGGAACAGCTGGATACAACCCGGATCCCAACTTTATCAACGCCGCGGGCAAGAATATTGGTGGAGAACCACTTGTTCTGGCTATTCCTCTTGCAGGAACCACGTTCGTGTCTGGCATGAATGCCTTCCTCAACATCGCATACACTTTTATTGGCCAAATCACCCTGCCCAGTTTCATTGCCGAGATGAAGAATCCCTATGATTTCCGCAAGGCTCTGTGGCTTGTCACGATTTGTGAAATTGTCGTGTTTTGTTTGGTCGGTGGGATTGGTACGTGTCTCGTCAATCGATTTCTGGTTCACAGAGTGCTAGCATGCTAACAAACTCTACAGTCTACGGATATACTGGCACCCAATACAACACCGCACCCGCATTCGGCAGTCTCGGCAACGAGATTTACAAGAAAGTCTCATTCTCATTCATGGTCCCAACGCTGATATTCCTGGGCGTGCTGTACGCCTCGGTGTCCGCGCGCTTCCTCTTCTTCCGCATCTTCGAGGGCACTCGCCACAAGACCAGCCACACGGTCGTGGGCTGGGCCACATGGGCTGGAATCCTGGCCGTCACGTGGGTCATGGCATTCATCATCGCCGAGGTGATTCCCTTCTTTGCCGATTTACTCTCGTTGATGAGCTCGCTGTTTGACTCGTTTTTCGGCTGGATTTTCTGGGGCGTTGCGTACCTGAGGATGCGGAAGGCAGATCTCGGTCCGGGTTTCTACAAGAAGAGAGGGATCCGCGGCTGGGTCGGCTTTATTGTTAATATCTTCATCATCCTGGTCGGGGTTTTCTTCCTTGGGGCGGGAACTTATGTAAGTCGAGTGTTTTTCCCTATCGTTGGGCTTTTCCTCTTTGGCATGAAATCGAGCTAATCTGGGGTGTTTGCAGGCTTCTGTTGACAGCATTATCTTGGACTACGATGCTGGAAATGTGAAGGGTGTGTTCACATGTGCCGACAACTCTTTGTAGACGTGGACCAGGCCGAAGGATGCATATTTGGCAGGATCGGTGCTCTAGTCCGAGAGCTCGATTGACAGGAAACGAATATATAGGATATATCCAGTGGACGTGATTCGCATATTGAACAGACATAGAGTGCAGTTGGTGGACAGTAGAAAGCCGCTCCCGTACGCTCTTCAACCCAAGTATGACGGGATATTAGGATTAAACGACAGTCTACCAGATATTCACCGCATTACGTGTGCTGTACATCCAACACATGATGATTATACTTCAGACGTAACATTGCAAAAAACCACATGGTAGATTCGATCTATTGGTGTCCATATAGCCTTGGTATTAGTATCAGGGCTATGTTCTCCCACAACAGCTCTCTATAACCTCCTCTCAAGCCTTGCTCTGCAACCGCACAAACTCGTCACTAAAAGCAAAGTCCGTATAACCCTTCTCTTGCCCGCCATAGAACGTGGGTCGATCATATGACGCAAACGCAATACCATTCGCGATCCTGAACGGCAGGTCCGGATTCGCGGTAAAATGGCGGCCAAACACAATCGCCACATCTTTGCCCTTGAACTCATCATCCACAGCCTTCTTAGCACTCTCAGGCGTGAACCCGCCCGCAAGCAGCACGGGACCCACACCGCCCCAAGCCTGGACAAACACATCCAACGTCTCCGCCTTGACGACCTCATCCTGGCTCTCGACATCCTCGTTCCCCACGACCCGACTCTCCACGAGATGCAGATACGCGATGCCCAAGTCTTTCAGGCCCTGCACCAAATGCACGAACTGCGGGACCGGGTCCGCCATCTTCATGCCCTGGAACGTGCTGTAAGGGGACAGACGGACGCCGACGCGGTCGGGGCCGATCGCGTCGACGACCGCACGCGCGACTTCGAGCGCGAAGCGGCTGCGGTTCTCGACACTGCCGCCGTACGCGTCGTCGCGCCGGTTGCTCACGTCCTGCGTGAACTGGTCGATCAGGAAGCCCAGTGCGCCGTGGATCTCGACGCCGTCGAAGCCGGCTTCCATGGCGTTGCGTGCCGCGGTCGCGTAGTCGTCGATGTAGGATTTGATTTCTGAGGTGCTGAGGGCACGTGGCACGGGTTGTGTGCTGTCGATGGGGGTGGCGGATGAGGAGACGAAGTCGAATGGGCCATCCGGGTCGGTCTTGAGGAGCGCGGCGTCGGCGCCCCGGCCGAGGGCTTGGAGCTGCAGGAAGATGTAGCTGCCTTTGGTGTGGACGGCGTCGGTGACGGTTTTCCAGGCTGCGATCTGTGCGCCGTTGAAGATCCCCGGTGTGTTGGGGAAGCCCGAGGCGCGCGGGGAGATGAAGGTCGCTTCGGTGATGAGCAGCGTGCCGGGCACGGAGGCGCGTTGCCCGTAGAATGTTGCGGCTAGTGGAGAGGGGATGTGTGCGTCGTTGGCGCGGAAGCGTGTCATCGGTGCCATTACTATGCGGTGCGCGAGGGTTAGATTGCCGAGTTTGAGGGGTGCGAAAAGCTGGGAGGGCGGGTGTTGGGTTGGTGGTGTTGCTGTGATTGAACCCATGCTTGTGGTTGGGATAGTGAGAGGTGGACGGTCTTGGTTGTTTCTTGGGTTTGTAAATTGTAAGTGCTCGAACATGGAGGTTCAATGGTTGCTGGATTCGAGAATGCCATCTTGTCTGTTCTCTCCTTTCTTGTATATACTTATACTCGAGAATGGTTCTGCCTTCTCATGGCGATGGGACATGATTTGAAATGCTCACCTGCTGAACGAGCCGCTTTCTCAACATGTCGTTACCGCTTGCCATGAGGCTTTCAGCATGCCTTGAGATCATATCATGTAAGTATCCACCCACTGTTTTCAACCTACCAACATATTCCCATCGGCTGGAAGCTGCAAAGTTCGAAGCTTGTTAGTAACGTCCACGAGCCACGGATATTCTCCGTCTCGCCATCACCATTCCAGGACAGAGGAGTGAATTTCTGTACGGTTGATTCGAGAGCACTTTCCGATCTGTAGGCGTGGAAGCGAGCAACAAGACCTGTCAGGCACAGGGCGGTGTCTGAGAATGTAAAGGCTTGATACTCTCATCAAGCTAAAGCGATCTTGCAAAGATAGTGATGCGGATAAAGGAGGACCCATTATTTGTCAATCCAGCAAAACCTACCTATCTAGAATTGTAGCGCCGTGAAGATCAGTAGCATCCCTGCTATGAACGACATGTACCTCGATGGCTTGCTAGTGTGGAGCAGAGATGGTTGACCGGGAGGGAACGAATACGAGGTGTGGCTTTGTCATCACCATGTTTTCAGCTTGCGTGTGTTCGTCTTAAGCAGTCAATAAATCTCGTGCTTAAGATTGGTCAGCAACCACTGCCAGAGGTACTCAGTACTTCTCATTGTTGCACTTGACGATGTTTTGTACATTGGAGGAATTCAAATAACCAAATAAGAGGTATAGATTCATCAACGAGCCCATTTGCGAGCAGCTGGGCACTTGGCTGTACTTTTGAAGTATCGTTGCCGCGTTGAACGACTTAGCCTGGGTACCCATCCTCGAGTGCCTCCAGAAAGTTCGCCATGCCATCAGACATTGATGCATCATAAGCAGACACTGCACAATTATTCTGAGCATGGACAGCCTCGAGGCCAATTGCATTCGCAGTGAGAACAGGAACAGATGGATCAATGATAATAGGGTGCTTTAACACGAGCAACAGGTATATACACAAGACCTTGAGGGTGGTCTTGAATCCTCAACATGGCTGTCATGCACATGTCAGGAGAGAGTTCCAAGGATACGAGTACATAGGTACGTTGTCAAGTTTGTCGAGTTAAGGGTATTCACCCAATCAATCAAAAAATAGGAGAATGAAGTTTATGGGCGGCACAGAGTCAGAAGAAGCGCTAACGGCAACTAATTCACTAGTGTTATGTTAGACGAGTGTTTAAATCGTCTAAGCACTTTTGATTGGTTCAAGTGATGAAATGTGGATCGAGCCACGCCAGCTGCATTGAACACATTGGCTCCCAATAAATAAGAATAGATTTATGCTCTCTCAGGCACTCCGAGGTGCTCCCCTTCAAGGACTGGCTTTTCGGTGGCTCTTTAGGTGGCTGCCTCTATTCATCTGAACGTCGTCACTATAAACCGTGTCTGCCAATTCTACTAGATCACACTTGCCCCAGACTCGGGCTGCTTGGCCTTTGGACTTGATATCTGCAACAGCTTCTGTGGCAGCCAACGTCACCGTGCCAGTGGACTCCATTTGTAATTCCACTCTGCAACTGCAACTGCACCTGCACCCGCAACTGCAATTGCGACTGCGCTGCATTACACAGCCGCCCCGAGGTGGTCTACCCACTTTGTACCTCCGTACCTGTCCTTCGATCCACCATCCCGTCCTTCAGGAACTTTTCTTACAGCCTGGCATTATCTTGTCACTGTCAGAACCAGGCTTCATCCCACCATCATTGGCAGTCCTGGTCTTTTTTCTCTGAGCCCTCCGAACACCCCATCTCCGCGTCAACCTTTCCAAAGAACTTCGCCGGTTCTTCCATACCTCATTCCGAGTTACCATTGCAACCCCAGCTACAAATTCAACGCAGGAGACATCCAAAGAGGGGATGATTGGGAGGGATGAACAGGCTTCACGCCTCTACCAATAACGGCTATGGTGCCAACAAAAAGACCGATGAACAACCATATCATGACAAGTCCGACCTAGAAAGTAAATACATCTGGGGCATGACGGATCTTGTTGACGATGAAAAACCCGATCCCTCCTTTAGCCGCCGCTTCGAGCCTCGAAAAAGAGCCCTCAACCAACGCAATAGGCTCATTCGTCTGGGTCTGTTCATCATCATCTCGGTTGCATTACTAGTCCTCTTCTTCTTCCCCTCAACAAGACACCTGTCCCTTTCCTCCACACCTACACCTCCTGTCTTTGATTCCGACATCGAGACACTGCGATACTATGATTTAGAAGATGTCCAGGGCACCTCGGTGGGATGGGAACGAGAGGAGAGAGTTCTTCTCTGCACTCCTCTTCGAGATGCCGCTCCACATCTACCCATGTTCTTCGCACATTTGAGGAACTTCACATACCCACATCACCTCATTGACCTTGCATTCTTGGTGTCCGACTCCAAAGATGAAACCGAGCAAATGTTGACAGACATGCTCGAGGCTTTGCAGGCCGACCCCGACCCTACACAACCCTATGGGGAGATTTCTGTCATTCACAAAGATTTTGGCCAAGCCGTGGGACAAGATGTTGATAACCGTCATGGTTTTGCTGCACAGGCGAGTAGGAGGAAATTAATGGCACGAGCTCGCAATTGGCTGCTCAGCGCAGCCCTTCGACCCTATCACAGCTGGGTGTATTGGCGAGATGCGGATGTGGAAACTTGTCCTTTCACAATCATTGAGGATCTAATGAGACATGATCGTGATATAATAGTACCCAGTGAGTTTATCCACTTCCCGGATCTGCAGACGCTCTACTAATGGCAAGCAGATATTTGGCGTCCTTTACCTGACTGGCTCGGTGGTGAGCAACCTTACGATCTCAACTCCTGGCAAGAATCCGAGACAGCAATCGCTCTCGCTGAAACCTTGGATGAGGATGCTGTGATTGTGGAAGGTTACGCAGAATATGCCACTTGGCGACCTCATTTGGCCTATCTACGAGATCCTTACGGAGATCCTGATGTTGAAATGGAACTTGATGGCATTGGTGGTGTATCAATTCTAGCCAAAGCACGAGTCTCTCGTGCTGGAGTTCACTTTCCAGCCTTTTCTTTCGAGAGGCATGCAGAGACCGAGGGATTCGGCAAGATGGCACGACGTATGAAATTCTCTGTTGTTGGTCTCCCACATTACACGGTCTGGCATCTGTATGAACCTTCAGTGGATGACATCCGCCACATGGAAGAAATGGAGGCCGAAAAACGGGAGCGAGAACAACAAGAAAAGGAACTTGCTGAGCTTTCCAAAAAGGTTTCCGATTCTTTTCAACAAGTCGATTTACAATGGCAGAAAGACAAACTCGCGATATCGGGCACAAAACCTGATGTGGACCCAAAGCTTGAGAAAAAGCCGACCAACAAAGAAGGTGTCAAGAGGATTCCGGTCGATGATGCAAAGAACCCTTTCGTGTCTTTAAGACAAGCACGAGCTGCCGTCGAGGATTAATGACCGAAATGATTAACACCCGGTATGATTGCGAGGAGAAGTCAACATAAACGCATCGAGTTTAGGAAAAGAATATGAACCATGGGCATAGACACTGAGCGAGCATTTCATGTGCGTCGATTGCAACAAATCTGGGGCGCGGAGTTATTTCTTTCAAAAGGGGCACACTATTTGGTGCAGAAGGTCATTCAAATGTTGTACACTACACAAAATCGATTTTTCGAACTTGGGGCGGCGCAGAGGGAGGCTCAAGAACCACGTCTCTTGATTTATTGGGATCAGAATCAGAATCGTGATGTCTGTAAGGAATAGTCGATCATTCTCGACGACAACATGTAGTAGAAATTGCAATCTCACGTAGGTTGAGAATGTCTAGATTTTTTTACCAACCATGGAGGAACTGGTTCCAACCGTATGCTCCAAGCTAGATCGGTTGGAATCAACCAAGTTGCAGAAGGCTGCAAGGCTGACAGCCTTGCCATGACGTAGTGCGCCAAGATAACGCGTCTTTCGCTTTACGCGTCGCATTCAGTCAGGAGTTTGCATACTAACCCAGTTTTTTGGCATTCAATGTCTAGCAGAACCAGAGTACAATAAAGTCGATATCAGTTCTTCTCTGTTTCTCATAGATTGCTGAAGCTTAACACATCGAGGGTTCAAATAACGATGCTAGCCCTTCGCCAACATTCCAGTCAGCAGGACATCTGCACTGTCAATGTTCTTCCCTGCCGAATCCACCACGATGGCCCTACGAAAGTCACCAAGAGGTTTTGGGCGCCTGTAGCCGAGAAAGGTTCGTGTTTTTGAATTTCTGTATTCCGAATTCCGCTGCGTGTTTCTGCAAAGAAGTGTTTTGCTGATACGTTGAGATGCAGACTCAACGAGGACATCACATTTCCGGGGGCGGAGACTACGAGGAAGAGTATTGAGGCTGCCGGAGTCTTATCGAGGTGAGTTGATATTATCCCACACCCGGGAGGCTAGGCCGCTCATCATTAATTTCATGGTCTGAAAAACTGACCATCGAAAAATCGCTACGCTCCACAGGCGTGATAGTCAAGTCCACAGAACAACTTCTGGCACAACCGACGACCAAAGCACAGTATATGACGGTTGACGACGACGAAGATATCCAGATCCGAGACGAGGAGGACGAGCCGCCGGAGCCGGTGAAGATTCTCGATGAATTATCCAACTTCGAGGAGATTGTCGTGTGGGGCCACGATCAGCTTCCTGCCATGGATGATCCTTTTGTCAAGGGTGTTGATGAGTGGATTGCTTTTGCGGAGGCTTTGCACGGGTCGAAGCCACCAGTCCAGGATCAAAATGTTACTGAAGTGGCAGAGACCGAGACTATGGCATTAAAATCTTGAGTTGGTGCTTAAATGTGGGGGTGCTGCTTCGAGAGGACCTCTGATTGATGTGGAAAACAAGCCTCTGATCTTCTCTGTGATGCTGGTGCAAACAATTGGTGTGCTTTTTACTACCACCGAAAACGACCTGGGAAACACCTCCACCATCGACGGACGGAGATCGAATACTGGAGGGACCATCGACGGCCAGACAAGCAGAGCACCTCTCACTCACTCGGTCACGACGACACTCAGTCACCTGGCTCCTGCCCCTTCAACCAATCCTTCTTCTCCAGCGTCCACTCCCGCTTCAACTTCAAATACCCTTCGGAAGCAGTACACCTCCGCCAATAGGTCTTAAAGACATTACTAGCCTCCTCCTTCTCCCTCCTCTTCGCATCCTCCACATCATCCACCTCCTTATCACTCCACTTCTCCAACTCCACACCGTCCTTCCCATACTTCCTCCCACCCTTATGGTTCGCATAGCGCTTCGCCCTGGTCATGCCCATCTGGATGAACTTGCGCGTCATGTCCGCGCCCACCAGGTCGCCGCGCTCAATGTACGATTCGAATATCGTCCATAGCACCGACGCGGATTTCTGCGCGATTGGGACTGTTCGGAATGCCCAGTACGGCAGGATCAGGCTCTTGTACGGCTCGAAGGATAGCACGCCCATTTCGCCGCGCGCGATCGTGTACGAGTATCGCAGTTCGGGCGACTCAAGGGCTGGGGTTGCCAATGGAGGATCCGGGGTCACGAGAGTGGTTTCAGTTGCTTTCGGCATGCTTGTGAATTGGAGGCGCGCATAGCATGAGAATGTTCGCGCTGAGATTTGGCGGAGCGGTTGGAACATAGAAAGAGGTTGAAGAATAATGACAAAGGATTATGACGTCTTCACTTTACATATTGTGCTACACGCTTGGACCAGGGCTCCAGAACCACCCTCTCAACTAAACAAGCGATCTTCGTACAATTTTTGGTTTCCAGGTATCAACGATTAACAACGTTTCTTCATCGCTATGTAGTATCGTATTTATAGATCAATGCCCCTCATTCCTCTCCGCCTGCCTCTGGAACGCACCACCGATCGCGCCATCTTCCTTGAAATGCTTTCCTACATTCCCCCACAACATCTGATCAGCAAACATGTTCGCAACCAATACAAGACTTCCTCCACCCAAAAGAACAAGCACAGAAAGAAAACTCACCGATCGCGCCGTCTTTATCCAACGGCCCACCGATCTTCTGCGCCGTGCCACCAATCCCGCCCTGGTCGGCCGTGAATTGTTTCCCGATCGCGCCGTCCTTCGAGAATATGGATGTCCCGTGGCCGGTTGTTTTTTGTCCTGCTGCTGACTGTTTTTGGGGAGACCCAAAGGTGTGATTAGTCTTGATTCAAGCAGAGTAATGGAGGTAGGTGGGTTATTAGGGGGAAGTAGAGCGTTGCTCGTAGGTAGACTAGATAGACATAGGGGGGTGTCTACATACGTCTTGTGCAGCACCTTCGTGAACACCCTCTGTTAGATCTTGTACTTTGGTGGCGGCATTCGCGCCCTTGTCGAACGTTTTCGCTGTGTGGTCGCCGTCCATATTGGATGGATGTGATGTGTTTATTTGTTTTTGGTAGCGTAGTGTCACAGAGAGATGAGATTAAAAGGCAGGAGACAAAAGTATCGTGGTTTGGGAGAAAGCGTGTTTCGATGAGAAAATGAAGTGTTCTAATAACCCACCCAGCAATCACTTACCTACATGTCATCGCACCCGGTATCCGCCAGCCGAGATCTATGCGTTCATCAGACGTAGACTGTGTCTTTCCTTCCATTTCATGATGTAAGTGCGAGTCATGGACCGCGGGAGTTGATATCCGGCGTGTTGTGCCTCTGGACCAGTATGCTCATCATCGACTCGATCGAATGCACCCCGGATTTTCTGATCTCTGATCGAGATTTCTCTTCCATTGTGGGGCTGGATCGAGACTATTTGAGCATGGAATGTACCTGAGAAACATGGAGAGAATGTACGCATGCTCAAACCGAAGATCCAGGACCTGCAGTAACTACCTAGGCGACCGAGTGTTGTCTACGCTGCATCAAGTTGTGAAAATGATACTTAACCGAACGTACACCCTACTCATCGTTTAACTGCGGCTACCTCCGGAGTGCGGGATGGTGGTGGTGGAGAAATAACCTTCTGGTCTTTCTCCATCATTAGACATCCATTGTACTGACATACAGTCTTTGTACTTCGCTAATCGCTCAACCTGGAAACAAGATGCGAGTATTGCAGCGTGGATCATAATTGCGAAGTCGCAATCGGCAAAGACGCGGCAATAACTTTGATGTCTACGAATCTAAAACACATGGTGGTGAGATGCTCACATGCCGAGGCTCTACAAGCACCAGCTTAAGCGAGACACACCACACGTGATATGAGAAACAACGTCAGTTGATAAAACATAAAGCACTTCAGTACTTCTGAAAAGATCAATCCAGCCTAGGAAGTCGCGGAATCCAAGAGATCTACTGATTTCGAATTTAGTGCCACACGTTCGACATGTCGCCTGTGGACGACACGGTGATAATAGTCGGGGCCGGTCTCGCTGGTCTCGTCGCGGCACATGAGCTGACCAGAAAGAACATCCACGTCACATTTGTAGAGCAGGAGAACGAGAAGAATCTCGGTGGCCAGGCATTTTGGTCTCTGGGTGGACTGTTCCTGGTCAACTCCGCCGATCAAAGGAGCAAGGGCATCAAAGACAGCCGCGAACTTGCTTACAAAGACTGGCTGGGCACGGCCAAATTCGACCGAGAGAAAGAGGACATCTGGCCCCGGCGCTGGGCAAAAGCATATGTTGACTTTGCGACGGATGAGAAGGAGCGGTATCTGAAGAACCTGGGTCTGAAGTTCCTCACCGTGGGCTGGGCGGAACGCGGCGCTTCGGCCGCTGGAGGACATGGAAATTCCGTCCCAAGATTCCATTTGACCTGGGGCATTGGCCCTGAGCTTGTCCGCATATTCGCAGAACCCGTCAAAGCGGCCGCGAAGAAAGGGCTCGTTACTTTCAAATACCGACACCAGGTCGACGAGGTGATTGTGGACGAGTCGACCGGGGCCGCGGTCGGCGTCCGTGGGAGTGTTCTCGAACCCAGCGATGCCGAGCGAGGAGTGGGAAGCTCACGAACCGTCGTGGACAAATTCAACCTTCGCGGCAGAGCTGTCATCATCTCGACCGGAGGTGTGGGTGGCAATCCAGACCTGGTCAAGAAGAACTGGCCGGTCCACCGATTAGGCCCCGTGCCCAAATATTTCGTGCATGGCGTGCCCGCGCACGTCGACGGCCGCGGCGTCGAGATCGCCGAAGCAGCGGGAGCGAACGTCATCAACATGGACCGCATGTGGCACTACACCGAAGGCCTGGCGAACTGGAATCCGATCTGGGCCGCCCACGGCATCCGCATCATCCCCGGGCCATCGACGCTGTGGCTCGACGCGACCGGAAAACGACTCCCAGCACCCCTGTACCCGGGCTGCGACACGCTGGCGACCCTCCAACACATCGGCACCACCGGCTACGACTACACGTGGTTCATCCTGAACCGACAGATCGTCAGCCGGGAATTCACGCTGTCGGGCTCGGAGCAGAACCCGGACATCGCGTCCAAGAACTACCTGAAACTCCTGCACCGCGCCTTCACGCGCTGGGGCACCTACCCGGTACAGGCGTTCATGAAGCACGGCGCGGATTTCGTCGTCGAGAAGGACGTCGCCTCGCTCGTGAAAGGCATGAACCGGCTGAGCGCCGAACGCGACGGACCCGTCCTCTCGGAGAGCGATGTCCTCGCACAGATCCAGACCCGCGACGAACAGACCCAACACGCGTACAGCAAGGATCCGCAGATCATGCTGATCAAGAACGCGCGCGACTACAGCTCGGATAAGGTGCGCATCGCGAAGCCGCATCCGATCCTCAATCCCTCGTCGGGTCCCCTGATCGCCGTGCGCTGTAACATCATCACGCGCAAGAGCCTTGGAGGTCTCGAGACGAATCTTGAGAGTAAAGTGATGCGCCCGGACGGAACGCCTTTCCCGGGCCTGTATGCCGCGGGCGAGGCGGCGGTGGTGTCCATGGGTATAGCTCGCTTGAGGGCACGTTTGTTGGCGGCTGTGTGTTCTCAGGTCGTGCTGCCGGCAGGGCCATTGCTGCGTCGCTTGCTGGTGGAGTGGGTCTTCAGGCGAAATTGTAGCGTTGCTTTACAAGTGTAGAATCAAGTGATAATCATGAGAAATGGAGTTACGAGGAGAAACATGAGTTCTACCTATATCGGATTGTGTGGTAAACTCAATATCTTGAAGAGACCTGTCGAGAATATATCCCATGCGCTGAGCTCCTTGGCTGTGCCTGGTGACATATCTCTCAATCTTCGTATCTTGTGGCCACAAATCCATGCAGATGCTTCTATTTATATGTGCCATGTAATCAAATGTCCGCATCAAACGCCACGCTATGCTATTTACCTTAAAGTCATGCCCTGGCATTAATGAGTCATTCAAAACTATGCACAGATGCAGTCGAGCTCGGAGTACCTAATGATTCCGTTTCACCTATGCTTTCCTGCGGCTGTAATAGTTGTGCCTGTGGCCATCCTCCCGCGGTGCTCAAAACGGCATCCAAATCGAGGGCGTCGGTAAACCACCTATCCCGCCTAGTGCTGGCTATAGTACCACCTTCCAATGCTGCTCGAGCGGCCCGTGTACGTCTTTGGCGTTTGTTGCTGCTGGATTGGGAGCCACCATCGAGGTCATTGCGAAGGACTGCAAGTCGCTGATCGTAGAGCACAATCTGCCGAATATATGGAGCGATCTCAGTAGCCACAGATACAGCCGAACTGTCTAACGATGGTGCCTTGCGCCCAGGTGGTTGTGGAAGTCCAATGCGATTTTCTTCAGTCAAGGAACCGAATATTTCAAGAATGTCACGGCTCGATAACTGTAGCCGGCGAGGAGCAAGATGGCGTTCTACCAGTTGCTCTCTTGGGCGAATGCGAGTAGTAGACGGCGAGTTTTGCTTGATTTTAGCAGCTAACAAGGGTGAGATCGTGTCGTCCAGAACATCCATAGAACTTCTAGCCTCACATAGTGAGAACAAATCATCAAGTCTTTGCAAGACAGTAGCATGCTGGGAGCGCTCGACGTCTTGATCTACCCAATCAAGGGCAGACATGCCTAAGTGCTCCATCGCAAAACCTATCAAGTCATCAGAGTTGCGCGTCTCAGTCGGTAGCAGGTCATGGCCACTAATGAATGTGTCTTTGCTCACAATCCGAGTGATCGACCCAGGAAAAGAGGTAGCATGTCTCTCATTGTACGGCATCATCCAGTCGATCCCACCTAGTTGCGATCCCACAGTCATTTGACACCAAAAGTTGAGCTCCGTCAACGACGCACGCAGGTCATAGCCTTTGCTGACATAGAGATTTTGAATAGCTTGAGAACTAAGCAGATGGCCCTCAGAAGCAGCGACACTTCGGAGGTACTGGACTGCAACTTCTGTTGAAGGGTTCTCATACTCAAGTGTTGCATATAAGTTCAGATCATCCACCGGTACGGAAGTGGGGTCATTGCAAGTCAATATGACCGGTCTCTTGGAAGCCTGAATAAGTGTTTGTACAGCACTCCAGAAGCCTTTATCTTCTTCAAAGAGAATATCAACCTCTTCAAACAAAATTAGAGACTGCTTCTGAGACTTTGCCTTGCCTCCCTTATTTGCTTCCACGCCAGCAAGCCCTGGCTTTTTGTTTTTCGTTCCATTTCCCATGAAGGCGGCCATCGTTTGCTGATTCGGAGGTAGGTTGACTGGAAGCGCTGGACAAGACTCATTGTCACTCGCAGACACACTAGATCTGCGACTCGATATGCCTGTTGTCCTTTGTACGAGATGATTTTTAGTCATGTCACCAACCTGGTCCATAATATCTCTAGCGTTACGTCGCATACCCGGATAGATTTCGAAAATTTCGAAGCCGAGCTGTTGAGCAACTGCATAGACAGAGGCTGTTTTGCCACACCCAGAAGGCCCAGTAAGGAGTATGGCATTTTTCGGAGACAGACTGTCATTATCTGCATCATCGTCTGAATGGGCAATAAAGTCATCCAGCTCGTCGGTTTTTCTCTTCCGTCGTTTCTTTTGCATGGCAATTTTGGGCTTCGATTGGGTATTGCCGCTTTGGACATTATGAACTTCCAGAGTCCTCAACCAGTCATGCAGAACGTATGCCTGAGGTTGGAGCACCTCTTCCCAGCGTTCCGGCGCATATGCTTGTGGCCACAGACAAGGCCCAGAAGCACGACCTTGGTCGAAAGCAGTGGGTTTCGATTCAATCCTTGATTGCAGCATATTCGCAACTGGCTTGACTAAGGAATCCAGCGTCAAGCTTTCGAATAATGATTTGCCGCTCATGATTAGGCGAGTGGGAAGGTGAACAGAATCTGGGGGTTGAATAAGATCTCTGCGCAATTGACCTCCAAAAGTACTCAGAACATCTTCCGCACAGTCCACACTAGGCACAATGTGTTTTGATTTTGACTTGATCGTAGCCTGTGGTATTGTTTTGCTGGGTAACCAGAGTCGCTCTTCCGGCTGAATGTTATGGAGTGCATTAGGCGGCCAGATAGGGTCGAGCCCAGGGAGAGATTTCTGAGATGTATTTCTCGAGCCGAAGATGATGTCCTTCCACGGTGTTGGTGCTTTGAGTATTACTCGAGACTCATCTTCGGATACTGGACATGCAGAGGCTGCTTCGCTAGCTGCTCTGGAGACCATCGGAGTCAAGGGTTTGTTCAAGAAGAATGGGTGAACAATTTTAGTGCCTGCGGAGGAGGCTTTCTTGGTTTCCCGGAGGGTTTGAGTGGAAGATTGATTGAGGGAGAGGGTTTTGAATGACAAGATCTCGTTGATCTTTTTGCCAGTGTCTGGAGATGCGTAGGGCAGCGTGATCCTTAGTGAAGAAACGAACTTTCCATTCTTCATCTCAACTTTCCTTGCCCTGGAAGGAGTCTTTGTTCTTTTGGTGTTTCTCATAGCTGGTGATGTCTTCTGGGCGTGCTTAGGGGAGTTGATGAGCTTGCCGATCGCGCCTAGGCGAACACTCTTGTTCCTTGGAGTATCCATGGCAGAGTCAGGAGCAGTAGTAGGGCTAGTCAGACTGGGGTCAATTATAGGATCCTTCTCTGAAGGTGACTGAGAAGGATGAGGAAGGGAAGTAAGGGATTGATGCAGATTTAAGTGTTGTTGTGTCTCAAGATCGACCGACCTTTCTGTCGTTGATTCACTGGCATTCGATGGGTCTTGTGAAGTCCCAATGGGTTGTGAATCGAATCCATCATGAATTTGACCTTGCTCTGAAGTCTGACGGCTGGCAGTAGAGCTGGCAGCACGTGTGAGCTGTTCATGCCATGTTTCAGAGCCTGTAAGAGTATTTTCAGCCACTGGGACAACATATTCATGTCCCTGAGATGTCTTCCTTCGTTTGGTTCCCGCATTGTCTGGCATTATGTCATGGTAAATGTTCTCGTGGTACGTATATTTGACAGGTTGTGTAGGGTTCCACGACGATCTACTGCTGAGTGCAACTGTGCGCGACTTCTCAGGCGATACTGTTGGATGACTCTGAGATCTATCAACCATATTATCAGGGTTCATGGCTTCAGCAATTGTCGTCTTTTCCTCGAGTGCACCGTCGATGGAGAGTGGACCTGCAGCCTGCGAAGGGCTATGGGTATCAGAATCATGATCCGTCCGTTCTGCATAAGATAATCAGTCTCCGGAGGCATATTGTTTCAAGGTGGTGTTACCTTTTCGAAAGAATGGGTGCATGTGCATGATATTTGACCTGGAAGAGCCATGCTCCGCCAGGGTCGCCATTCATCAAAGGGCAATCAATCGAGTCAACTCCGTCATTGAGATTTAGGAACCACAAAACGATGTATGCGTTTACAAGTGGTGTAAGAAGGTAAGATCAAGATTCTCCGATTAATTTGTTCAACAAGGCAGTGAAGTAGATGAAGTGGTTTGAGCAGGATTTTGGGAGCAACTGAACAGAAATGAACATGAAGCAAGTTTCACTGTGGTAAATGGACAACGCGTCCGTACGCGACTCGAATTGCCCGTGGCAGGTGCGGGGAGCGTCAATGGGCAGGAGCATTAAAGCACCGATGATTGGGCGCTAAGGACAGAAAGAATCAAATGTGCCGCTGCTTTATATAGCGGCAGACTTGTTGGTCTATTCATCAGTCGTACTAGGATGATTTATATGTGTAAGAGTGAATTAGATGAAACGAGTTACTTCTAGAATAGAGGAACAGGGTAGTTCAATCATACCTGCTAAAATGATGTCTCAAGGATATTGCTCTATCCAGAATCACGTGATGACAGCTGTAGTCGCTGTAAAGTGGCAAGTGCGGGAGATCGACCGCTAAACAATCTCGTTCTCCGCATCCAAGTTATTGGTGGGAGTTTTTTTTCTGACTTGCCCTTCGTTTCTAGATTTCAAGCAGAAGCACGACCGCCAGCAATACAGGAACTTCAGCTGCAATGTTTATACTGTGAAAGATGGAAATTATCCCACCTCATCCATTGGCAAAGCTGCCGCGATCCACAAGGCCAGATGCCATCCCTCAATTCGCTGTGGTCTCCGCAAGTCGTCAAGGAATTCGGAGGCGGAGACAAGAGATTTGTGCAGCCATTGATGGGGACTCATTAAGTTTATACGAGGTGAAACTCCTTCCACTGCAGAGTTGAATCTGTCTAACATGTATGACAGCTTAACAATGGAAGCATCTTGGCCTCATATCCCGTACCACCCGCAAGTTCCTTCTCCGGCCCTCCTGTGTCAACGGTGGAAAAGCAAGATGGAAGTATTCACCGCCGTACATACTGCGCCATCAAGCGTGATACCCTTAAAATCCAGTACTTTCAGAGTCAAGACCAAGACCCACACCAGCCCAAAGCCATCACAAGCACCGATTTGAATCAACAGTACAGTGACATTGTGCTTCTTGACCTGATTAGCGGTGCAAACGATCAACAAAAGCAGGTGTTTGTGCTCCAACAAGATGGCACCATCACAATATTTTCAGAAGATCTTGCTCAGACCATCACAGAAACATCTATTTCAACCACCAAGTCGATGCGAATATTGGCTGCCCAACATTTATCCGGGACAGAAGCTGGGAAGAGTGTTCTCAAACAGAGACCTGACCTGGTTAATGCGGCAGCTCCAAATGCCTCTTACCTTGCTGTCGTCTATACAACGTCCAACGATAGACAAGTCAACCTCGAGAAGCTCTACTATGCTGTCTATGCTATTGAAGAGTCGACCCGAGATGACAGAGTCCGATCGCTTTCTGAGTGTAGTCTTGGTATGAACGGGCGCGAAACTAAATCGATTGATGTCAAAAGTGTCTCGTGCACTTTCAGCTCTTCGGTTTCACATCTTCATCTGCGATTTGGCGGCTCGCTCTTCACCTATGCTCTCTCAGGGATTTTGCCACAGCAGACATCTGTGCTCCATACTGGCTTTACCGGTCCCTCCGAGATACTTGCAATTTCTCCTGTTTTTGCAATATCCTCACACCAACGGAATTTACGCTTGTTTGATCTGAAGTACCAGACAACCCAAGCTCACGTCGACCCCAGCAGATCCGCTCTAAAACGCAAACGGAATCAATCAGGAGCAGAGCCTCCAATTGAGTTTGTCACCTACATTCCTAAATTAGCTCGTATTGTTGGAAAGTGCCGAAACCAACTCGTTGCCATCGACATCATCGCGAAGGAAGACCCCAAGAGGCTGTTGAGAGTAGGGTCAAACCTCATCCAAAATATTGGTCAAACAATCATGGCATCCGATTCGCACTACGAGATGAAGACCGGGTTGAAGAACCTCACCATTGGTACCATTGGCCAAGGCAATACATCCGACGACGAGTGGCAAAACTCACGTAGACAACTGGACCAACTGGCGCAAAGAGGCGACGTTGCAGGATTTGAGGATGCTTTCATCTACGAAGTCCGCAAACCATATCTTGCTCTGTCATATACTGGCAACATGGACGATGATTTTCCAGCAGCCAGTATTCCCGACGTCAAGTCCAAATATTTGTTGACCAAGATCTTTCGATTGGAGACAGCCTCGGCTGGCGACCGTCCGACACACGCCAACATCATCCTCAGGGTACAACTTCCAAGTGTTCGCTTGATCTTGTGGCTCTCCAGGTTAGGTTTGCTGAGCACTCGCTTGGTGCAAACAGCCATGCATGGCACCACTCCATATGCCATGGGCGAATTTCTGCAACCTGGTGCTGTAGCACAAGCTCTACTGGCACTGGATCCCACACTACAGCTTTTACAAAAATGTATTGAAAATGGATTCAGCCACTACGTTGATGAACAGGCTGCCACTGTGCATATGCTGATCACACAAGCACTTTCATTCCCAGGAGATGAAATTGAGGATCAAGGGAACGGAGCTCCCAGCCACGAAGTCATCAAACTGGCCGAGACACAACTTCAGACAACTGGGGACGATTCGCAGACGAGCTGGGTGCCAGAGCAGGTCAAGCAAGCGCTTGTTGCAGCCTTGAACAGATTTGGCTCCGCTGCAGTATCAACCGTTACGCCAATTCTCAAAAAATCTTTCAGTCAAACTGAGATCTTGGCTCTCATTCAATTGTTACGGCAGCAACTTTTTCAAGGTGGTCATACGCAATCCTTCCGAACACTGGCACTTTTAGAAACTGATGACAAAGTTGTCGTCAGCCTTGAAGCAGTGGTTAGAGTGTTATCCTGTTGTATTGATAGCATTGGCCCCCTTGGGTTGATCGGAACTATTGACAACGAAGCATTTGTTGATAGCATTATTCCTGATCTACTTTCAGAGATTGCGAGTACCAAAGAAAGCCTGGAAGATGCGGCTGAACTTCAAGGGATCCTTCGAGAGACACTCCGTTTCCACGAGTCGTTCCAGAGGAACCGGAAGGGAGATGCTCGCTCGAACCTAGGCGCTGGCAAAGAATTGAAACAACAACCAGGCACGATTGTGACTCTGTACTCAGATCTTGGAGAAGGGATGGATGGACCGGGTGAGGGACGAAGCCTTCCCTTGAGCCTGGGAGTCGACACAGCCATCAGTTCTCACAAGGTCAGAAAAGGAGGTGGTCAAATACTACGTCGAAGTGCACGGGAGAAGAATATGCTCAGACAGAGACAGAAAGGACCCTACTCGTTTGAGCGATTGGTCTTGTAGTTAGTCTGCATGAGCCTCGAATACCTCGTAATCCGTACTCCATCAAGACACAAAGAATAATGATCGACGTCCAGATTAGTTTCTAGAAGCCGTTGCATGTTGATGGATGATCTCCTGGACGTGGTCAATGGTGTGCTTTTTAAGATTGTACCTTGCTCGATTCGATCGAACCGAGAGTCGGACTATTACCACTATTACCACTAGCTTCGTTAGCGCCATGATGGCCGCCACTAATTCACCAAGTGGCCGCAGCCCCCAGTCAGTTCCTCATTCCAGTTCACTGCACCGCAACTCGTATACCACCACATGGCCTGAGGTTGCAAACTGGACACTCAACTGCGCTGCGCTGATCTCGATTGTTCTGTGTTCCTGCTAAACAACGCTGCTCTCAAATCTGACTCTGCATAACGCCCCTCCTCGACCGTTCGTGCACTCGGAGACTAAACCCACCTGATCCTACCGAGACTCCTCCCTCCTCCCACCTCATCACGAAAACCCCCCCCAAACCTAAGCCTCAGGGCTGGACCACCACGACTCCTGCTCGACTCGAACCCCTGTCTTCTATCGCTTCTTTGGCGGAGCCCATCCTACGGGAAAAAGGTCAAGACTTTGCGATAGTCCCTTACTAGCCCCAGTCCCTTCTCACGGCTGGGGTCAGGACTCGGGACAAGGCCGAACAAGAGCCAGAGTGCCGCATGCCAACTGAACAAACATGGCATTTCCTGGAGCAACATATCATGCAGACTCTGATGCAGATGATGAGTATGAGAGAAGTGTCATGACTTCACCAGTTCAGTTACATACCGACTCGGAAACCTCTTCGGAGCCTCAATCCAATGAACATACCCCCACCACCTTTGACAATGCTGGGGAAGATCCTAATCTACCTCGGACGATCATAACAGAATGGACTCCAGATGATTGTGCACAATTTGTTTCGAGTTTGAATCTGCGGCAGTACTGTCAGGCTTTCATAGGTACGGTCATCCCTTGTTCCGTTGAGGACCGTTGGACTGATCATTATTGAACAGAACACGGCATTGAAGGAGAAGCACTTGTGGCTCTCAAGCATGATGAACTCAAGGAGATGGGAATCGCCAGCGTTGGCCATAGGTTGACCATCCTGAAGAATGTCTATGACATGAAAGTCAATCAAGACATTCCCGTCGAGCCTGATGATTATGTCCCACCCAGTAAGCCGCCATATGTTTGCATGAAGAATATCTCTCTAACCCGGTCATGAAGCGGCCGAACGGAATCCTCAACATGAAATGGCTACGAAAGAGGACATTGCACGCATTGCCAGATCCATCATTCGACTGCGTGATGAACGAATTGCCCAGACAGAGGCCCAATTGACAAGATTGGCGGATGATTATCGTAAACTGCGCCAGGAATTACTCCCCGTGTTCAAAATGGCCAAAGAACGATCCGAACCACTACCTTACGCCCCATACCAAAATAATCCAACCATCAGCCCCGAAATCTATCAACAAGACCTCAGCTCTCCAGTTACGACGACACAACCAGTACTAGAAAAGACCAGCTTAACACGAACATTTTCCAAGAAGCTAGGATTAAGTTCCACGCCAAAGAACAACTCCCCAACATATATCCCCAGCACAATACACGAAGGAAGGACAACAGAGAATTCAGCCTTGGATCCGTCCGCCGCGGCCAGTTTAGCCTCCAACACTTTGACTGCGTCGATGTCAGGTGGCATGTTATCTCAACCGTCACCCATTGCACCCTCGCCGACATCTCCCTTGCCATATCATCAACCACTTGCTCCCCGATCATATCAAAGGGACGGTGTTTCGATATCGAGGTACGACGGCTCGGACGAGATATCATCTCGGATCAAAGAAGTCACACTCGAACGAAACATACTGGACCGAGACCCTCCAACATCAGCCAAGTCGGTGTCCGCCAAACTGAATCCCACCAACTCAACCATCTCAAACGCCTCCACACTAATCCCATCACGAGAAATGTCCGCATCGGTACCTCCGAACCTACCATCCAGTGCCGCAGGCGGCCAAACACCGGGCGACGCACCATCAGTGGAGATCTTCAAATCATTCCGAGTCGGACTAGAAGATCCATGTTACAAGGTCCTCCCCGCCGCACTCCGCAAGTATAACATCCAAGCAGACTGGCGGCAATATGCTCTATACATTGTATACGGAGACCAAGAACGATGCGTCGGGCTGGAAGAGAAACCACTAGCACTGTTTAAAGATCTTGACCGCGAGGGCAAGAAACCCATGTTCATGCTCCGCAAACTTGCCAACCCAATCCTGGAAGTCCCCGGTTCAGGGGGAGGCATCAAATCTCTGGGTATGGGCAGTGGTGGAAACAGTGGGATAGGCATATCCAATACTGTGAATGGACGCCCCATGCAGGCCCAAACACTACCTGGCGGAGTGCTGTAACGAGGCTGGAATGGGGCTTACTAGAGCCCAGGTCAAGAAGGAGAGAGATGAAAGTCTCTCTCCAACACTTCACGTCTTCATCTGAGATTATTATCCTTTCCCACAGAACCACCCCACCAACCAGCATGAGGACGACGGATGTGTGAGCTTGAGGTTATGACGTGTCATGGTGGCCTATTCCTCCCCTACCATTACCCTACCCTACAGATCTGCTCTCGCGAGTCGAGAATTCATCCCGCCCCTTGCTTGCACTCCGCCTTCTACTCCCAACTGCTCTTTGACTTCCCCTGCGAAACTAGCGGCTCCGAGATATAAACATGAATGGAATTTTTGTTCTTCTTCTTCGCAAACCCGTTCAGGTGACTTTTAGATCTCCAAGTGTGAATGTGAGAGAGTCATATCCCATGTGGGTGCCATGCAGCAGTACGTGACTAATGCGTATGTAATAGAGAAACTGGAGTTTGTAGATATTTAAGAACCGCCCCATCCCTATGCCGTGGCTTGATTCACGTCCATTCCAATGATTCGACTCCGACTCCGGCCCCGACTCCGACTCCAACGCCCGTCGCTATGCATTGATATACAGTAAGAGATTCCCCGTTCCATTTCTTCTTTCCAAGAGCAAGGGAATCTGAGACAGGCAAGGTAGGTAGTGGCTCATTCCCATTTGGCCTTCCTAATCCCACGGGGAGCCCGACAGAGAACATATCCCAAAACCAACAGCCATCCGATCACCCACCCAATGTAGTTAGTTATTCAAACCCATGATTTCAATCACTGTCATCGTCAATCGGCTGGACGACATCCTTGATGCGGTCCTTGAGAAACTCGACGGCGACCTCGACCGTTGTCTCCGGGATCCTCACGTCCGGCAGGCCATCGGGTCCGCCCGACCACTCTTTACTGACGGGGATAGCACCATTGCCGTTGACACCGTTGATCGCCACGCCAGTGGGCGTGCTGATGCCGTTCGCGCCTTTCTTGTCGCTGCCCTTGTCCTTGTCTTTCCCCGTACCCGACGTCTCGATCTGCTTGTCTCCTGCGGCCTGTGACTTTGAGATGCGTGCCCGCCGCAGTACTTCCGTCATCAGTTCTGGAAATGTGTCGCAGGAGCCATTGCGCAGGAGCTCCGCGCTGAGCGCCCGGACTCGGTCGGTCCAGCCGCTCCGTGCGAGACTGTCGGCTAGGAGGGTCGAGAGCTCGGGGATCGCGCCTTGGTTGCGTAGGTGGGCGATTAGGGCTTGGCTGGTGCTGCTAGGGAGGGTGCTGCTTGTCGAGGTAAGAGATGTTGGTAGAGGGATTGTGATGTCGTTGGTGGAGGGGGTGGTGTCGGTTGTTGACATTGTGGTTTTTGGGCGTCTGGGTTGTGGTCTCTGGGTTTATCGTTGGTGGAGGTGGAGGGGGGATAGATCAGGAGTATGGGTGAGGAAGAATGGTGATTTGATCATGAGCATACAGATTGGCTCCGAAGGTGGGAAGGGTTTTGCTCGGTGGTGGATGGGCCAGTGGCAGATAGTACGAGGAGGAAGTGTAAGTCGTTAGCTTTTGATGCCAGGAACTTTTTGGTAGCCCTGCAGAAAGTGGATGCCCGTGCGGAGATGAAAGAGGGGTGATTGAGGAAGGAACTTGGGAGGGCACGTGGAGAGATTAATGACTTGCGACGTGTTTGATTTTATGGACTTTCAAAGTACGTAAGTGGACAGTAGCTATGGGGCAGTAAGGGTGGCAGTCTACTTGGGATGCAACTGTGATGGTTGAATATATATAGCAGAGTGCATTTGCAGTCAGAATGGTAGGATCGAATTGCGTGAATAGAGATACTAAGAACAATAAGAACGGATGAATTGGAGCCAGAGATATCCACTACTTGTCTACACTATTGCTGTCTTGCTGGCAGGCACCTAGGAAAGGGTGAAGAAGGAATCACAACAAAAGGTGAAACGAAAACACTTAGAGTCTGTGGAGTAATTCAGATCAGGCTGTTCAGCCTTGCCACGAGAAAGTGAAGGAGTAGTACCTGACAGGCAACGTGGCTGGGACATCACAGATAGGGTAAAGAGGGTTTGGGCAGATAGGCTGCAGCCAGTTATGCCTCACAAGGCTCAGTGGTTGAATCCAAATAGTGGCGAGGCAGAGAGGATGATAGGTGAAAGAAAGAAGGTTCTATCTGATTCCTTCCGTGACGAGGATGAAATGTTGATGATTATCATGATTAGAGATGCCACACCTTGGGGGTCCAGGCAAGACCGGAGGACGGGACTGCAGTTAGGCGGCAACAGGCGACGTGTTTGGCACTGAGCCTGACCCGACTTTATCAAATGACTGCCAAGGCGGTGGTATGTCCACAGAGTTTAGACCTTTATTTGTGCCTGACAGATCCCATTTTAAACACTAGTAGGCAGTGGCAGCCGTGGGACCTGCAGAGTGGCCAGTTCAAGTGACTGCACCTTCAATTGCCTTGGGAAACGACATCACTACTACTGGCACTGCATCACTCACTCCAACTTCGCCTTCAACTTTCCGTCCCCAAAAGCTTTCTTTCCTTACAATCTCTCACCTTCCATCACCATCATCCACCTTCCTCGCATATCAAGGCTCTTCTCTTCTACCAGGGACCTTGACATCTTTTCATCTCTCTTCCATCCCTGTGACTCCAGACCCGACCCAAAGATTCAACCTCCCACACTTACTGTCTGAGGACCACACCCATCCACACCATCCACCCAGTTCCCTTCTCTCAGATCCATTGCAACCATGTCCGCAAAACCTGAATCCTCCCAACCCAAGGGGAAGGTGAACCTACAGTATGCATTAAAGCAGTCCAGTTTCCATCAAATCCAGCTTACTAACTACTCAACAGCGATGCCTCTGGCGCCGAGAAGAAAGAGGTAAACCACTCCCAACAATCTCAATCCTCAAAAAGCCTTTGACTGACAGATCCTCCCCAGGAGCTCGACACATCCACAGCCATCCTCAAGAAAAAGAAGAAGCCAAATTCCTTGATGTGAGTTGACCCCCAGCAAGACTGCGAGGCAAAGACAAACAAGGCTAATTCCCTCCACAGCGTCACAGATGCCACCAACGATGACAACTCAATCATTGCTCTATCCAACAACACAATGGAAACCCTACAACTTTTCCGAGGTGATACAGTCCTGGTCAAAGGAAAGAAGAGAAAAGACACAGTTTTGATCGTCTTGGCTGATGATGATCTGGATGATGGCTCCGCTCGAATCAATCGTGTCGTGAGACACAACCTGAGAGTCAAGCACGGCGACATCATCACCGTCCATCCTTGCCCAGACATCAAATATGTAAGCCCCGAACCTCACTCATGGATTGTCCTTGAATCAGATCTAACCTTTTTTACAGGCTAAGCGCATCGCAGTGCTCCCCATTGCCGATACAGTTGAAGGATTGACTGGTTCTTTATTCGACGTTTTCCTTGCTCCTTACTTCCGCGAAGCCTACAGACCTGTTAGACAAGGCGATCTATTCACCGTCCGTGCCAGTATGAGACAGGTCGAATTCAAAGTCGTCGAGGTCGATCCTCCCGAGTACGGCATTGTTGCTCAAGATACAGTCATTCATTGTGAAGGTGATCCAATTCAGCGAGAAGATGAGGAAGGAAACCTTAACGAGGTCGGATACGACGATATTGGAGGTTGCAGAAAACAAATGGCTCAGATTCGAGAGTTGGTCGAGCTCCCTCTTCGCCACCCACAACTTTTCAAGTCCATCGGTATCAAACCTCCACGAGGCATTCTCATGTTCGGTCCTCCCGGTACCGGTAAGACATTGATGGCCCGAGCTGTCGCCAACGAAACCGGCGCCTTCTTTTTCCTCATCAACGGTCCAGAAATCATGTCCAAAATGGCTGGTGAATCCGAGTCCAATCTCCGCAAGGCATTCGAAGAGGCCGAGAAGAACTCTCCTGCCATCATCTTCATTGACGAAATTGATTCCATTGCACCCAAGCGTGAAAAGACCAACGGTGAAGTCGAGCGACGTGTGGTTTCTCAATTGCTCACCTTGATGGACGGCATGAAGGCTCGTTCCAACGTGGTTGTCATGGCCGCCACCAACCGACCCAACTCAATTGATCCTGCTCTTCGTCGTTTTGGTCGTTTCGATCGAGAAGTCGACATCGGCATTCCCGATCCTACCGGTCGTCTTGAGATTCTTCAGATCCACACCAAGAACATGAAATTGGGTGAAGATGTTGATCTTGAATCCATTGCCGCTGAGACACACGGTTATGTCGGTTCTGATATTGCCTCTCTCTGCTCCGAAGCCGCCATGCAACAGATCCGTGAGAAGATGGATTTGATTGATTTGGACGAAGATACCATTGACGCTGAAGTGTTGGATTCGTTAGGAGTCACCATGGACAATTTCCGATTTGCTCTTGGTGTATCCAATCCCTCTGCTCTTCGTGAGGTGGCTGTTGTCGAGGTTCCCAATGTTCGTTGGGACGACATTGGTGGATTGGAGAATGTCAAGCGCGAACTTATCGAATCCGTACAATACCCCGTCGACCATCCCGAGAAGTTCCTCAAGTTCGGTCTCTCACCGTCTCGAGGTGTTTTGTTCTACGGTCCCCCCGGTACTGGTAAGACTATGCTTGCCAAGGCGGTAGCCAACGAGTGTGCTGCCAACTTCATTTCAATCAAGGGTCCCGAACTCTTGAGCATGTGGTTTGGTGAATCTGAAAGCAACATTCGAGACATTTTCGACAAGGCACGTGCGGCAGCTCCCTGTGTGGTCTTCTTGGACGAACTTGATTCAATTGCCAAGTCGCGTGGTGGATCTAATGGTGATGCTGGAGGTGCATCTGACCGAGTTGTCAACCAGCTTCTGACAGAAATGGACGGTATGACATCCAAGAAGAACGTCTTTGTCATTGGTGCCACCAATCGACCTGAACAACTCGACAATGCCCTTTGCCGACCTGGTCGTCTTGATACTCTTGTCTATGTTCCTCTTCCCGACGAGGCATCTCGTGCAGGTATCCTACGTGCGCAACTCAGAAAGACACCTGTGGCTGATGATGTCGATATTGATTTCATTGCCAGCAAGACTCATGGCTTTTCTGGTGCCGATTTGGGCTTTGTCACTCAACGTGCCGTCAAGCTTGCCATCAAGCAATCAATTGCTTACGACATCGAGAAACAAAAGGAACGTGAAGCTGCCGGTGAGGATGCCATGGAAGACGATGGCGAAGATGATCCCGTTCCACAGTTGACCAAGGCACATTTCGAGGAGGCAATGCAAGCAGCACGAAGATCCGTCAGTGATGTCGAGATCCGACGATATGAAGCCTTCGCCCAGGCCATGAAGCAAAGTGGAGGCAGTGCTTTCTTCAAGTTCCCCGAGGCTGGAGAGTTGGCAAATGCCGCCAACGGCAATGGATTTGGGGATGCTGGCAATGATGACAGCTTGTACGACTAGGCGAGCTGGTTGAAGAAATTGGCTAATTAGACATGGGTGCTTGCTTTCCTGATGGAATCGCGAGCCCTACCGGCAACCATTTGCACACGGGACGAGTGTCAAGGGGAAGATTATGAGGTGCAGCTATTCCTGGTAGATGGTGATTTAAATTCTTCCAACATAACGAGTGAGCAAGGTCATTAGTTGTGGATGGGATTGGGCATGGCCTGTACTTGTCAAAACCCCATTATTGCAAAGCCAGGCAAATTGTATTCTACATAGAGCAGGTGAAGGGATTGATGGGAGATAGCACAGATAGCATACAGGCAAAATAGAATGCTTGACCAGTTTTATTGAGGCTGTCTTGACTCGTGTCTTATTAGATATCAGCCTTATCATCGTGTTCACATGGGAACAAGGCTTTTGGTAGAGGTGCATAGAATGACGCACAAAATCTCCCAAAGCCGGATGACCCACCTCGTTCCCGGCGCTGCCGCCTAAGGATTATTCACACTTCAACTTCCTCTACTCTCCCTAATCCACTTAATTTCCCGGCCTCCCATTACCACTTTTTAACTCTTTATTGCTATCCTCTACTTACTCTCCTCGACGTACCCTCATCTTGTCTTTCAGTCTTGTTCGCATACCTACACTATAGCAATAATGGGTATCTCAGCCCGCCTATTACGCCTGGGACGGCCGCAGGTGAGTTCTCCTGCTGGAGCAACGCTCCCTCCCACCTTTCTGGATGCCTAACTAACCACCACCACCACCACCAACAGAGATTCCTCTACTCCATGTCCCTCTCCACAGGCGCCAGTCTAATCACCCTCTCACTGGTGCTCAACAAACTCTCCGGCCTATACGGCATCCTCGCCCTCCTGACGGGCTATCATCTTTCACCCTTTCAATTGTCCATGTACATCTACTCCATCTTCGCACTGGGCCTGACCGTCTACCTCTCCCCACACATCCGCAAGCAATCCCCCTTACAATGCCTGGCGCTCGCCTGGTTCTACGTCCTCGACAGCATCATCAATGCGGCCTTCACCGCCGCCTTCGCCGTGACATGGTTCCTCGTGCTCGCACAACACCACGCTGGTGACACAACCCCCAAGGGCCCTGGTGCCGGAACCATCCAAGACACCGCGGGCTTCACGGATCCGGCGCTGAACGTCACCCACGTTGAAGTCATCGCCTCGCCGCAACCCGGTATCTCCGGCGGCCAGGATGCCGTCGCGGCCGCCGTGCCTGCCTCGTCCCCCGCAGGCACATCCTCGAACAACCCCAGCGCGGCCCTACAGAACGTCGTCCTGGGCGCCGAAAGCATGAACTCCATCGGCGTCATCATCACCCTGTGGACCATCCGCGCCTATTTCTGCCTCATCATGCTCACCTTCGCCCGCATGGTCCTGCGCCAGCATATCGCCCACCACGCCTCGTCGTCAAAGAACTTCTCATACACCAATGCGTCCACGAGTTCCGACATTGCCGAAAACCCCTTCGCGGAGACCAAGCCCGAAGGTCAGGGGTGGAAAGGCAAGCTCGGTCGTGCAATGGTCAGCATCGGCCGTAGCTACTGGTTGGGCTCCGACGAGGACGATTCCTGGATGTACGGCATGAAATTCCGCCGCAGTGTGGAGGCCGGCAATACCAGTGGAGTGATGCTGAATAAACTGGACAGTGCGGCGGGCCCCACGGAACGCGAGAGGAGACGAAGGTCGGGCACTGGCCCACCGGTTCCAGCTTCTGGGGCAATACCGTTGTTGAACACCAATGTTGGCGCTGGCGGTGGTGTTGTTGCTGGAGGGAAAGAAGGCAGTGATGGCGGAATGACGTTGCAGGTCCCCACGGCGCAAAATCTGTAGTTTGGGGTTCTGCGAAGCTGGAGTGCGAGGTCTTGATATCAAAGCCCAGGTTCAAAGTTTAGGTAATGATCGTTATGGGGATTGAGGGCACGAGGAAGCTAGAAAGGGAATGGAAATACTGAGATTGTAACATTACGATTTGGCACCAGTGTTGATGTGCTTGCCAAACTGACCTACCTAATGAATGGGAGTATATTCATTTTTCTCGGTCATGGGCATTATCTGAAGTCGGAGCATTTCTCTCTGTAGATCATGTCTGCGAGGACAATGCGCACGACCAGAATCGCGTTGGGAATGGAGTATGGCACCGTGGATTTGTCAGAGGTGCATTATGCATATGCTAGTTTGAGTTAGATGAGGAGACTATATATGCACACATACAGATATGAATAAACATTCCACAGTAATCATCCCCCCCCCCTCCCCCCCCACCCCCAACTGAGCTTTTCCCAGGGAGGTGTATCTATCTATACTATGACCAAGATCTAAGATGGTCGTTGTCTCCAAGTTATGTTTTTGACAATGTTTTTTTCTGCCATGGATATCAATAAATACAACCCAGGAAATTGGCGAGCGATCAAGCCTGCCTAACTAGCTTCTGATCTTGGGCGCGCTTTGGGTACGTATGCTGCCCATCTGCCGACCGCTTTTCAGGGGAAGCAATGCATCGCTCGCGAGTCATGCGTGCTTGCACCAGTTTGATGTTGGCATGCGAGCATTGTCGGCTGTGTTACAGTGGTAGGTTCAAGTTCGAGGTCTAGAGATCCGGTGACGTTCGTGCGTGCGTTGCGTGATATACATCAAGACTTGCTTGTGTGCAACACAGCAGGACGGGAGCCCTTCAGAGACCCAGTACTCGTGTCCTAAGTAGGCGTGTGGTGTTTTCTGCCTGCCTCTGAGTCCTTGACTACAGAGGTCTGATAGAATATGCCGAAACAATGCCTGAAGGAGACGTCCCAGTTCCCGGTCTGAGATGGATCCGGCCTTATCGAACTTTCATGCGTCTCGTTCTGGCATTGCTGGCGTTTGGGGTTGTAGTCACTGGTCATAGTTTACTAGTTAAAATAGTAGGGCTGACGTGTGGCTACGACGGATGTTCAGTGTCAATGAACATCATCAGATACGTGGTGTTGCAGAGCGGAGCTAATTGGATGTGTCCATCGAGCAAGAAATAGTATTACTGTTTGTTTCTCGGCTTCAGATGCCGTTGTAGCGATCCACCAGGGACTGATAAATGGCTGATGAGAGAGATTTGATGTGGGCAGGCGTGGCGGACGTACTAAGTAGGCGCTGGCCCAGGGGATGGAAATTTTGATAGATATGATATACTTGGTGCTTTCCCTTGTAATCACCGGTGGGCAGGTCGATCCTATGGATGGCATATGTGGTGACAACCTGCTCACAGTAGCTTCGATGGGACTTCAGCTATTTTACGTTGTCACAATTAGATCGGCGAGATAAGGCTCCAGAAAAAAGGAAACCCTGAAATGTGGCTAGCTTCAAGCTTCAGATCAGACGAACATAGACAAGAGAGCGGGCTTATAGCTATATAGCAAGGGTTTCCAAATCACCATCAGATCATTACACAATTTTTGAGCCAATAATTTAATCTCTGTGGAGTCGAATGAATGCCGCACCTGTAAAAGCATGGGAGATTCTCTTTAATACGACACGATATTATCCATTCACCTCGATTGTACCAAGATCCGACTTGACATTCGGTTTCGAGTATGCCAACTGCAGGGACCGACGTATGTAGTCTTCGGAATTGACCGCTTGGAAACGTGGAGGATTCTTTTCTGTCACGAAGCCTGGAAGAGCTTTAAGCTCTGTCTCCTTGTTGGCTGTTACAACTGTTAGCATTCAAGTACATCTCCTCTTCCCGTCAATTTTTCCAGTGCCCACTCACCACCAAGAAAAAACGGGATAGAGTATCTATCGCGCCCTGAATTGTTGATCACCCTATGCATTGTAGATACAAACAACCCATTCGTCAGCATGGACAGCGAGTCTCCAATGTTCACAACGAGGGTCCCAGGAATGGGCTTCGCGGAGATCCATGACCCTGTCGTTGACAGGACCTCCAGCGATGGAATATCGTCTTGCAAAAGGATTGTCAGCAGTTCAAAATCAGTATGTGGTCGAAGACTGGACGCCTCGTCGAAGTCGGCACTTGGTTTTGGGTAGTAGCACATCTTGAGTATCGAGTAAGGTTCAGTGGCAGCGTAGTCAAGGTCGTGTTCATCTAATCCTAAGCCCAGGGCGAAGAGCCGCAGTAGTGCACGACTGAGCTTCAACATTCGTGTCATGTGTTGTTGGGTTTTGGCTTGGAACCCTGGAAGTTTACTCTCTTGTGGCCACCAGTTGGAGCCCTGTGCACCTTCTCTTGCTTCAGGATCAACGGATGGCTCGTATCCGAAGTTCATACCCTCATTGAGATCTGATTTTTACCGTCACCAACCGCGAATCACAGATAGTCTTGGGGAGTGTACCACTTACTCGAACCTCCAGCATGTTCCCCAAGCTTGTAACGGGGATAGTAACCCCAATAATGGTCATGTTTTGCTGTATCCAGCTCGAGCTTCTCCTCCAATGTCAACTCGGTGAAGAACCGCTTCGCCTCGGAGAACACCGTGGTGATCTCATCTTGAGAGATTCCAAAATTGCTGGCGTAGAAGAATCCATACTTGACACAGGCGTCACAGACTTCTGTGGCCAATCTCTTGCGCTTCTTGACGTCTGCGTCATAAATATCGGACAGGTCGATCACCGGAAGCCCGTCCTGAGCCTTGTTGCCATCGGCAGGAATTATAGGTCGCCATCCCAGTCCAGTGTGGACTTGTTCTTGCCCGTCCACCGTGCGTTTCCAAAACTCTGCCATCTTATACTCCTGGTTCGGGAGGGAGAAGAAATCGTGATATATTGGCTTCTTGTAGGATTGAGACCTATCTCATGTTGTTGGTGCGCTTAAGTGCGCACCCCTTCCCAATAGGTATTCGAAACTGGATATCTATTGGTACGGATTCTTTTTGAGCGGACATATCCTCGACTCAGACTTTCGGAATTCCGAGAGGAGTTAGATCGCAGAGTGCCTTCCTTATCAGAACGGCACAGCTTGTTTGGTCCTTCAGAAGATGTCCCTGCTGCTTCAAAGACGTCGCACAGATGAGTTCTGCTGAAAAAAGTCTCGGTGATGGTAAGTCGGGCCAATTACGATTTCGAATTTTGATTTACTGTCGCCCTTCTGATTTGAGGTACTGTCTGAACACCAAACCAATAAGCAGTACAAGCATTTCTTCTTAGGCCCGAGTGGTTGTGTCAACTTGAATAGCCCGTCAAATTTTGTTTACTGTCACAGACACAACACAGGCATAGTAAATAACGATATATCAGCCTTGTGCGCGTCGCAGTAAGAAGACCGTAATGTCAATCCTCCTTTATATGCTTCAAATAGCCCGGTGGATGGCGTCGGCTCGCATCCACACCCCAGATCACACCAGCAATGACACGCCAAACGCCGAGCACTGCCTCATACAGAGAATCATAGTCTGCTGAGAACACTTCTCTTGCATCGCGCTCTCTGCGTTCTTGAATGACACTTTCGACATCGTGATTACCTCCTTTACCCATCGCAAGGTCTTCCATCCATTGTCCGAAAAGAGCGCCCGTCTGTTTTGCTCCTATCAGAAATAGTGATACTTTCCATTCGAACATACTCTGCCATTCGGCGGTATGGGCCAGAGGAACGAGGATCCAGAACATGTACAATGACATTCCAGCAGCTGTGATAAGGATTGCAAAGTTAAGCTTCGGAAACCCTGGAGGCTCATAGTTGACCTCAGGCGCGATCTTGAGACCACTATACCAGCATGCACGGCGCAATAGTGCCCAGCCCATCAATGAGACAAATAGTCTCTTTATGAATAGAATAGCGATTCTCGCCACCCAGGCAGAACCTACAGTGGAACCAAGCGGCTGTGCTATTAATGCGGCGGCACCGGAGAGCGTTAGAGCATTGAGGCATGCTGTGAACCAGACAATGACACCGGAAACAGAGACATATTTTGCAGTACCGTGCCAGGCCTCAGGTCGCCAATTCATGCTGCGGAAGCGGGTATATAGAGCGCAAAGGTTAACTGCGAGCCATGTGAGTTTGAAAACAGGACCGAATTGCAAGTTGTTCGTTGTGGTAGATGAGGACCAGTCCCGAAGTGGTTTGCTGTTAGCCTCTTTAACTTGGGCCCACATATCAGAGGCGTACCGCTTGACAATTGAACCAAGAGTTACATTCAAATATTGCTGACATAATTCCGAGGTTCTCAAGTCCTGCATTGTCATGTCAAAATGATCGATTTGTGCATTGAAACGTTAGCCACCCACCTCTCGGTCTCGACAATCTTTCCACAGCGTTATCTTGTTAGCCTTCTCGGCGGCAGCCAAGGAGGCCTTTGCGAGTGTGTATGGTGCAACAAAAAAGTAGACTGCGAGACCCAGACCCAGGAAAGCAGTTGCTAAGCTCAATCGATCTGTTGTTACGTGCTTGCGGGCGGATGTCCACCATCTCGCACGGGGAGTTGGGGCTGCTGTATTTAACGCTAAAGGTCTAGCCGGTGCTGAGGGACTTGCGACTGCTGCGGACGCAGTTGAAGAAGTTGTATTGTGTTGCACGCTTAAACTGCCGTGAGTTGGTGTAGTAGACACTGATTGCCCAGCCATTTCCGGAATAAAAGGGTTAAAGTGGAGTATTCATTGCTCAGAGATACCGAACTTGGAGGGAACCGTACTGTAGTTCACGAGGCAGACATAATTCCTTGAAGCCGGAGCTCTTGACGAATCAAAAACCCCTTCAAGAGTTCCTTACCAATCCTGGGTGCGGCATACTTCGTAGTAGTTCTGGCGCGTAGGGACAAGGCCAAGCCGGGTATAGATACGGTTATCAAGGGGCAAGAGCGCCGGTGTATCCGCGATGTCAAACATCTCCTGTTCCTCCTCGAACATCCTTAGGCCTCTTGATCTTTGACCCAACTGCAGCGCCCACAGTCTTCTCAAGTTTGCCTAAGGCAAGGCTTAAGCAAGCTGTATCATGTTCTCCGAGATTGAATTCTCCACTCCGGGGTAAGAACGGAACATTTGCACTGGCCTCAAGCAGAGATTCCTCCCAACATCCCTCCACCCCGCAATCCTCTCGGCTATTGCCCCATAATCTTATGTGTGACGATATGGGGTTGAGTCTGGGTCAATATAAAGGATGGGGAACACCTCCCATCATCTTCGACAGAATTCTTTAGATAAGTAGGAACAGTCCCTCTTTCCTTTGATCTCGTTCAACCGTCCATACCAAAGCTGTCGCTTTTAAAAACTCGGATCTCTCGATCCCCGTCTATTATTGTATTACCAGACATACGACATATTCACCCATTATCACCCAGTATGACGGGCTCCTATCACGAGGAAACAGACAAGGATCTCGCCACAATCGCTCATATCAATGCAGTCTATCAGCCTGATCCTATCGACCCAGCAAGCGAAGCTCGGGTGCGTAGGAAGCTTGACTGGCGACTCATGCCCATCCTCACGCTGATTTATCTATTCGCCTTCATTGACCGATCCAACGCTGGGAACGCCCGCGTCCTTGGCATGGGCAAAGATCTCGCCTTGGACGGGTACCGATTTAACATTGGCCTTAGTGGCTTCTATGTCACATATATCCTTCTGGAAGTGCCGGCAAATATCCTGTGCAAGAAAGTTGGGCCCAAGATATGGATCCCCTTCCTCGCATTATCTTTCGGTATCATTACGACGTGCATGTCAACGATGCAGAATTACCATGGATTTCTCGCGGCAAGAATTTGCCTTGGTATTTTTGAGGCTGGTATAGCTCAACTATTCACTTATTGTATAGTGTCTTACTAATAATCTTGATCTCTAGGTATCATGCCAGGAATCACATATACACTGTCGTGCTTGTAGGTTGAGGTTCTCCTATTTTCGGCTGCCGATCACTGACATCCTTCTCTAGCTATTGTAGGCATGAACTCGTGTCGAGAGTAGGTCTTTATGCCAGCGTAGCCTCACTAAGGTCAGTGTTTTTTCTATTCCTCAAAGCGTCTTTCTGATGCATGAGTTTCGCCTGACTCATAAAACAGTGGAGCATTCGGAGGACTCTTGGCTAGTGGGCTGACCAAGATCCCACAATGGGGCATGATCCATACGTGGCGCAACATTTTCTTCTTCGAAGGCCTCATTTCTATCGCGCTGGGAGTGGTGGGCTTCCTGATCCTCCCATCGTCACCAGAGACCGCCTCTTTTCTGTCTGAGGAAGAACGCCAGGTGGCTGTCGCGCGCATTCGTCGCGATCTCAAATCTCAAAAGGTCGAGGATTTGAGCATGCGCTATGTGATGCGCGCTCTCAACCTCAACACCATCCTAATCTCATTGGCTTCATTCTGCTCCTTACTCACCATGAACTCGATGGCGCTGTTCGTCCCCTCCCTACTCACCGCTATGGGCTACAGCGGTATCCATAGTCAATTGCTCTCGGTCCCACCATACGCCTGGGCCGCTTGTGTCTGCGTCTGCGTCACACTACTGTCGGACAAGACTCGTCGTCGCGGCGTGTGGATCCTCCTAGTCATGCCCTGTACCGCTGTGGGATTCATCATCCTGTTGACCGTCAAAACCGTCGGCGTACGATATTTCGCCCTGTTCCTCTGTCTGACTGGCGCATTCACAGCTTCGCCTATGTTCGTTGCCTGGGTCGTGGACAATTCGGCCGGCCATACCACCCGTGCCATCGTTGCAGGCACAGTGGTCGGATTCGGAAACATCGGCGGCATCCTGGCCACCTGGACATACACACTGCCAGATGCACCGCGGTATATTCGAGGACATGCGTTGAACCTTGGATTCGCGTGCCTGTGTCTCATTATTGTAGCTGCTGCAATTCTTAATCTCAAGAGAGAAAATGATATCAAAGCCAGAGGCGGCCGAGATGAGAGAGTCCATGGCCTATCGGAGGAGGAGGTCGCTGATCTGGGCCATCTCCATCCGGAGTTTAAATTCACGCTGTAGGATGTGGCAGGATTCCAGCTGTCATCCGATTAGAGAGGTCTCATGAAGGCGGTCAATCCGTACGCAAGAGTGCTCATTTTAAGTTTCAGCACTCTGTTCATGTATTTTCATTGCCAATACCGGTATAGCTACTTAACTACTATGCTTGCAGATTTTGATCCATGGATCGCGCATACTGGCTTTTTTTTAAGTTATGTTGCTATATCCTCCCTCAAGGTTCAGCGAAAAACAAAAATGAGAACTAATGCTCCGATCTGTTCCTTGCTAGAGGCTCATTTTCTTGCTAGGACGAACCGCATCGAAACCCGGTCGTCATCTATATTCTACTACCGTTTGCGGGAATTCTCTGGAGCGAATTCGAGCTTCTTCTGTCCCAATTGACCAACGTCTCCTTAAATAAGCGAAAATAATGATTTCGAGCATATTACTGGACCCTTCAGCTTCCAAGAAGATCGACATTGACCAAATGATTGAATGCTGCTGGCACAAGACCTGCTGGAAACGCTTTGATAAAGGCTCGCCCAACTCCCTCAAGTTGTCTTAGAACCTGGCCCGCAATGACGCTGAATCTTATATTGGAACGATGAACTTTGGGACATGCAAGCAACCGCCTTATCTCTCGGTCGGAGAAGGGAGTGACTCCAGCAGTCGCACCTTCTCTTTTGCCAAATACTCCTGGAAGGTTGTCAAGCGAATGCCGTATTTCTTTTGGATCGCTTGCCCATCGATAGTAATGTCGACAGCGTTGGCCCACAGTTGAAATGGCTGGGTGGGAATAACATTTACTGCCAAGTTGATTTCCTCTCGTGTGCGCTTCCTGACACTGATGTGGTGACCAGACCCACCGGCTTTGCTTAGGCTGTCAGCCACATCTTCGACGGTCAGGTTCTCGTTTCCAAGCTCGATCTCCTGCCCACCGAATTTGGCAGGGTCCAATAGCGCTGCGACGCCGAATTTAGCAATATCCTCTTCGTCAATATGCGGCATCTTAACACCCTTTTCGTAGGAATGCACAAGCTCGCCGCTCGTGCTAAGACCGGGAAAATGCCACACGCTGTACGGAAGTAAGTAGTTTGCGTGGAACCACGCAGGACGCAGGATTGTGTAGTGCTTTACACCAGCCTCGCGAACCACCTTTTCCATCTCTGCTTTGGCGAGGTAGTAACCTCGTACTCCAATCCTCTCGCCCTGCGGGTTGTCCCACTTACTCCGGTCATTGGTGAAATATGCGGTTGACACAACGATCGTCTCTAATCCAACCTCCTTGCATACATGCACAATGCCTTTGATCTGGCGTTGTTGCGAGTTCTGGTCTGTTGGTGACGGTTGCAGGTTTAGATAAATTCCTTTGCAGCCCAAAGCGGCTTCTTTAAAGACACCAAAGCTGTCGTTATCTCCCTCGAATAGAACAACCCCTTGGCGCTTCAGGTGAAGAGCGCGTTCACTGCGAACGTTGCGCACCACTGCGTGGACTTTAACACCGGCGGTAAGGAGATGTTTAACGACGGATCTTCCTTGCTGGCCCGTAGCGCACGTAACTAGGTATGTGGCCATATTGGGAAATTCTCGGTTATTTCAAAGTCTGAAGGAAATTGTTTGCAATGGAAATGTACCCGAAAGCAATGGGATGGAAAATTGGTGGTACGGATTAAACAATATTTATACGAGACTACATCGAATCGTTCACAAGCTTATTTTGGGGTCTATTGGCCCTGAAATACACGATATATGTGACAAGTTAATGGTATTCTCCGGCCAACAGATATTGAGCGTTGACTGACAATATTCAACGACCCCTTCGAGACTTCATTCGACCTGCATCCACCCCGTCGACGCCGTGGCTACATCGTTTCTTGCCGACCACATCCATCATGAGGCCACCAATTGTGGGTATTTGCTTTGATTTGCCCGGGAGAGTATCGTGAGCCACCTTTTAGGTGCCGTAATATTGGCACGAAACCACCTGCGGCAATGGCGAGGCTCCTTAGGCAGAGGTTAAAGCTAAAAGGGAAGTCTGAAATCTGGCCTCGGATGTGGGTCAAACCAAGCCCCTAGCCAAGCTGTCTATGTTTAAGCTGAGATAAGAATGCGGGGACCACCATAGGCGTAATCCTTCATCCCGCCGAATGGCTCCAGGCACATGGATTGTCTGTTTTGGGGCATGAGTGTTCACACCTGTCACGTACAGCTCATTCATAAAAAGAATAGAGAACCCCACGGTGCGGGCTTCACTGAGACTGGCCCATTATTCCCCACGTATTCGCATATTCGTACTCCTTGTCGTGGTTATCCCAGTCATAGTAAATATGGAGACAGCAAGAGATCCGGAAAAGAAGTGGCCAGCGGCCGAAACTTCCCGGCCAGGCATGGATGACGAAGGCGTCGAGACTTCCCCTGGCACTTTGATGTTAAGCAATGGTCTGTATTGCAGCCCCATGATTGAATGCCCACCAATTCGAAATGAAGCTGACTTTGGTGTTCGTGAAGCGCAAGAAGATGGACAGAGAACCGTGGCGCTCTATCCTATCCCAAGCTCCGATCCCAATGATCCTTTGGTACGTGACTGATCACGTTGGAGGCATGCGTTGAAAACTGAATAAAGACTGATTTGGGTGGTTAGAATTGGTCGAAATTGCGGAAGGGTGTAAATTTTGGACTCGGGTGCTGCTTTGTCTTCTTCACTTTTGCCCTCATCAACGTCATATACATCCCCTATGTACAGCTCGTCGCGGATCTCGACTTCACATTCAACACATTTACCACATCCGTTGCATTGGCCTTCACCGGCCTGGCCACAAGCTCAGTGTTGTTCCTCCCGTTGCTCCACAAATTCGGCCGACGTTGGCTCTATCTGTTGGGCTCGGCACTGCAACTCGCGGCGGCAATCTGGCTCTCCCAGATGACTTCCAAGGGGGACTTGATGGGAGCCTACTTCTTTTCCGGCATGGGAGGCGGTCTCAGTGAGACGCTCTTGCAAGTCACCATCGTAGACCTCTTCTTTGTCCATCAACGTGGCACGATGAGTGGTTTATTTTTGCTCGCCAACACAGCAGGTTCGGGCTTGGGCCCTTTGGCAGGGGGATATATTGTCACTGGCCAGGGCTGGAGGTGGATGTGGAGATGGTGCGGTATCTTTCTGGCCGTCAACTTGCTCTTGGTGGTCTTCTTCTTTGAAGAAACCAAATATATCCCTTTGCTCAACAGCCAGCCGATCCGGGACGAGGTTCAGGCCGTCCCGTCGCAGCAGCAACAGGAATGTCTCAACAGAGAAGAGGGACACCAGGCGACGACTGCCGTCCAGAACAACAACTTGAGTCGCCCAGCTATCGACCCGAGCGTAAAACGGAAATCGACTCGCCAACGTCTCGCGCTTTTCACCAATACCAAAGCTCCCGTCCTACAGCATTTGTACCAACCCTTCCACGTCTTGTTTACCTTTCCGGCAATCACCTACACGGCTGTCACGTACGGGGCCTTGACCACATGGTTTACCGTCCTTGTCTCCGTTGTGGAATCATCTATTGTCTATCCACCATACAATTTCAGTCCGTCCGGAGTGGGATTGCTCATCTTATCCGTGGTCATTGGTTGTGCTCTCGGAAGCCTACTCGGGGGACCGATGAACGACAAATCGGCCATTTGGATTTCGGCAAGAAACGGGGGAGTCTACGAGCCAGAATATCGTCTATACATGGCCCTTGTGGCAAGCGTTCCAGCGATTGCTGGGATCTTAATGACTGGCCTGGGTTTAGCACACGTTGGTCCTCCCTGCTCCTTTTCGTCCCTGTCGCGTGCACAGCATTCTCTTTCCACCAGTCGTCTCTATTCCTCTTTACGAGCTGACAAATACTCTAGCAAAAACCTTGGCCTCTTCTTGCTGTTGGATTTGGCATCTTCGGCTTCAGCTGGACCGTGATAGGGGAGTGCGCTCTTGCGTATGTTAGCGATTGCTACCAGGATGTACGTTTTGCAGTGCTTTTAACAAAGATCTAGAAACTGACTTTTTTGCTTAACACCCAACAGATCATCGGGGATGCTCTCGTCGCCGTCGTTTTTGTTCGCAACGCTCTCGCGATCGCTGTGTTATTTGGCCTGAGTCATTGGCTTGCCGCGGTCGGCCTACAGAATCTGATTATTTCTATCGCCGTGATTGCCCTGTTCTTTTTCCTATTGCCGGTTCCTCTCCTGCTGTGGGGCAAGAAAGCCAGAGTCATGACGGCCAAGAAATATCGAGATATGGCGAGTCGTTTACCAGGTCACCGGTAGTACAGTACAGGTTCCCAACGAATCAGTACACTAAGGTCAAGAGTGGCTAGAACTGGAAAGTCGAGATTGGTAAACTTGAGAAGTGATGCTTCACATCATATCGCAGGAATCGCTGAGTTTCTTTCGAGGAGGGGTTGTTTGGAGAGGAAGCAGGAACGCTGGACTGCTACACTGGCGAATTACTAATGAGTCTTATGGATCACTCGTAAAACGACAAGAGAATAACTAATGATTGCAAGGACTTCTGGAGGACGCCTAGTGGGCGAATTTAGATCGCTTTTCTGCCAATATATAGCAAAGAGAACAGTTAACATCATAGAGAGAAGACAGAGACCATTATTCTTCAAGACCTTGCAAAGCCCAATAAGGAAGGAGGCAGACTGGGGTGACGCGCTGCTGTGCAAAGAACCAAGCACATATCATTCATCTAGAGTGTGCCAGTCCTGTATATTGTAAACTCCAGGATCTTGAAACCAGTTTGAAAGGCATGATTCATTCGCGGCCAATTCGCAATTCCTGTGCTTGGAATCCAGAAAGTGCCTCTGGTACACCTTCAAATGTCCACTGAACACAAGCATGTGGCAGCAGTGTATATAAGGGGTTTCTCCATGCCAAAGTCTACAACTTCTTGCCATTCTCGCCAGATGCGAACCGATTCTGCAAGACAAAAGTATAGTCCTTTTGAATCTTCCCGTCATCTGCCAGAACGAGCACATATGATCCGAAACCGACCACCTCCCCAGTACTTTGGGAAACTCCATCAAACATGAAAAACACGATATTGTCCCTCTTCAGAGCGTTGTATGCCCTCCACTTCAGCCCTTTCTTCACCACCTGGTTGTCGTATGATCCTTGGATACCCTCTTCGAGACCAGCATAGCCCTTGGCCTGGAAGCCGCCGAAGTGCTCGCCGTCGGGGGCCCATAGTTTGGCGATGTCCCTGGCTCGCTTTTGCGGGTCGGGCTCACAGAAGACGGCCACGGTCTGGTCGGCGAGGTCTTGAGCGTCTCCCATTTCTCCTGTAATGGTAGCTTTTAGAATGGCACTTGTTACTATGATACCTCGCTATCTGAATAGAAGAGGAATGAGTGGAAGGAGAATGATAAGCGAGGATGTGGTTGGTAGAGTACTGTCGTGTCACTTAGAAGAGACGAGATCCAAGGGACACAATTAGGAGGGTGGCCTTTTATGAGCGTCGAGCATCACAAGGCATACGTTTCCGTGCTTTGTCACGGAGAGATTGCCCGCAGCCTGTTTATTCGTTGTTGACGTCCGCCGGTCCGCATTTCTCATATCGCCGTTGCCGAATGGATCGATGGAGCTCCACGGATTGGGGATCACGGTGCTTACAGGAGTAATGCGAGACCAGAAGTGGTCCAATCCAACCTCGCCATCCGGCAAGTGACACTGAATACCCGAAATATACACTATCAAGCCAGAGCAGTTTGATAACCTTCATCATGGCTCAACGATCACGTTCAATTTTCCGTCCAGGGAGTTCTACGACTTTGAAGTGTGAAGAAGCCGATGCTTCATTTTTGAATTGCTTTTAATGCCCGACAGAAGGTTAAAAGACTATGTTCCGTTGTAAGAGTGCAAGATATACTACGTACAACAGTCTTACACTGCTTACACTAGCGATGTCTACTAGGCTCTCTTACCTATCGTATACTCGCTAATTATCTTAGCACCTAGGTGGACCTTCATAGATCACCTAAAGTAATATATAACGAGTACTAAACGCCTCGTAAGACATCGGATCTCAACCTCTCATCACGCAGCTTAACACATATTATTTATCACTCTCCATACGCCTGCTTGAACTGAAAACTTAAGGAGTGCTTGAAGGACGACGGAACGTAAGCGTGGCTGTATCCGAAACATTTTCATTGTTCCCCAATGTCGATCAGAAGGGAAGATCGCTCATAAAGGTGCTGCGTTGGGAGTCGTGAATATCTCTTGTCAAAGGAAACCCAGCCATCATCTGCTCCTCACTCTCCGACAGCATGTAAAAGAAATCCAAGTCTAATGCTGTGGGATGGTCGGCGCTCATCATGACTTGGTCAAAATCTGGCAGACTTCCCACCGATGTATCATGTACCACACTATGTACTGTATCGTGTATTTCTTCCTCGTTGAACTGTGTCGGCGAGGGGGATTGGGTTGGCAACCGGGTTGGCGACATTGAACGCCACTGCCTCGTCATCGCATCCTCGAATAGATTTCGAATCCATCGCGCCAAAACGTAGCATTCTTCGAATTGCCGCAGGCTGATCAAATTCGAGCGGAGCTTCTGTGTCAAGAGCGATCTTTGATCTGGATGCGTATGTGGCGAGCGAGAGCTAACGTATTGAATAGTCATGGCGTTTAAAGTTGCGGCGATACTGCAAAGGTAGATGTAAGCCGCCGGAAGTCTCAGGGCACATACTTGAAGGGCTCGACCTACGTGATCATTGGAAAGCACTCCGGTTTCCAATACAACAGTGAATTTTCCAGATCACGGGTGATATCGCCTGCACAAGTAAGCGAACCAGTATAGTCTTGAATATCCGTGGAAGGAGCTAGGCGTCGAAGGCGTTGACTGATTTCACTCTTGTAATAACTGTAAAGAGGGCGGTATAGTCAGGCTTCAGTACAGGCGAAGGCTTAATCTTCATTATGGGGCTTACTTATAGACGAGTCTCAGGAGAACAGTTAAGTGTCCCCCCTGTCGCTCGTGCCGCAAGACTGCCGGTAAATGTTTATACCACCGATCAAGAGTGGCCAGAGTTTCCGTTTCTGCAGTTAAACGATACTCTTTATCCTTAGTTAGTATAAGGCGTGAAGGCGATAAATAGCTGAAGTAAATCCTTGAAACTATACAAGTTAGATTAGGCTATTTTAAGGATAGATAGGCATCATCAAACAGACCCGTTTTTGAGAGACTGGTCTGCGCCATCACGTACTGTGCAGTGACTTCAGACTCATCGGGGAAATCTTCACGAGTGAGGTCCTCGATATCGCACTCTAGATCATTGATGATCATTGGCGCTCCCATAGATAAAGCTACTTGGCGATCGCGAATCTTAGGGGGCGGGTGAGTAAGGTTGTTATTGATGCGTTGAGTTAGATCCCGGAGACTTACGTATAGACACCACCATGTCCTCTTCCAGTGAGCCCTACTAGAAGGTGCCATATAGCTTCCATCAAGGCTACGATGCATTCCCATAGATTGCCCAAGTAGAATAGCAGTGGCGAGCCAAGATACTGGATCCTTCACGCCTAAAGGTCGCCCCCACCAGTGGTGTAAGAGAAAGGCACATGTTATCTGAAGGCATCGAGGTGCTCCCGGATGCTCATTGACACAATTCCTAGCTCGGTCGAAAAGATCGTCTCCAGCGTCCGCACGAGTGCTGTAACCCATTCGGTGGATTATTGTCGCGTCGCAATGCACTGAACCTATGAACATGACACATCGAAGTAATATGATTGGTACCCGGCCTTCAGCGAAGGCTGCTTGAAACTCGCTTTTACTGAGGATAGGGAACAGGACATGAAACCGTGCGAAGTAAGCTTCGACCAAGCCAGAGATCAGGTCTTGGGGGACAAGATCGTCGGGTAGCTGTTCGGGGCTACTTTCTTGCCATAACTCCCCGTTGGCGCCCCCGGGTTCTTGAGACTCACCGTGTGTACTGTAGGGCCTATGGATAATGTGTTGTCGTAGCTTGGCGCTGTCGTTGTTACTCGCTCGCAGCAGGAAGGAAGCGTACCAACTCTCGCCGACGAACCCGGCCCATTTTCTATATCGGGGTGCATGAGGATGCTGGGAGAGTCCATTCGTTGCTGCATTGTTTGAAGTACTGGTCTGCTCCGGCTCAATGGTCTGTACGATGACGGCATCATTGTGCTTTCCCGATTGACCGAGATCTGCCAGATTCAACGCGATGTCCACTTCCTGGACCGTATTGGTGGTCGACGGAGTCCGCTCCAGTGAGCGGCTCCCGGCGATGCTGGGCGACGATGTCGTTCCAGCAACAGGAGACGGGAATTGGCTTTGTGCGGTCTCCTCCCGTCCGACCGTAGTCACAAAACGGCCAGCTGGTCCCCTGCATCGATCTCAGTTGGCATCAACGGGACACGGCCAACAGTATGGGGCTTGACGTGGTACTTGCCTTAGCCGCCTCGATTCAATGAAACTGCAGTCAAAGAATTTCGCGCTTCGACAATTCGAACAGGGCGGGCCAGTGATGGAAGCGTCACATTTGATGCGGCGCACGTGACATCTCTTGCACGCTTTCAAGCGTGGCACTCTTCCTGGGCGAGCAGCTGACGGTGGCTTTGAACTCTCCATAGCCTCAGTCATCGACGATACGGCGAGTGGCATTGACTTCTTGTTCTTTCTCTTCGCCGCCGCTTCTGAATGCGGGCGATGGATGAAATTAACGGATGGTCTGCGGACGAGAGACTGGGAGCATGGTCGACCCAAATCCCCCAGCAAGCTGAATGGATGCCAAGGAACATCCATTCGGCAATGGTAGTCTGCGTGCACGGGCCTTTTTGCGGGACAGAGTGATCCACTTCTCAGGCCGAGGAGCACGGAGTTTGTCCAGGCTATCGATACGCGGATCCTTGGCTCCTAGTCATCAGGCTCCCCGATCGCGATACTTTGGTTCTAGCCTTATGAGTAGATGCTGGACGACCTGGTCCAAGGACGAAGAGGAATGCCTACACGGGGATGGGTAGGAGCTACTGTAGACTCTTGAAAGTGGGTATGAGTGGTGACGAGTGGTGCTCATTTCCAGAAACCCCACAGTGAAACCAACTGGATTCGACAATCTGGTAAGCCCCGCGAGGTATATAGATGGCAGCAGAACAGGTATCGTAGCAAAAGGCTGCTGCAGAACCACTCTGTTCTTAGCATCATCATTCCTGTCCCAAAGATACTGTGGCCCATAATGCCCCTTACTTCGACAACGACAGCCATGGAGGCGCCCCACAAGCAAGCGGCGGTAACAAATGGTTCCTCGCAGGAAGGCTCGACCGCAGGAATTTCAAAGCAGTCACTGCCGAAACCCCGTGTTTTTGACGACAAATTTGAAGAACGAGAGTATCTCAAAGGTCGCCTTGCTGGGGCGTTTAGGCTCTTTGCCAAGTACAACTTCGACGATGGCGTCGCAGGCCATGTGACATTGCGCGACCCCGTCGACCCGGACACGTTCTGGGTCAATCCACTGGGAGTCCCATTTGCTCTAATCAAGCAATCGGATCTGGTGCAAACTGACCACGAAGGCAATATCATTGCTGGTGGTCCGGTTCGTGTGATCAACAAAGCCGCCTATCTGATACACGCGGCCATCCACAAGGAACGCCCTGATGTCAATTGTGCGGCTCACTGCCACAGCTTGTATGCTCGTACCTTTTGTGCACTCGGTAAGACATTGGATATGACAACGCAGGACGCATGCGCATTCTATAATGTGAGTGACCCAGCCGACCTAAGCCGCACGACAATATCATGAGTGCTGACTACCTTTGCGTGTAGGATCATTCCGTCTATGAAGAGTACCATGGGATTGTGTTGTCGGACGACGAAGGAGATCGAGTCGCGAAAGCGTTGGGGAAAAACAAAGCAGTATTGATGAAGCACCATGGTCCTCTCACTGTGGGGCAAACAATTGAAGAGACGATCTTCTGGTACACCAGCCTGGAAAAATGCTGCTATAGCCAATTGACGCTTGATGCTATCGCCGCGGGTCGTGGCAGTCGGGTACAAGCAGTTAACCACGAGGAGGCGCAGGACGCGTACAACACCTTGGGCACGTCTTTTATCGGCTGGTTTGCTGCGCAGCCTATGTTTGCCGTCATGCATGAGGAGACTAAGGGTGCGTATTTAGAATGAGGTGCATCGAAGAATAGCTTTGTTCCCTCCTTCAATCTCGTGAGATCTCTTGCATTGCCAGTCAAAATTTCGTACCTCGCCGCCCAACACGATGATAACACGTATCACTGCCTGGATTGCCTATTTGCCTAGAGAATGCCTCATACTCACACACACCTACTGTTGGCAGTGAGATCAACTTGCTTCATGTTTTGCTATCTAACACGGTCTCGTATAGAGGGACTTTGCGCTCGGATCCCACTAAGATGTATGAGGGGAAATCTTCACACAGGCGCGAAAGATATAGCAAACTAGAGACTTAGACCTCATCTATTTCACAACTGCTCAACCGGCGAAATGCTAGTGCATACACACACACACACACACACACAAAATGGGGCCACAAACTGTATTCAGCTGAGTCTTCAGGGAAGATGAATCCCTTATCGAGAGCCGTTTTTCAATTGATCTCTCAGATCCGAAAGGCTTTCCATGACCACAATGTAGCTCCTGTAGGTAATTACCGACTCTTTCATTGCCACGGAGCATGCCGTTGAGATTCGGTGGACTTCTACCATAGGCGTTGGTTCCGCTCGGCGAATGAAATGGGTGACCAGCGGATCACTATGCTCCGTTTCGCCTGAAGAATTGTTACAGGATTTTGTTCGCGATCTAATCTCCGTGGTTCAAGAACATCTTAGACACCTCGAAGCCGGGTGAATTATTCTGCGTCGATAGTTCGGAATCAGCCGCATGTTCCCATCCGATAGCGATGACGGATACCACGCCGCAAAGAGAAATACGCACAATACTGTTGGTGCCTATGGTCCTCAAGCCCGTCGCCGTGTATCACGGTAGCTGGTAGTAAATTTTTACAGTGCAGGTGTTTCTGATTGATAAGACTATAGCGACCGGAACCCGCTCGTTTTTTGTGTTTTCACAATTTTCGTGTTTAAAGCAATCGATCAATGCTCGGGTCGATCTCACACTCTTAATTGCTCTTCAGTCACCTGGAGCCAGTCATTGAGATGGGTTCACAAGGGAGCGACTGGGTGACGCTCGCGTCTGCTAAGCGGAATGCTATTCTAGAACAAGTCCCCAACAAGTGGAAGATATCAGGTTCGGTGCCCTCGCCAAAAGAGCTGCCTGATGTTACCGGAAAAGTTATTCAGCAATATCTGAGTCCCCACGAGATCGAAATTACGGAAACGAACGCCATTGGCATTGTCGAGAAGACTCGTTCTGGCCAATGGACATCTGTTGAAGTCACTAAAGCCTTTTGTCACAGAGCGGCTATTGCCCATCAATTAGTATGTCTGAAGAACTGAGGATTGATCAGGAGTTGATGATGATACTAGGTCAACTGCCTTCACGAAACTTTCTTCGATGCAGCTATCGAGACCGCTCAGGAACTTGACGCCTATCTTGCAACTCACAAGAAGCCAATTGGAGCCCTCCATGGATTGCCTGTGAGTTTAAAGGACCAGTTCCACGTCAAAGGAGTTGAGACAACCATGGGATACGTGGGTTGGATCGGCACGTTTGAAGGTATCAAGGACGACCCACGAAGGAAAACTTTCGAAAGCGAACTCGTTCGAGAACTTCGGGCATTGGGCGCAGTCCTCTTTTGTAAGACAAGTGTTCCAACTACCTTGATGACCACGGAGACAGTCAACAACATTATCGATTACACCTGGAACCCCCAGAACCGACTTCTTTCTTCCGGTGGCAGTTCTGGAGGAGAAGCTGCGCTTATCGCCTTGAAAGGGTCTCCCGGGGGCTTCGGTACTGATATAGGGGGCAGCGTTCGGATACCTGCTAGCTACAATGGGCTTTGGGCGTTGCGTCCCTCGGGGAGATTGCCTTATGAAGGCGTTGCAACCTCGATTGACGGACAAAATACAGTTTTGTCTGTTGTGGGCCCGTTGAGCTCTTCTATCGGAGGAATTACGCTATTGTTCAAATCCATTCTCAGCCAGCATCCATGGCACCATGATCCATCGGTCCCCGAGATGCCGTGGCGTGAGTCGATCGTCGAAGAGACCTTGAGACTCATTGCAGAGTCTAAGTCTACGGCACGGGGTGGTCTTGCGTTTGGTGTGTTGCGACATGACAACATCGTTCATCCCACGCCTCCTGTGTCGAGAGCCCTGGACTCTGTGATTGAAGTCTTGAGAAAAGAGGGACACGAGGTAAGTCTGACCTGACAGATATGCCAAATCCTGGCAAAACCTATCTGACTGTGGATCGCAAGATTATCGAATGGAAGCCTCCCTCGCACCAACTTGGAGCAGAGATTTTGGTGAGTCAAGTATCCGTACAACATCAGAAGGCAGCAACTCACTGGCATCCCCACGTTGAATTAGATGGAAGCTCTCACTGTTGACGGAGGAGCCGATGTTCGATTCCATCTCGGTCTCTCCGGCGAGCCTCAACCGGAACAGATTGCTGTCAACCGCCCACCAGGGAAACAAAAGACGGTGCTCGAGGTTGCTGCCATTAATATCGCAAAGCGCAACTACCAAAAGGCCTATCTCGAATACTGGAATAGCACCAAGCAGCTTACGTCTAGGGGTCGCCCCATAGATGCAGTTATTTGTCCAGTCACAGCCCATTCGGCCGTCGTCCCTAATAAGAGCCGCAGCATGGAATACACTCTGGTTCCTAGTCTACTGGACTATACCGCTGTCGTTATGCCAGTCACTGAGGTCAAGAGCCAGGTCGATTTTGCTCCCGACGAACTATCAAGAGCCTACCTGAGTGAAGCGGACAAGCTGACTCAACATGAATGTGAGTCGTAATTTACCCGCCCCCCAACAATGCTTCATTGAATCTGTCCTTGACGATATTCCTTTCTCTGTGCCCCATAGTTCATTTCATGATAAGACAAATGACGGAAGCTCATTGTCAAATTTAGATGATCCCGAAGTGTCCAATGGATCTCCGGTTGGTGTTCAGCTCATTGGTCGCCGTTTTGAGGAGGAAAAAATTCTGACGTTGGCTGAGTACGTTCACGCCCAACTAAAAGGCCGGTAGGCTACGGTAGTTAGACCAAGAATTTCGATGTAGACAAAGCTGGTGAACGATCGCCGATTGCGGCGAGGTGCGTCAAGATGCATGAGTACTCCGGAGAGAGAGAGCGCGCTGGAAGCGGAACGGCTGGCCGCGGACGAAGTTTTCGCGCCGCTGCAAATAGATAATGTCGATAGGATCTCTGAGGATCTGCAAGTCTTAAATCGGTCCCGATGCAGATTGATCTTGGCTTGAAATGATGAAAGCGCAATGGCCCGATCTCCTGGCCCCGCTGCCTTCTTCGTTCTTTTCGAAAGGTGCAACCAGCACTCCAAGCACGAAACGATATCGCTCAGGAGCTCGACGGTGTTGTGGTGCCTAGGGGTTGATCTGGGCTTTCACTTCAACTTTCCGTGACGGTCGGTTCGTTATGTCTTGGTGGCGTGGATTTTCCGTTGGTCCGGCATTGAGCAAGACTTCCAAATTCTCTTGCGTCCTCGTACCGTCGCCAGAATTTGAGCATTGAATCTCGACGTGCACGTAGATAGCGCCTTCAATCCGCTAGGTACATATGCAATTCATTGCAGGATCGGTATCAACAGATAATCAGCCAGTTTGGACCGTCCAGTACTAAACCGAAATTCATGACTTGTGCCACACAACGCCAACAAATGCTCTCAGATGCTACGATTAGAGGGATCGATTGTTGAAGAGCGAACGCTGCAACTGCTTGTCGGGCAAGCCAGTTGGCTCTCGCACGGACAATACCAGTATTTGGGGGAGGGTCCAGCAGCTCGTCCCAACTATCGATAGACGTTAGGGGCTGGAAAGCAGCATAATCATCTCGTTCGTGCTCGTCGTGGGCACATTCACCCGTTGCCAGTAATTTGTGAACAAGAGGATTGGGGCGCAGATTCAGGTCCAGGTCAGCAACCCACCTGCTCTTGTCATATGCTCTTACAACGGCTTCGAGGAGAAATACCTCCTTATCATGGTAGCCTGTTTGCCCAATGTTCAGAGGCTGCTCATCTCCTGTGAGTGTCAAGTGAAGTGTCGTGTGATCAAAGTTGTTCTCGATACTACCGTCGAAAGGGGCATATTGAACCGATTTCCAGGTAGAATAGTCCGGACTCAAAGAATCAAGCCCTTGTGCTGAAAGAAGAAATGATACACCTGGTTTGCCTATGCTACCTATTGTCCGTCTCACCGGTATCCCTGGATCGTCCCTGGGGTCATTGAAAATGTACTCCGCCATGAAAAGAGAGTTTCCTGCTGACATTGCCATTACTTCTTTCAAATCGTCTGGTTGTATGTCAATTGAACCTGTCTCGAACAAGGCAAGACAAGAAAACAAGCTTCCAAGCGTGGGGTCACGATGGGTGAACCACTTGGCCTCGGAAAGAGGCTGCTTCATCACTGATAGAGAGATAGTGGCCTCGGGAAGAGTTTCGAAAATTGCGGCTGCAGACGCGAAAGCATGAAGTGAGGCGCAACAGTCTAGATCTCCATTATTCCAGACGTCTCGTAGTCGGCTCATCAAAACCTCTCGCTCAGCTTGCTGCTCCAACGCTATCATAATTTCGTCAAACGGAACTCCTTGGAGTTGATACGCAAATTGCGTAGGAAATCAAACACCAAACGCTGAGCCGTCACCAGCGATCAAGCTATATTTGTAAGTCGTACCTGCTCCTGCTCGGTCAGCTATATAGTACTTCCGAGGACATCCCATTTCCTCAGCCAGAATATCGGCACCATCATCAAGAGCGTCACGTAGTCTAAGACAAAATGGTACTGGTGCATAGGTCCCCGTTTGGGGGCCGACCTCGGCAGCTGGGATAGGCGTTCTAGTGTCTGTACCCTTCCACCAGGATTTTCTCCCAGCGTCGAAGTACGAAGATTTTTCCGATTTAGGTGTAGAAGGCGGACGAAGTGAACGGTTAAATGTGACTGATCCATCGCTCCCAAAGCCTGTAATGAGGCCCACGGGGCAACTGATGATATTACCGAACCTTGGTTGCGCCTGCGCAGTCTGAACCACCTGACACCAGTCGCGGTGTGAAGTCTGAAAAATCTCCGGTGGTGAGTTCGCGAAAGGGTTCTCCATTTTCCAATATCTCAACTTCTTTCCCGGCCAGAAGTCGGGGCCGAGCTCCATCTCTGTTATTCCATCATCCTTGAGCGAGAACATGCGGGAAAATGGATCATCGCCTGCAGGTCGAACGTAAAGACCAGCTTGTTCACCTGTCATCTTGAACAACTCAGCGCATCGGTGCACTTGAGCTGAAGCGGGACTGAGCATGCAAGAAACCTCCCAGCTTAACTCACGAGAGAAAATATTGCCCCTTCCATAAGAGTTGTTTTTCGCGTGGACAGAGGGTACGCGGCGTTGATGTTGATTGCTTAGCAGAGACAGTGGTACTATTGTAGCAAATTCTTCATGAGCTTTTGGGCTGACAGTCAAAGAATCGGCATGTGTGGGATGGGAGTGCTCGTCATTCTCCGTACGCTCCCCAAACCCAGACTCTGACCCAATGGGCTCCGTGCTCTTCTGAACTCTATAGCTGATGAAGCCCGCTTGGAGGAAAAAAGGGTTTGAAATCAAGGTTGGGAGCAGTTTTCGAACCATTTTTATCTTCTCCTCGTGATCCCTATATTGGTCAATGAAAGCTTCAAAACTGGCGAGACCAAAAGCTTCAGGGATCTTCGAGCTTGAAGATGAAAGAAAATTGGTTCCCCTGCGCTGGCCCAATCTGTAAAGCCGTTCCCGATCGACCCTTACCTGGCCGTGGGAACCCCTTATACCGCAAGCGGCTTTATAGAGTAAACCAAGCCACGCAGGTATTTCATTTGATGCTACTGGACCGGTTTCCGTCCCATCAGGCCTGCGGTCAGAAGCTTCAGAGATTGAGGAATGGAGACAGTTCATTAAAGCATTCAAGAAGTCCACAACCTTGGATAAGCCTCCAGATTTAGTGAACCAATGGCCAGTCATTGTGCCAAGAACCACGTACTTAAGATCCTCAAAATATATGCGCTCGGAATCAAGACCTAGAGAACGTGTCTTTGTGACTGGCTTTCCATAGAAGCGCAGATGTGACAGGGGTAAAGACCAGGTGATGCCGTTCTCATTTTGCGATCCAGCTGCGGGCATACCGATTGTCAGTATTCCACCAGCGTGGAAAAGAGGGTCCTGTTGAAGCACATCAGCTGTATTTGGACCAAGGATAGCCATGTCAGGATAGAGATGCCATGCTGCAAGAGCCAAAAGTGGCTCTGACGTTGATGTCCTGTAGGATTCCCCGGCAAGAAGTTTCTCGGCGATCTTGATGGAATTTTGCCAAACATTTTTCACAATGGCGTAGACATCGTCTCCAGTCGGTAGCGCCGAGTCGGACTGCTTGATCAAGTGCATCAATTGTCGATGCTGTCGCGGATAAGCTGTGTCGGCCGTTCGAAGCCACGCCCTGAGATCATTAGATAGCTGAAGCTTCTGCAAAGTCAACGACTCACCTTGCGCTCGCATCCCATGCCGCGAGTTGGTTACGGCTTAGAACAATTTCCGCCGCAGCGATGTCGGATATGTGAAATTGAGCTGACTCTGTTTGACGCTTAAGGATAGCTTTTCGTGCTACCACCATCTCGCTTAGAATGGAAGTTGCTTCCGGCATCTCCCATATGCGGGCAAGCATGCATCCAAGCAGATGCATAGCGATTGCAGCATCACCCGAGGTTGCGGCTGCCCATATACTGGTTCCATCTGCTCCGATGTGGTCTGCAAATGCACCATCACGCCTGGATCCGATGGGATTGAAGGACGGATTACCGGCGATCTTCGAGGCCCGCTCGCCATATGCACGAAAGAGATTGGGAGCATCCGGTATATCTGAGGCAAACAATGCGCCTAATTTCCTGGCAACGACGTGAAGTGGTCCAGTTTCTGCTTCTTGCCTTCGTCTTTTCGAGAGGCATGCACCAACAGTCTGGTACTCAGCCGGAGCTTCGATCTTGACAAGAGAGAAGTCAAAGTTGACATGAGCTAGCCCGACAGCTAATTTCTGTTGAGCAGAGATCAGGGAAAGATCGAGGCCTCCAATTGATCCCATAGTAGTATCTGTTCTGTTGCCTTAGGATGGATTTCAGATGAAAGGCGATGAAGTTTGCCACCGAGTGTTGTCGTAGCTGATTATGATCGATCATATGACGAGTACTTCAGCTGCCAACCTTGCACTCCATCGATGTTCGTGATTTTGCTTCGTGAGGCTGTGAGGTTGACATGAAAGAGCTGCATCTCGCTTACAGAGCAGTATCGTCGACCATTGTATGTTGGATAATGGACAGCGAGGCAGGGCAGAGGTAAGGCAGACATTGCCTTCCCTGTGGCCCACTAGCATCAATGTATTCAAGTTGGCGCTTGCAGGGTGGCGTTGACAGCCTCACCCTCAACTCGTGTCGACCCCAGAGTCTTTGATCAGACACTGTCTCCAGGTGCTTCGTGAGGCAGCATCCAAGCAATTAGTATCCACATGATCAGATCTACGGGAGAGAAACATGTGATAATTCAACTTCCTTCTACCGAAGATGGCGGTCGTGACCAATTGCCGAAGGATGAAAGTTCTGGAGGATGGATGAAAGTCGCCGGGCAGTCTCGGTTAGCCCAGCACCTCCAGTACCTAAGCTTTGGATCAGTCAGCTACTGACGCTCCCCCCACTGGGTGCCCACTAGCCTGCTCAGGTCTCGGGGGGTGGTTACTATCTGGAATTTTCGAGACGTTCAGCCAGGGAATCCGGCCAGCCCTTAAAAAAACATCAACATAGCTTACAACAACGTCAAAGAGACAAGAGTTACGACGGTCCGATGTTTCTTCTCTCTTCTAATTGGACCATAAAGTTTACATACACTTTGAAGAAATCATACATTCAGTCCTGAGGTGGTTTTATGCTCAAGGTTTCACTTCCCTTTTGAGCAGCCGTCCATGAGTCCGCCCGTAAATGCAAGAGTGGTTCCCAACCCAAACCCCCTTTCGACGGCTCAGACCATATCCAACGTGCCGCTTGACCCTTTACCTTTTGGTTCGAGGATAATAAAGTCTCGAAAAGGGGGCGATGATAGATAAAAACAGTAGAGAAAGAAAGAGATTATATTCAGTGGGGTTTGTCCGTCATTTAGACATGTTTCCAACCATTCCAAATGAGGATATGCTGTTCATCAATGATACACATTTCGCCGGACTCATCTCTACTCTCTAGCGAGCTGGAGCCTTCTTTTCGCCAGCGTTCCATTTTCCGCCCGACATCTTGAGTGGCTTTCGTGACACGTCCCAATATTTTCCGCTTGATACGGTTCAGCCACACGCCCGTCACGTACTGGGTTCCGGATACGAAATTCTGATCTGGTCCGCTGTGTGTCAGGTTGTAGGCGTTGACAGTGTAGCCGACGCGGACCGATGGGTTGACGTAGATACCGCGCGCCGCGGAGCCCATCATTGCCATCATGTCTGTATGGATGAGGCAGCATTCGCTGGCTTCCAGATGCTTGGACGCCAGACTATCCGGTAGTGCGCGGAAGCGGAGGCCATCGTAGAATGGAGCTGTGTCAAGCACGATCATGCCGTTCCAGCATGATTGAACCTTCGTAGGGCGGCCAGCCAGTATGGCGTTGCGAGAGTCTTCGGAGCGGAAATAGGGAAATGATTTCATCACAGTGCCATCGCCCTTGCTATCGCGGAGAACGAATGTATCGTAGTAGTCTGGTGGGTAGTGAAAGTCGAGGGCGCATGCCGAGGTGAAGGAGCCTTGATTGGTAGCGAGGAGGGTGAGGACGTCTGAAGGGCGGAATACCACATCGTTGAGATACAGGATTTTGTCGTATTCAATCCCCTGGGCGTGGTGATCGAAGAGGACCTTGAGAGATGTGTTGCGCAGGCGCGCGAGGTATGGGATACGTCGCAGCTCTTTGCCCGCTCCCACTGTCGTGGTCTGAATCCACCCCGCCCTTGGATTCCCTTGCTCATCGATGGGGCCCACATTGATTTCGTCTGCATGTGATGTCGGATCGAGGATGACTGATCGGGGGATATTTTGCTCTGCCAGTATGTCGTCCAGCATCTTCAGCACATCCTTCGTGCGGTCAAGACTGCCGCTCTCGTATATGCTTATGTACACATTTTCTTTGCCCAGTGTGGCGACCAGGTCGAGGAGAGCCTGGCCCCACCGGTCCTGAATGATCTTCGCATTGGTCCAGAATTGTGCGACTATGAAGACCTTCTGGTTCTTGACTGACGAGGGGAGTGATGCAACATCGTTGTATGTGTGGGCTTGCAAGTTCCGAGAGAACTCGCGATGTTGTTTGAGGATTGTGAGGAGGTCGAAGAGGAAGAGACAGGTGAGGATATAGAGGACGGCTTTAAGAAGTCGCCGGCGAGGTGAACGGCGATATCTGCGCAACAACATGGCACTTTCGACAGCTGGGGTACTCCATCTGCTGTGCTCGCATGTTTCTATATAAAAAACAGATCGAGCATTGGGTTAGAGCGGGAAGTAGTAGGGGGTCCAAACAAGAGAGTAAGCCAGTGTATTGACATGTAGGTTGGGGGCGGATATCCGCAGGCAAGCAGGCTCTTTTTTTGGTTGCGGACGAGTTTGGATTTGATAGATAGGAGGTCGGATAAATTGACACGTGGGAGACAAGGCTGACTCGCTAATCGCCCCTGAAATGACTCGCGCGCAAGGCTGTCGCATGTGCACCACAGCCTTGCGGGCCACACGTTCCTTCAATGTCAGTTCATTATGAAGATCATGGACGAGTCGGAGCAACATTGAGACACAGGAAATAAACAATAATGCTTTAGGAGAACAATGCAATATCGAATGTTTGTAGGATAACACATTGGATCTGGCTATCTGTCTCTGTGAGTTCGGCGTTCAGGGTCTAAACACAGTCTACCATGCTAGAACCTCCAGAAAGAAAAGTAGACCTGCATCTGAACAGAGGACGAACATGCCTATGTGCTTATGGTGAGATATTTGGTCGGTGTGCTGATAGTTAATCGCGAACGACTTCTTTTCACTCTCATTTCACTTGATATCCTGTGAATGAAACCCGACGAGGCAGGGAGTTGGACGTGAATGTAGACCCTGATTTTGCCCTGAATCTCGTCACATTCTGTCACCCGTGAGTCCTTCACCGTCGCAAGTGAATTCGAGCTGCCTCTGCGCGGTCTATAAGTATTTCTTTCTGACTCGATCTTTCTTTCGCGCATCTTCTCCCGCTACCACTCGTGCAACAACTTTGCTCTTGCTCATTCAAATTCCAATACCTCAAACATCAAACGAACTTGCTATTCATTCAGCTCGAAACACATTTCATTGTCCAAGAACTCGCGCGTCATCTCAAGATGCTGTTCTCCAAGCCTCTTGCTCTTTGCGTCTCTGCATTGGCATTCATCACTCAGGTCAACGCAGCTCCCGCTGACGCATTCGAGATGATTGTCAATGGCGGTGATGTCGAGAAGCGCGACGAACCTCCTCTCAAATTCAACATCGACCCTGACATTACCACCAGCACCGACTGCGGTCGTCACTGGGACGCGAATATCAATGTCAAGTCGTCCCCCAACTTGATCTTCACCAGTGGCGCCTGTGACAGTATCCGCAACTTCATCGGTGGCAACGACGGCGACAAAGATGTCGAGGTCAACTTCCCTTGCCCTGGCAAAGCACCTGACAGCTTCGGGAATCTCGACACCAAATTCCTCGTCCACATTGATTATTCTGTCCCTGTCGATATGAACATCAAAGGCGAACAGAAGATCCCAGCCCAGCTTGAGGTTGTCGATTCCAAGAAGGGTTTCTGGAAGCAGGCCGACGTCCAGTTGGGTGGCATTGCCAACAAGGACAAGAATACCATCAAGTACCAGTTCATCTACTGCGTAAGTCATCCCTTCTTCTTACCATTGTTGGACAGTAGCTAATTGTCATCACAGAAATGAACGCGCACTTCAACATCATCTTTCTCCCACGCGTGCCGAGAAATTTGACTTCCCACATTGGTTCTGGTTTACACGAGTGGTATCTCTGTAACCTCTTATTTGTCATCACGAGCAAAGTCCCTCCAGTTTCTGAGCGGCCAATAGCAGATCGGTAGTGAAGAACAGGCGCATGTGGGATTCGCCTCAAATCCAATTCGCATGGCAATCAGACAGCTTCCAGTCGGTAAATTGGAATTTCATCATCACCACAAGACATGCCTGGCTTCACCACCGCAAGTAGTTAGCCACTTAATCAAGTTCCACAAATACAATGGATATTGATTAGCATTCCTTCCTTCGCCCCTCCAATCTGTAGTCATAGTCTTTTTTGCTTGAGTGATGCTCTTTTGGTTGCTTTCCTATCGTCCTCACCAAGGAACATTGCAAGAGACCGATGGAGATCACTGTTGTATTTGTTGACAATCAATTCTGCTCGGAATGATCTCAAATGAGGATTAAAATATGTCTTGTGCAGAGGCACAAAACCTGCCATTAGGTAATGTCGTAAGTGCACTTTGATGCACGATTGCACACTGATGTTGATCCTTCCCTAAACCCATCCTTTTTGTTTTGATACATGGCTTGAACCTCATTAAACCAGCTTGTCAAGCAATTGCCGTCGTCTGCGGTCGACCAGTTCATCTTGAACTTCTTCTAGTGTGGGCAGTCGCCATCGTACTCCATCTCCTGCATCTCCAGGTAAAGGCTCCCACTCCTCGTCAGATTGATCGGCTTCGCCAGAACGAGCAATCCTCTCGACGGCCTCCTTTTCTTTCCTCCGTTCATATTTCAGCAGCGTTCCATCCTCTTCGTCGAGTCCAAAGCCGAAATAGGTTGCATCCAGATTTTTGCGATTGATATCCTGGCCAGCTCGGGGTTTGTCATCGTCCTCGTCTCCGTGTGTTCGCCGCTTCGCAGCTCTTTTAAACATCTCTTTCACACCCGGTAGTTCCCTCGCCCGCCCAAAATACCTGTAACCCTTTCCACCACCCTGGACTTCTCGTCCTTGATCATCGAACACCGCGCCCCCGCCCCGCATATAATTCGGCCCTCCAAGCTCTCTGATTCTTCTCTCCCATCCCCATTTCTCCTTCATGAGTTTATTGATTTCGTCGTTAAGATCTCGCACTTGGAAGTCCGACAGACTCTCGTCCTGGATCTTTGTGACTTTTCGCGACACTTCTTTCAATATTTGTCCACGCCATTTCTCACAGAGCGGGATGGTGCTGACTGTACTGGGGGCTTTCGGGCGACGGAGTGAAGAGCTTGGTAGTAGACCAGATTCGGCGGCTTGTGCAGCGCGAAAGCGAAAGAGCATAGACTGCGCTTTTTCCGAATTGCGCGCCATGGTGAAAAGATGAGATGGACGGTGCTGGAGTAGTGTGCGGGGATGTGTACTGCGTAAGATAGCTGCGACAGCCTTCCGGGCTGGTCGCAAGGGTGCTTGTACTCGTCTTTCGAAGGCTTGAGATCGATAGAAGTGCCCTGACCTCAAGATGTTGCTATGGACATGGTCGGAGTTTGATGGTATCGATAAAGGCTTTCGATATTGCCAAGACAGATTTAAAGCGCCAGGCTGGGGCTTATTATTAAGGACAGAAAGTGCTGCCGCTTAGAAGTTCTTCTTGAGCAAGCTCAAACTCTAACTACACCCTCAACATTTCAAGATCGTTCCAGATTTCTGTCAACACAGCATACTGTGCAATCATTATCAAATGCTTGCGCTTGGTAAAGGCGTTCAAGCTTTGTGCTAACGCTCTGTTACAGCTACCCAAGTAATCTAATATATGTCGACCGCGACTTCTATCAGATCTCCCTGACCCGAGCAGCCTTACCATTCCTGAGGCTGTCATGTACTGCCTCGATCACAAAGACCGCTCTCAACCCATCATCTATCGAGCAATTAGGCGAAGCTTCTCCTCGAGCCGTGGCGATGAAATGCTTGAGCTGATGTGAGAACGATGTCTTGTTGTCCACCCATTCCTGGGGTGTCGTATCTTTCTCGAGCGAGTAATTCCAGTTCTGCTCTGCATCCGGCCGAGTGCCGTAATGATAACGAGTTCTGTGACAACAAGTCAGTACGAGTCAACATATGCCCTACAAAATCATCCACTCACAGTGATGGTACACTAATCGAGCCCTTGGTTCCGAAAATAGTGAGGAAGTCTTCACCTGTGGCTGGGAAAACTCCAACGTCTCCAGTACCAGCTTCCCATGACAGATGCGAACTGGCAACGCTATCCAGAAATCAACTTCCTTCATCGCTAGGGATTTCAAATATGTTCGGACTTGGAGTAGACTTACTCGGTGAACAAAAATGATCCAATGACCGATGATGCGAACTTCATCGTTACTTGAACCGTTGAATCAACAGGGAATGGCCTCTCTTTCGGTCCTTCGATTGCATGAACCTCTTCAATATTACCCAGCCAATATTGAAGCATGTCCATCTCATGAATGGCATTTGTCAACAGCTGTCTCATTCGTCAGTATCAGTGCAACGTTTGCCATTGAGAATTGTTCTCACAACTCCGCCAGATCCCACCTGCTGGTGCCATGGGATACTGAAGTATTGCTCTGATTTACGCTGTGCCCAGACTACAGTCAACTGTTAGAAATTTTGCTTTCTGCAACAAATCCATGGCATCTTGGTCTCACCTCCATTGACCGCCACAACACGGCCAAGCTCATTCTTGTCGAGAACGTCTTTTATGGCTCTGACATAGCAGTTATGCCTTCTATGATGTCCCACCATGTAAGTACCGTTAGTGTCCGCTTTACAAATTTCGAGGAATTTGCGTCCTTCGTCCCCAGTTGGGGCAAGCGGTTTCTCGATCAGAACTGTGAGCCCACTGCCCACTAAGGATTCCGCCATAGGTATGTGAGTATGTGTGGGTGTTGCAAGGATGATTGCATTTGCTTTCAAGTCACCTGCTTTGTAGGCACTCAGAAATTCTTGGAGATCTGCGAAGCTCGCCACCCCGTGTTGCTTTGCAGTCGAAGCAATAGAAGGGTCGTTATCGCTTACTCGATTGTCAGTACTCAGCTCTTCAACAGGACCAGGGACTACTCCACATGAGTGCCGCTAGTTCTGCAGTATTTGGTCAGCCTGCAAGACAGTAACACCATATCCAAGAACACCATGATGGGACTTACCAGCATCGTCTTCATTCAGGATATCCTGAACGTGCGATTTTCCAATGAAGCCATTGGCTCCGGCTACAGCCTTATCCTTAGTTACCACTTTGCGATTCATCAAGCATATTCAGAGCTTACTATTCGAAGTGGTAGTTTTGACATTATGCACGTGACACGCAACGTCAGCTCCTCAATTTGGAGTGTGTTTTGGATACGACCAATCCCTCAGCATCACATAACCTGCCGAAACCGATCATTTAAAGCCCTAAGCCTTTCGCACGGGATATCTCGTCAGTGCCGTGGAGTGCTTCTTCCGGTTTCCTTTCTCAAAGGATCAACCCGCGAACAGATCCCGCCAAGGCTGCCAGACCAGAATCACCGGAATAGTGAAAGTCCGGGACAACTCTCACCTGTTTCTAAGTTTAACATCCTTCAGGCTACGAAGCATTTCTGAATCGAATGCCGTTCTTATATGCTAGTAATATGGGTATGTAGACTTATTATGTACACTAGATACTGCTATTCACTCATATCGACGTGTCTAATAACAATAGGAGACTCGCCAAAAAAACAAAAACATTTATCCGAGATATCTTTCGACGTCTCAGATCTCAAGTGAAAGCTCTGCGTTAGGCTTAACTCTTGTGAATTGAACCCGGGTCTTTTTTTGTCAACAAATCCATCCACGGATGAGCACCCATTAACTATGAAATCTGGTATCAGCAGACCAAGAAGCGGATGTCTCTTACACGGTTCACACCCATTAACTATGAAGACTCTATTGGAGCCCCAAGAAGCGGTTGGTGACCTCGCGGTGCTAGGATTGTTGACCACAAATTGCAGAATTCAAATATATCTGCTTTCAAGACTAGGGTGTGATATAGGGGCCCAAGGCGGAAGGTCTGGCAGTTACGTTGGTGGCAATTCACTGCTTTTCCATTGAACGCTGGGGGAATCTAGGCATCATCATGGATACTTTTGGCCATACATGGTCACTCAGTTCACGCAGTATTATCACTAAAGCCTCTTCGATGTCAAAAACATCTTTTACTCGGGAATGCTATCTTTCACCACCACCTAATAACCATGCTTCCCCTTCACAACACCGGCGGCACCGCCTCCACGACCATACATCTCCCTGACATCAGCGATCAAATGTGTCGGCTTCTCATACGCAAAAAAGTGACCGCCGGAATCATAGAATCTCTCGAACACCACATCTCCTTGGGTCCGTGTCCACGTACTCGGATAAACTCTGACTTCATTGGGTTGATGCGTCAAGCCCAGCTTTCCAGGAATATACTGCCTCGTGTTCTCTCTCGTGACACGTTTCTTGGGGTCATCCCACCGGTGATACTCCTCGTAGTATATCCGCAAACTCGCCGCTGGGCCTGCCGTCGAGAACCAGTATATGCTCATCCAAGTACAAATTTCATCGTCGGTCCATGGATATTTGTCAGTCCATTCGCATATCTTCTCATAAATCCAAGCAAGGAGACCCATTGGTGAGTCTGCAAGCGCGTAGCCCAGCGTTTGCGGCTTAGTACTCTGCTGAGCGCGATATCCAGAGCTTTCTTTCAACATCCATTCGGTCCGCTCGCGGCCTTTGATCTCCCGCTCCGTGTCGCGACTGGTTGCATACTCGAGGGCAAGAAGAGGATTCTTCAGAAATGACGGCGGAAGCCCTTCATCCATATTCACATGAATGGCCTTGCAATGTTGTGGATAATGCAAACTCAAGGTTCGAGTAATGTGGAATCCCCAATCTCCAGCCTGGGTCACATACTCCGTATAACCCAATTTCATCATCAACTTCTGCACGAGTTCTGCATACTGTGCGACGGCAAACCCTCTTTTCTTCGGAGCATCAGAGAATCCGAAGTTCGGCAGACTTGGCGCAATAACATGAAATGCCGGTGCTTTCGGGTCACTTGGTGAAGACAGCTCCTTTACGATCTTGACTGACTCGATGAAACTCCCAGGCCATCCATGCACGAAGAGCAGTGGGATGGCATTCTCCACCTTGGATCGCTGGTGGATGAAATGCACGTTGAGAGGATCAAAGCCCTCGACGGTTATCGGTGTCGTGAATTGCACGAATGTCGTGTTCAGTTCCTTCTCAGCTGTTCGCCAGTCATACTCGTCTTTCCAGTACTTGGTGAGACGTTTGATGTCGGCTAGTGGTGCGCCATACTCCCAACCGGCATCATTGAGCTCATCTGGGAAGCGAGCGAGTGACAGACGAAGCTTTAAGTCGTCTAGTGCTTTGTTGGGGATTGAAATTGTGAAGGGTTTGATGTCTGCCATTGTGGTCGGCGCCGTTGCAATGTGTTCGATTTATTATTAAACATATACTGCAGTACTTTCAGATAGTGCTAAATTTTTGAGTCGAAGAACAATGAGGTGTTGCTATGGTATGGCATAAATTGAAATGTACGCTGGGCTATCTTTTGACTCCGGGGTGAATTACCAGCATTCCGGGAAGTGTACGTCCCGAAGGCTGGCCAGTGGCTCGTCTACAGCACCGGGTCCCTAGTATCCACAGACTTGCCAGTAAACACTGGACACAAACGAAGCCTGAAAATTGGTGGTCATGGCCAGAGGAAGGGAGATGTAGTGGATCCTGCCGATGAAGGGTGGGACAGGCAAAAGTTCCCGCTGAAAATGGTGGAAATGCCGGAGTATAACTCACCCGGGGGAAATCTCCTGACTAAACTTTCAGAGTTATTGCTAAGTCGATGACATACACTGGGATCAGTACGCGTAGAGCAATCATATTGACTTTGGGTTCTGATTTCATATCCGATACTACACTAGTTCACCAATTGAGCGTTTGGTATAACCATCAGAGGCGGTTGAACAAAATGGCAACGTCTCTCCTCTCAACCGTTCTTTCCCCGAGCTATCAAGGCTAGTCGTGACATCAGAGCCATTCGTCAATCTCACAGCTATGGCCGCCCAGCTCAAGACGGCCCTTGCAGAAAGTGTCCGGACTCGGCAAACGCCAGGTATTGGCGCCATCGTCATTGACAAGACCGGCAAGACACTTTTTGACGAAAGTTTCGGAACATTGGACGCGAACAATGATGCCTCAAAGGCTTTCACAAACGACACGCAACTCTTTCTGTGGTCGTGCACGAAGTTGATTACCAGCATCTGCGCGCTGCAACTCCTCGAGCAGGGAAAGATCCAGTCATTGGATGACCCAGTCGCCAAATATCTCCCCCAGGTGGGAGAGTTTAAAGTCTTGGAGAGATTCGACGAAAATGGAAAACCAATTCTGCGCAAGCCGAAAACTGAAATGAGGTTGATTCATCTCATGACCCACACAAGTGGGCTAACGTATGACTTCTGGGAGGCCGATAGACCCATGTACGAGTATCGTACTTCGAAAGGACAGCATGTTGGGTCATATACTTCAGAGGAGAATAACGAGTGGCAATACCATGATTTGTTCCTAGCCTTTGACCCCGGTGAGAAACACCACTATGGGGTCAACATGGACCATCTTGGCTTCATTGTTGAGGCTGTCAGTGGCTTGCGCCTGGAGGAGTACATGTCGCAGAATATCTTCAAGCCTCTCGGCATGGACTCATGCGGGCCACAATTCAAGAATGAAGAATTTCTTCGAGTCCACATAAAGGATGAGAATGGATTAACGACCATCGATGGATTTCGGCCGCCCAAGAATCCATGGCGTTATGGTGGCGGGCACTTTCTTATCGGCTCATTGAGGGATTACACGCAGCTCATGCTGGCATTGCTGAACGCCGGCTCCCATCCAGCGACTGGGCGGCAGATTTTGCGACCAGAGACCGTAGAGAATTATGTCTTTAAGGACTTCATACCCGTTGTTGGAGCATCGCCAGATGGCATTGGTACGTGCACCAAGGCTATAACACCCAACTCGTCGAATGCTGGTGATGTCGGATACTCATTCCGAGACTCACCCTCGCCTCGGGGTTGGAGCTGTGGGCTGATGATGAACCTTGAGGATGTCGTAGGTGGTAGGAGTGCTGGATCTGGTTCATGGGCAGGGCTGGGTAACTTGTACTATTGGGTTGACCCCAAGAAAGGTATTGCTGGGATAATCGGGACAAATGTACTTCCCTTCCTCGACGGTCAGAGTCTTAGGTTATTTGAAAGTGTTGAAAGGCTGGCATACACCTAATCTGTCTAAAAAAGAGGACCATGGTCGTCCAGCCGCCTTATGCCACAGAACTGTCGACCTTCTTAGGCGCATATTCCTGGAAAAGTCTTTTTATCTGGTGCCAGATCGTTTCTGATTGTTGCATTCGGATTTCGGATTGAACCGTTCTTGATTTAAAGAGCACCTCAAGTAGGTCAGATGCCGTCCTCCCAGAAGCATCCTTCACCTTGAAACCGGCACCACCTTTGAGAAGCTCGTTGATGTTCTGACACAGTTCAGACTGGTTGATTGAACTTTGGGTTTTTTTTCATTCACGGAAGTGTACGTCGCATCATAAGTTCTCCACAAAGCAAGATGCATGGGAGTATCCCCGGAAGTGTTTTTTGGTTCAGTATCGACCCCTGCCTGAACAAGCAGGCTGGCAATGTCATGGCGGCCCATCTCTACCGATGTATGTAATGGAGTCATGCCAGAATCATCTGTACATTGTACATTCGAACCAGATCGAATAAGTAACGTGAGAATGGCAAACACACGCTCCTCCTTTCGAGAACGTAGCTGCTCTCTCATAATAGTCCACGCATTTGCCTCCGGGTATGGAATAGAGCTGTCGGCACCATGCTCAGCCAGTACCAATGCCAGGTCGAATTGAGCCTTTGATACTGCATACCAAAGTGGAGTCTTATGGGTGATATTGGTGATATTGGGATCCGCGCCTCCGGATAGTAGTTGTAGTGCGACGTGCTGAAAAGTTTCAGTCTCACCCGCGAGACTGAGATTGAGACTGCCTCCGTCTTCATCATCACTCTCATTCTGACAGAGCACATGTAGTGGTGTTTCCCCGTACCGATTATAGATATTAGGGTCGGCTCCATGGTCCAAGAGAATTTGGATTGCATCGATACTTGGTTTCCGAAGTCTGCATAGATTGTGCAATGGTGTTTCGCCATTCGAGCCATGGGCATTAGGGTTGGCATTGTGACCTAAGAGTATGCGGATTGTATCAATGCTTGGTTGTTGAAGTCTGCACAGATTATGCAATGGTGTTCTACCTTGCGAGCCATGGAGATTAGGGTCAGCTTCGTGACCTAACAGAAGCTCGATCGCATCGATACTTGGATGTGAGCGTCTGCAAAGACAATTCAGTGGTGTTTCACCATTCGAACCATGGGCATTTGGATTGGCTTCATGATTTAGCAAAAGCCTGATCGCACCAGTATTTGGGAGTTCCAACCTACACAGACCATGCAAGGGTACGTTGCCTCTATCATCGGCAGAGTTGATGTCTGCCCCATGCTCGACTAATCTTGACAAGACTTCATCGAAGTCGGCGTGGCGGGCGGAATCTCGAAGGCGCCGGTGAGTACACAACAGCCCGACCGGTGTGGTTTTGGCATTATTGTCAGCGGACTGGGTGCTAGAATTGTTCCTCAGTATGTGACGAGCATCAGCACCGATATCAATCGAAGCGAGCAAGGCATTTATTAGTGGAAAGTGGAACATGCGACATGCTTTGATGAGCAGAGACTCTCCAGAGATGGGATCGGCACTATGGATCAGTCCTAGAATTTGATCCTCCGAGACATCTCCACGCTCACGTAGTGTGAGATAACAGGCCCACCATCGATCGAGAAGATCAATGCGTTGACTCTCCATGATATCAAAAAGGAGTGTCCGGCTCGTTGGTAGTGACGCATATTGCTCATTGTTTAGGGATGATAAAAGTGCTGAATGCCGCAACTGGTGCTCAAACGAAAGCTCCATAACCGACGTGTTACCGGCGTCGTAACCTGAAGAGAACAGGTCAAAGACAAATCCTGGCTCCACCACAATTTCTAGCATGGCTTCGGCCCATGAGAGTAGATCATGCCGTACACAGAAGGTAGCGAGGTTGGAATATGTTTCCCATTCAACTCGAAGAAGAGAGAACCTTTCCCACATGCCGACGAACAGCTTGACAACCTTGAGAGGATTTGCTCTTTGTGATTGAGCAATGCTAGCGTGCGTGATGATTTCGTCCATTGTGTAAAGGAATAGAGCGGAGATGTCCCACCGCAGCTGCTGCGACTGGATACTCCTGCCGCCCGAGGTGATACTATCCTCAGCAGAATTCGAGAAATTCCAAGCTGATACCTTGATACTAGCAGGTACCCTAAGCCTGTCGTTTTCAAGTCTGAAGTCATCCTGCTCAGTCACGCTGACAGTAGGCTGCAAAGCGACATGCCTTTGGGCGTCAGCATGGCGCAAACCATTCTCAATATCAGGCGCGTTGGGGGAGCTTGGTGCACGAATACCCGGAAGTTGTGGATGGTTATCCCGTTCCACTTCCGCGAGCCAGGATTGCAGCATAGTCGTATGGTTATCAGTTGACGAAGAACTCATCCAATATTGTAGACCTCGCGGATGTAAGTGCGAGTCATCTTCTCTGTGATCTATCAAAAGCCCAGATTTTGGCGCAGCTGGGTCCATCGGACCATTAGCTATGATATCTTTGATACCTGAATGGTTCTGAGATCTGTCAAAGGTTTGGTGTGCGTTTTGTGAGCCACTAGGAGAACCAGTTGCTGAGGTTCGACTAGGAGCGGTTGAGCCCGCAGAACTGAAGCTTTTGACACTTACTGGGTCGAAATCTGACATGCTTTCCCGGTCGGCTTTGATACGCGAATCAGTAGTGCGCGCACAAACAGAATCGCTTTCCGATGGGGGGTTCTAGTCTGAGTTAATTTTAATCTTCACAAAGATCGTGCCGACATTACCCTAGTCTTTTGGTCTCTCATTCTTTTTTGGGGCGCCACAGAGAGCATGAATGGATCTTCCGTGTTCCCTAGCACTTGCGCAGCACTGTCAAGTTCCTGGAGCTTCTTGGTGGCCTTCTCGGCTTCCGCCCGGATACGCCTTGCTGCATTAACCAAAGCATCAAGCACTTCAAGTTTCAAGAAGTTCAGGCATGTTTCTATAATCATCAGGTGACTTTCACCATCAATGGCCCCTGTCAGCGGCAATGACATACTTCCCAGTGTTGTAAAGCAGTCACGAAGGAAGAATGTGCGAACAGAATCATGAATAAATTGAACTGTCCGTGTTTCTCCAAGATCAATATCGAGGGAGCCTGCAGCCCCATCAACAGACCCAGCGTTGAAACTTTCATGAAGTAAAGGATTATCCAAAGCGTCGATGGAAACTGAGTGATCGATATTGGCCCCTGATACATCGACCAAGCCCATCGTCAATGTCTGAATCCGCCGAATCAATTGATCTTCTCGATTGCAAGAGGACTGCCATTCGATCATTGTTTGGGGTGGAGGATTGTGGATCATAGGCAGGATATGATGCCATTCTCTGAGCCGTAGATTTCTGGTACTGAAAATCACCCATTGGAAGATCTTGGTCGCAAGTTCGCGATCACTTTCGCAGAGCTTCCCATCAACTAGTAATTGACGAAAGATTTCGTCCAACTCTTTCGGTAGAGCTAAAAGCCTTGTGCCAAGTTCTGATAGAGTTTTGCCACTGTCGAGATCGTGCAGCAACATGTCTATCACTAGCCTGGCCCACAGGAAGATACCTGAGGACTTTGCAACGATATCCTTGACGAGGTTTGACACATCTTTGGAGTCTATGGATTTCCTGGCTGCAAATCGGGATTCTGCATAGATCTTGAGGTCTCCTTGGTTGCATTGGTCGACAACGATCTCATAACACTTGTTCTTCGTCTCCATCTGGAACCATGATCTGCTTGAGACCAGAACATCCAGCATAATGTTATGCTTTCTTGCGGTAATCATGAGCTCATCAAGAAAATACACAATCTCGCGAGCCTCATATGTCATCACATCTTTCTCCGCAGAATCGTCGCATTCGTCCAGTGCATCAATGAGTAACATTGTAGGAGGCAACAACCTTCTCTCGAGAGCAGTCACAAGAAATTCCTTCAGCTCGTCGCTTCGCCAATTGAGGTTGCTACCCAACGAGTCCTCGAAGAGAAACATCGGATTGTTATACGACCACAGTTCAACGAGAAGTTGCAAAAGTGCCTGATCGGCAGCAACAAGCTGAAACACTAAGGAGCGAAACAATCCCTCAGCAGTTTTCAGAAGTGAATGCTCCTTGCCACCAAAGAAAAACGCTGGTGTGAGTTTATGGCGTCTGTCGCTGTCAACTTGCAGCATCCTCAACTCTTGCTTCATGATCGTTGATTTTCCCGCCCCTGGCTTGCCTCTGATCCAAAGGAAGCGGTTCGAAGACCTGTGAAAGCGTCTGACTGACCATGCTTTGTAGTGATGATGCCTACGGAACCAAACGCAAGTGTTAGGAACAGGTGCTTTGATGTTGTTTCTCCTGGCATGCATAAGAGGAAAGCAGAGAGATTTGAGGCATGTTGAAGAGAACGAGTCGATTGGAGAGGAGATATCTCTCACACGAGGGCGAGTTCGATCTTCAAATGTAGCCCGGTTCTGCGACGCCGAACGTACACTGTCACACATCATTTTCAATTGACCTGATAGTTTCACAAAGTTAGGATCACCGGGATCTCGTATGCGACAAATTTCGGTATGGTTGCCTTCAAGGGTCTCGGCATGCTCCGCTACATCACCCGTTGTGGATGAATAGTCAGGAACGACCTAATGAAATCATTTTCAGCAAGCATTAATTTATAAATTAAGCTCTAGTAACAGAAGCTCAATTCCCCTTACCTTCGCGTTGAGCTTTCCTACTCCCAGTGATTTCCATCCACTCCCCTCGCGGAAAGTTTTGATTGTGAATTTATACTTCTTTCGAAGCCGGGAGAAATCTAAGTGAGATTGCTCGAGTTCCGGAGTTCTTAGGCCAAGAGCTCTTAAGAGTGACGGATTATTGTCAATACCGCAAAAGGCGGCTGTTTTGCGCGCCAGTTCGCCAAATGTTGCCATGTCCTTGCTGCCTTGATGCGGTGTTGCAATGAATACAGTGGCAATCGTGGACACAACCACGTCTGAGAGCCCAGTTTCATCATCAAAATGCGCATTGTGGGACTCTTTAAGGACCTAGGGCGTTTTGGTCATCGCTTTGACGCTTTTCCAAGTTTGATTGGAACATACCTGCTTCACGATAATGCCGCCCAGTGAATGGGCAACCCATATGATGGGCTGCCCTTGTTTTCGTGATCGTTCGAGCGCAAGCAGAAGGTCGGTTGCATGCTGGAAAATACTGTTCTTATTCACAGATGCCCCATAACCTTTGGCAATTCGAGAGTCGTATCCATATGTCAAGACACGGGCAGATGAGCATACTTTTGGAAGTAGATCTCTAGGCCAGAAGACGGTGGGCGAGGGTGTAGGAGATGGAAGAGTCACTCGGGTTGGTCCAAGATGATCCACGCTGATCAGGCTCTCAGCATTCACCTGGGACAAGGCTTGAATTGCTTGTGGGTCCTCAAGGCTTTGATTTCCAGGCTGATCTGCTTCGAGCGCATTCTTCTTCTGCACTTTGGACAGAAACCGTCGGGCCAGAGATCTTCTCGACAGCTCTTTTCCTGTTACCCTGTCGGCAACTGAGGTCGTGTCGTTGGCTATCTTTACGGCCCATGTGTTGAAAGGATGGCCCCCAAGACCGTGCACAAAAATTACACTGTGTCAATGTTAATACCATCTCATATTGAACGGAGCACAGTATCCGGGAGAGGGTAAATGTACTCCACTACTGCTTCTTCATCACTAGGCTCGTATACCAAAGAGAAGCCAATGTCGGCGACAAGGGGGTCTGAGAGCCGGACCATAATTTTGAGCCTTGAGCGAGGTCGGAGCTAGCTTCTGAGCAATAGGACTTCTATCCAAAATGACAGTCTTATACTATTCCGATTCTCGCCGTGAAATGTGATATTGCTCTGCATACCATAATATGTTGATCAAGGCTGGAGAGGAGGTGGGTAAATGGAGGGGTTTTTTTTTCCAGCCTTGTGCTTGTCTTTCGGGGCGAATTGTGTTGCGAAAGATTACGGGAGCCCAGGCAGTCAAACGTCGTCGACACATACTACAATCACTGGCATCGAGTGATTGCGAAGAAAGCCGACAACCTGGATATGACAAAGTGTCGGAAACAATGAGCGATGAATCATGTTCAGTGTTCCAAGCCAGGAAATGGTTGACCGACATGAACCAGGCACCCACCAGGGTGGGTTCTGGTGTGCCCGATTTCTGAAGCTACCCCTTCCAGGCATCTCGTCTGCGAGTCAAGCACGTATCTGGCACCTATCTCGCTACAGTGTGATTGCTGAGTCACTTCCAAAGGCAAGTAGACAAGTTGGGTTAGAGCTACAACTGTCACCTTAGCTGGCACTTAACTTAAACCAGAGCCGCTATTGGGAGATTCGGCATGTTTGCCGAAGAGCTGTTGATATCAAGGGGGTCCCTGGTGCTGGATTCTTAGGTAATGACGTACCTGAATTCGACATTCTTCTTGAGTACTTAACTAGGTGCCTAGTAGGTAGCAGCTTTAGCTAGTTCCCCAAAGTTTGACAGACAGTGCCTATGTACAGTGTACGAAACAGTGTTGTATCAAATGGCCTACAGCTCATATGTCTTACGCATCTCTTCGGCGAACTTCATGATGATGATCGGGTCCATCACACCCCATTTCTCCGCCCGCTCTGTGGCCTCGATGAAATGCCGTATGGCCAGAAGTAGCTGTGCAGCCCATCTAGCACCACTCCAACCACCGTACCCAGTAGCAAGTGGTGTCATCAGGATGGAATTGATTTGACGCCAATGCTCTGATCCAGGCTTTCCAACCGACACATTGTGCTTGCTTACCGATGCCAGGAGTGACCAGATGCATTCATAGACGACTTCTCTATCCCAGGTCACCTTTTGAGGGATCTTCATGGTGGGACATAAAGCCAAGTATCGGCAGCCCCATGGTTCGTCTTTGAGGCTCTCAGTCTTGAGGTCGATAATCGTGCAAGTCCCTGGAGGAGCGAACCCTCTCCATTCCGTGTAGACAGCTTGTTGAGCATGCTTGGTCAAGGCGAGATAATCCTCCTTAGGGGAGAATGCCCTAGACAGGGCATCGTCAAAGCCACCATCAAGCCTAGCGTAAGAGTTCGCTGGAGAAACAATTGCATCAAATGTGATGGACGCTGGTAAATCAGCAAGCCGACTTTCATGCACCGTGATGTCGACTGACGGAGGGAGGGGATACTCGCTTTTGGCAGCATTAAAGGCGCGTCCGTAGTCATCGTCCATGAAGAGAAGATGAATCTGGGGTATTTGTGATCTAGATTGGGTCGCCATTCTCAGTTTATGCAATGGCTCTATCAGATGTGTTTTTGAATAAAGGCGCGTCTGCCTGCAGATTAGGCACAACCGTGGTTTGTACCTAGTAGGCGGCCTACTACTAGGTAACTAACTAACTAAAGGTTGTCAGACTATATTTTGCTGTTTCATGAAACCAGGCACAACCTTCCCAAAAAGGACAACCGGCACCTTCATTAAACCCCTGGCAGGATGGAAAGCCATACGCCCCTAACAGCCCCACTACGGATGACGCTAACTAAGTATCATTAGGTGATGAACCACCGATGAGTGCCTATAAGCCTCAGTCATGATAACTAATCAACATAACGAATACCACTAGCAAATCTGTGACCAGAGATGTCGAGTTTTCTCTTTCAATCATCTCTCGTTTTTCAACGTCGTAAACAGTGAAATCTAATCTGCCTCAGAGTTCTGACCTTCGTCTTTTAGAGATGGAAGCACTCGAGCTGCAACGATCACTTCCGGTCGTTGACTCCCGTAGGTCTTCAATCGAAAATGAGGTCCTGCCGACCCAAAGCTTCAATGAATCGCACCTGCCACCAGTCGACAAAGGAAAGGATGCTTGGTTGTTTCTGGCTGCTTGCTTCCTTCTTGAGGCCATGATATGGGGTAAGAGTGCCCGCGATCATCTTTAGAAGCGAAGTCAAGCTTACAATTTTCAGGATTCGCTTTCTCGTTTGGTGTCTTTCAAGACTACTACAGTACGCATGAGCCATTCTCTAACGAAGGCAAAATTGCTATCATCGGCACAACAGCAACTGTAACGGCGTTTCCTACCATGTTTCGTGCTCATACTTATGGCTTATTTAGGGAATTATCTACATATCCGCACCAGTTGTCTTCGGTGTGCTTTTGTCTTACCCTCAACTAAAGCGCTGGTCATGCCCAACGGGGCTAATCATTATGTGCCTATCGATCAGTCTGAGCTCCTTCTCAAGGACAACTACAGACCTAATCCTTTCGCAAGGAGTAGGGTATGCCGTTGGAGCTGGACTAGCATACGCACCAACGATTTTATTCTTGGATGAATGGTTTGTCTTAAGAAAGGGGTTCGCCTACGGGGTGATGTGGGTATGTACATTCTATTTTTGATGTTGATGTTCCTTCCAAAGGATTTACATTCTGATTGGGCTAATCATACGTTCCACAGGCTGGAACAGGAGTCTCGGGAATTGTGCTCCCAATCCTAATGCAGTGGCTTCTTAATTCATACGGGCATCAAACAGCGCTCCGTATTTGGGCCGTGACGTTGTTCCTTTGTACGGCGCCACTGATACATTTCGTCAAGCCCAGACTTCCCATATCCCATACTTCGCATGTGAAGAGGTTCGATTTGAGTTTCGTGTGGAACAAAGTCTTCGTCATCTACCAGGCCTGCAATATCGCTGAGGCACTCGGATTTTTTCTGCCCCAAACTTATCTACCTAGTTATGCACGCATTCTTGGAGCCTCCGATTTGACTGCAACCCTTACGCTTGTGGCGGTGAATGTCGCTTCCGTCTTCGGTTGCATCTTGATGGGTACTCTTACCGACAAATACCATGTTACAACTTGTATCCTGATCTGCACGATGGGTGCCGCTCTTGGCATATTTCTCATCTGGGGGCTTTCGACAAGCATTGGCCCACTGTATATCTTCTGCATTGTATACGGTTTGTTTGCTGGTTCTTTCAGCTCTACTTGGCCTGGTGTCATTAGAGAGACTCAAAAACAAAAAAGGTCTGCCGATCTAGGCATGGTGTTCGGGTTCCTCGCTGCGGGCAGAGGTATTGGCAACGTGGTGAGCGGGCCACTGAGTGAGGTCCTGCTCAATGGAAACCCATGGAAGGGTTCTTTGGACTTCGCATATGGGTCTGGGTATGGGCCTCTCATCGTCTTCACTGGAATGACAGCACTTCTGGGGGGATTCAGCATAATTGCAAGACCATTGAAGATGGTGTAAGGCACCAATGAATACTTTTACCCACGGTTGTACCCTTCTTGGTCACTAATCGTCAACTTCATATTCTCCCAAATTGGTGCTGCTCAAGAACAAACAGTCTGAGAACGAAATTGTTCTGGATTGGTCTCCAGGTGAACATCATAAGGCTGAAGGTCCCGGCGATGCATCGCGTGGGCAGACTTCTGGCAGCGGAATTTCTTCGTTGAGATACAAAAACAATCATACTATTGACTATCTATCGACTAATTCCGAAGCACGCGTAATGGCCCAGCGTGTCCAAGTCTTCTAGTGGATCTAAAAAAGGCCAAAACCCGATCATACACTGACGATTTGATTCGATTGAACGAGAATCCACGCTACATGCCTTGTCCTTCTCTAGCGTCCAGAAATACACGGTTCGGAATAACACAGCAATTTGACCCAGCCATCAATCAATTGTGGCAATGCAGGTAATGGGTTGAGTTTAATGGGCGCAGCTTGAGAACAAGCAGCCTCATATGGACCAAAAACTCATTAGAGTTTGCCTGATATCAGCCTTGTCTAGTACACATCAATTTCATATCATTACTAGCCACTGTCCATTGAGTTTATCATACTCCCAACCTTATGATGCCCTTCTGATTCTCAAGCCCCTTTGGTTTCCTGGTACTCGATCAAATACACGTTGACGAAACTGCGTTCAGCTATCAGTGAGAGTCTATGGGGACGATGGGAGCGCCATTTCGTCGTTGATGCTGAGGAACTGCGCAGAGTTTGCCTGTCCCGTGTGTTGCGGGTCTGTCTGCCGCAACTCACGACTTGTTGGTTCTAATCATCTGTTGAAGAATCACTGGAACCATTCGCTCAGTGCTTACGCTCCCGTCTTTCTGAGCTTCGCCACCGCGTGAATTTTGGACCCGCCAATGTCAACCTCCAACTGTAGTCTCAAGTTCCACTACTTCTCTATCTATGGCAAACATGACGAGAGTTATGATCTCTGAGTTGCTTTTTGAGTACGCCTGCGCGATTTGGGGCTGCTCCCCCTTCTGATGAGAATTACAAGAGAATGCTGTGGGAACGCCTAGTCAGGAAATATAAATATCAAGCCCGTTGGAAAAGAAGCATCCTACTCCAGCGAAACCCCGTCGGTGTTCGACTTCCTCAATTCTGACAGTTTGCGAGACATCTATCATCGGACTTCCCAATATTCCACCAGTAAGTCTCTCAAAGTTACTGGACTGTTTATGCTCATATTCATTGTAGTTACCGCAAAATGGATTCATTATGCCCACCTCTACCAAGCAAAGCGCTCACTGAATGTCATTTATCCCGACTGTTGAAAGATATGCCAAACAAAGCTAGACGCACGAACGTTCCTCCCCAGTTTTTGACAGATGGTAACGATTTTATCGTAAAGACTGGTCCATCAAAGGCTGTGAACTGGTTCTGCTGCCAGTGCGGTGACGGAGCTCTCAGCATCAAGTACGACATCGCCTGCCCACAGCACCATTGCCGACACAAGCGTTGTCAATATTGCAAGTTGGAGCGTTTATGAGAATTGTCTAAGAAGCCATAATGTGGACATCGCTCAGAACAAAGACACTCAAGGGAAAAATAGGGAGAGAAGTCTCCAGCCACGGAGGGACACAGTGCTCTTGAATGATGAGGTTTCTATGCTTCCAGTACCAATTTCCGTCCTTAGCAAAGCATCGCAGGGGTTTAGCACGGCTAGCAGTCCCTCGGCGCCTGAATGGAATACTTATTTTTGTAATAGTCTGTCCTTTCCTCCTGTAGAAGATCTTCAACAATTGAATTTGTTTCAACGTGTAGACAGTTTACTAACCTCCTATGGGGGCTGATCTTGTGAAGATTGTGCTGAACTCATACTGCACAACACAAGCCGGGTCACCGCCGGCATCACCTGCTCCTCCTGGCATAACACGACTGCCAGTCAAGACCCCTTCGTCTTGTTTCAATGCACCGTGACGCAGAAGAGCTGTCTCTGAACCTAGAAGGTTGTTTGCCAAAGTCCCAAATCCAACGAATACACAAATATCGCCCAAATCCACAGGTTGGGGATATGATGAAAAGAAGGGCGAAGCTGGGCATGGAGCACCGAAGGTGGCGGCTGTGCCTTCGAATGAAGAAGTTTCGCTCGTGTTTCTCTCCTCCGGATGTCATTTCCTTGCTTGTCTTACGTCTCACGGTCATTGCCAGGCGCTGTATGTCAGACAGGGCAAACAAGGCTGAAACACGGCAACCTTGATTGCCTCAGGCAACCGCGCCAACCTCTGCGCTTCTCAGATTTCTCTACAAGTTACAGACAATTCGCAGCCACAATGATGGAGGTCCATATACGAAGTAGGGCAGTGAACTCACCATTTACTGTTTTAGGAAGTTCGCGATCTCCAGTCGTGATGTGTGGAGGGATGAATTGCTTGAAGCCATGGAAGCCAGGCCCCACTATCTCTCGTAAAAAGGGGCGCTTTCAGCCTTGCCGCAGGGCTGGCGTCCTTTTGGAATACGAGGGCGCAGAACCTAGAGTTTTTTGACTTTCTGTATCGAGGAATATAGGTATCATGCTCCACAACTCGTTCCCGGCCAATTTCTGGGTAACTTGAGCAGGTAAACTTGAGTAGGATATGGATGATGATGGAGATAGGGGAATACACTGGAGGAGAAACAGATTTGCCGAAAGTTGAGACAAAGTTCACCGTAGCACTAAACCTCGGTGGATCATTCAGAGCAAAACGCAGGGCTGAGATGCGGAGAAACATCGTGATTTCCTCTTGACATTTTTATTTCATCTCGGAAATTGGTTCAAGGGAAACTTGCGAAGTTTTGGAGTGTTGTATGCCAGAGTTCGGCAAGAGCATGCGGTAACAAGTAGTGGAGCATCCAGTTGCTCACCCATCTTAATCGTGGCCACTCAAGCACTCGGTCTGCCATTATTCAGATCACCCTTCCCTCATTAGACACCATGGCTCAGTGGTTTCAAAGACACACTTCCACGACCGTCCAGCTCGGAATCGCAGCGACCTGCGGTGCTATCGCTGCATCCACCATCCTCCTCACAGCCCATGCGATCCACCGACGGCAAGCGACCGAAGAACTCAAAGCCTCGATCCCCGAGCTCTCCCTGAAACACCGCGCGACAGAATTGACCGAATACGGCGGCGCGAGTCGGCCAAGTATATCGAATAAACAAGATGAACGGTCAGCGAAGATTGCCGCTCGGGCGAGGAAGGGAGACTACGACGAGGAGCTGATCCTTGAACAATTGGCGCGGAATCGAGTTTTTCTGAAAGACGAGGGATTGACCAAGCTGCGGAATTCCTTTGTCGTGGTGGTCGGTCTAGGAGGCGTGGGGAGCCACTGCGTCGCAGCGCTGGCCAGGAGCGGTGTGTCCAGAATACGGATCATCGATTTCGACCAGGTCACGCTGAGCAGTCTGAACCGACATGCGCTGGCCACGCTGGCGGATGTAGGCACACCAAAGGTACACTGCGTGAGAAAGCGACTGGAGCAAATCACGCCCTGGATAAGAATCGATACCCGGAACGAATTGCTGAGTTCTCAGTCCATGGAGACGCTCTTGGGAGAGTGGGACTACGAGCTGCGCGATGACGATGACGAGCATAACCGAGACCCAGACTGGGTCGTGGACGCCATCGATAATATAGACTCGAAAGTCGCGTTGCTGCAGTATTGCGCGATCAAAGGGATCAAAGTCATCAGCGCCATGGGTGCGGGCTGCAAAAGTGATCCGACACGGATTCAGGTTGGGGATATATCCACCAGCACGGACGATCCGCTGTCGAAGTCCACGAGACGCCGGTTGAGATTATTAGGTGTCAAGGACGGCATTCCAGCTGTCTTCTCGTCCGAAAAGCCGGGAGAAGGCAAAGCTGAGCTCCTACCGATCACAGACGCAGAGTTCGAGAAGGGCAATGTGGACAAACTTGGCGTGCTGCCGGAGTTTCGAGTCCGGATCCTTCCCGTGCTGGGTACGATGCCCGCTGTTTTTGGATACACAGTCGCAAATCATGTCATTTGCAGTATTGCAGGTTATCCCATGGACTACCGGATAGGGGACAAAGGTCGAGATAAGATGTATGATGGGATACTATCAGGCCTACAGGGCCTAGAAGGACGACTGGTCCGAGCGACCGACGGGCAAGATGCCGTGGGTCTTCGTCTTCCCATTGGTCGCGACGATGTATCGTACCTAGTCGAAGAGGTCTTTAGAGCCAAAAGCGTCGTTAGTGGACTTTCGACCCGTCTGGCACTGATACGGTGGCGCAAACCTGCGGGTGGATTCAAGATCGACGAGGCATATCACAAGGAGGGCCAAAAGATCATTAAACTACCTCTGGTGGAGCTGGTTGTGATGACCAAGGAGGAAGCTCAGAAACATGAGAACCTGATCTTGAGGGGTGATTCCACACCCGAGCAGATCTACGAACCTGATGTGTTGGCCATGGTCAAGAAGCGGCATGAGGAGGAACGTGCATATGAAAAGTACAGATGACATAGAAAATGGGATCGGACTCACGTCCCCAGTGAGATTCTGTTGCTGGCCAATCTAGAGCTAGATCGATGTATCCATACTTGTTGATACACCACCATCAAGGAACACCTCTCCTAATTTGAGTGATGAGAGCTACACAGCAAGTCCAACTGAATTCAGTATCTCACAAGATATTCAAGGGCCGACACCCAAATCACTCTCCAATTGCAAGGTCGCAAATCCAGTGCGTCTAGAGGTAGCGAACTCCCGTAGCTTGGCATGTGCAGCACACTGCTTGTCGTAGTAGTCGTAATCTTCCTTTGACTTGAATGTCGTGATGGAGATCAACGTGTAGCCCTGAGCACGTTCTTCGGCGGCGTTTTCGATGCGTCGTGCTTCGTTGGCGACGATATATGGTTTGCCATCCTGGATTATGGTATATCAGAGGGAACGTTTCTACAGGCTTGCAATGTTCCAACATGTAAGTGAAATGGGGGTTTACCTTTTCAGCAGTCTTTCTGAGAATATCATATTCCGCGAGCACGGCTTCGGTGTCGTCTTCTTTGGGGATCTTGAAGAGCGTCACCCGCTTGATGTATTTTGGTGCCATGGTTGAATACTGTAAGATACGGAAGGGAGGATTTTGGTATACAAGTTTATTTGAGAGAAGTTTTTGGGTCCTACAAGTGAATAATAACCTCCGATGAAAGAAATTCATGGTGCTTTGGGCAATGGGTGTCTAAAGCCTGAGGGTTGCGAGCTGTGCGTGCACTTTCCGCTTTACACGGAAGACGACCGCCATATCTCCGCACGTTCATCGGATAAAAGCCGACCGGGGAGTTGGAGACGATGACGCGAGACTTAGACTTTGGACAACACCTTTGGTCGGGAATAGGCCGTTGGCTGTGGTTTTGGCACTTGACTGGTACGAAGGTAGAGGTGGGAGAGCATACCTAACTGTAGCCACCAACAACGTGGAGAGCCATTACTTGGGAATATGTGAGGGCTATAACAGAACCTGGCCAAAGAAACGCGAGGGGCAAATATATCGCAAATCAATATCTCATTGGGTCCTTTCACTATCACACATTAGCAGCGATTGAGATGAATCCTGCCTTTAGCAAACACACGGCAAATAGGACACTGCGAAGTCGGCGCTCCATACGTCTGGGCCACCGCGTGGCATCGGTGAGAATCGGTCTGGGCAGAAACGGAGCTCCAACCGAGAGCCATGCCGCTTTAAATATGTAGGTTCCATTCCTTGATGTTGCCGACCCCCTCACCATCTTGACTCAGAGGTATGGTCGAAGAACTTCTTGTGTGTGATCCCATACTTTTGTCTGTGCCTTCTCTCGGAGTACAGGTATGACTCTCGTGTTCGGGGTACAATCGCACTTGTGATTGACCAGAAACAGCCCAGTTGTTTCTTGCTCCCTTGAGTTAACGCCTGGCTTCCCCTTCCAGGGTATGCCACGACCACCGAAAGCAGCACTCGTACTCTGAAAAAGATGCCTTTGCGCAGACTCATTGTCACTGTAGGAGACTAGGGCAAGAAGAGGCTCTAGGAGAAGCCTGATGACCCAGACCATGATCGAGTTGGGGCCGAATCCTCTTCTGACACTTCCAGTGTTCACAGCGCCAGGCCAGGAATGAATGAACGTGATATCGGTATGATTGGTGGCAAGTTTGTCCAGATATATCGAGTTCATGGTCCCGTATTGGCCCTGTGCAGCCACACCACCAAAATTCCCGGGCTTTTTCAAATCTAGATCGTCCAAGTTGATACTAGTCACCCTTTCCAATCCTCCAGACAGCACACTGACGACTCTAGGATTCTCCGATAGTCCAAGGAGGGGGAACAAGAGTGTAGTGAATAGCATTCGCGAGTAGTACTCAAGGCTTTGAACGGTCTCCAACCCTTCCGTGGTCTCTTTGCGCTCACCAAAAGGTATGTACCCAGCCGTGAGGAACAGTAGATCGACGCGCGACTCCTTGGCCTTGATAACCTCGCATATTCTTTTCGTTTCTGAGAGAAGTGAGATCTCGCCTTCTGTCCAGATGACTTCAGCCTGGGGGTTGATGGCCTGCAATTCGTCGATAAGGGTCTGGATGCGCTCTTCAGAACTCTTACGTCCCACCAGGTAGATTCGTATGCTGACACCAGTGTTGACGAGAGCCTTGACTGTCAACTGCCCGATCCCTGAGGTTCCTCCAACGAAGACGGCCACTCGTGGCGCATTAGCATCGCTTATCAACTCATTTGAGGCTTGTATTTCCCTGTAAGAAACCATGACAAGAGATGAGTTATGTCCTGGCCACTGGATTTTGGTTGTCAACGACTCCTTGAGATAGTCTTTAGGAATGTAATAAATGATTCTCAGAATCTGGAATGTCAAGGTTCTTCAAGGCACGTACACTGCTGGTATGCAAAGGTCCCAGACAGGAATCGTTGGGTTGATGACAAATCGAAATTGGCTGCCTGGTCTGTAGCCTACCTAGGTAATTAGGGAGATTGAAGTCCCGTTGACAACTTCGATTGTTCTGTACAGGTATACATCCGGAACGCTTGGCATGTTGATATTATAGCCCTATTCCAGTTAGACACAGGATTCGATCCACCGGCTCATCCCAACTCCACATATGATTCCAGTAACTTTTCGAACAGGTCGCAAAGGTCTCATAACATTATGATTACACACCATATGCACGCAATTAATCAGTGGTAGACTGCTGTGCAGACAAATTTCATCTTCCAGCCTCCCTAGTACACATCAATGACGGAGATTGCTACTTTCGTACCTTTAGATGGATCTTGTCGTGGATGCTTCATTCACTGCCATCCCCAGGGTTTCCCCCTTCTAGGAATCTGAAGAACTGTATTTTATTCCCATCTGGGTCTTCGATCGTAAACTGTCGATAGCCCCATGGCTGGTCTTTGATCGGATCGACAATCTTGACTCGACCTTCTGCCTGTAGTAAATCATAGTACTGGTCGACGGCTTCTGTTCCCAAAGCTATCATGGCTGTGCTTGGACTGAGACTTTCCCCAGTATTGTTCTGGAAAAGATAAATGTTACCCTTCATTGCGCCGATACCGATCGCGACGGAGCACATGTTTGGCTCGGCGGCATCTTCAGGATCGATCCCACCAAGGTTGAAGTGAAGATCTTCAGTGTAGAACTTTACAGATCGAGCAACTGAGCTGCTCGAGAAGTGAGGTATCACACCCCAAGCCGTATTGAGGATTTTTGTCGCTGCCATTCTGATTGCCTTGGTTGATACAATCGCAAGGGTTGATGATCCAAGACGTTATGGCGCCCCGGGATCCCTATGTAATTTACGAGTACAGGCGAGTTCAGGCTCCAGCGGGTGCCTGCAGTCCAATAATATAAAGCGGCACTATATTTGTCCTGAAGTGTCGGCCCTGATCTTGGCAGCCCTGATGGATTCTTGCCTGCGAACTTGGAACAACTTGACTCAGAGCCATCACCTGACTTGGCCTGCCGCCGATGGTGCTATCGGTATCTGCATCTGCAATCACATCTTGCTTGCTTCAACCCTTCCGATACAGTAGCCTTGACTCCCTCCAAGTACTCCCACCTCGCCCACCTCTCCCTCCGCCCTTGTTGGCTTCCTTCTTCTCCTTTATACCGTCGTTCAACTCCATCCTCATACATGTTGAACACATCTCTGCGCCGTGTGGCGGCACGCACGTGTTCTAGCACATCCTCCCCAGTACCATCTCGTTCGACCACTCCCATCGCCGCATCCTTTACGTCCCATGCACACCAGCGGAGACATTCGTCGTCCAAGCCTCCCGTACCTCCAAACAATGGGTCCCCTTCTATCCCTGCTGCTGTGAAGCAGGTTGAAACTTCATCCAACTCGAGACAAGCCACAACCGAGTCTCGCCCTTCACGAAGGCGAAGCGCAAAGGACAAATTAGAAGCCAAACAGGACTCTGAATATGCCAACTGGGCCTCTTCTCTGCCGAGCGTCCCCAGTCTCCAGCTGAACCCTAAAGGTGCTTGAAATTCATAAACACCCCGGAGGGTCTCCGTGCGTATCTCAAGGCTGATCATGACCACCAGATGTCTATCTTGCCGCCTTCTTTGGCACTTACAGACCGACTTCCATAACGGGTCCAGTAGTTCCAGAGTCTTCAATGGCTGCTGTGGACAAGATTTTCCAGCCCAAACCCAAAAAAGCTCGTACTACCCAACAGGATGTCATCTACACTCTTTCATCCGCCATCGAAAATCTCAATGACCAGCTCTCTAGCAAAAAAGGAGAACAAAAGGAGAACGTAATGAAAGCGTTGGTTGAAGCGGCGAATAATGCTATCGAGTCCAACGAACCCCATCATCTTGACGGTGCGCCTCAGTCTGTCCACCCAACTTCGCCAAATGTGAGGATCGCTCTCCAGGAGATGGCACGCAGGTTTCGGCCGTACAATGTACCTCCTGCGCCGGTACCTCTTGCAGACCCCGAATCAAAATCTGCCACAAATCAAGAAACAGGGAACGAAATGTTCCTCGAGGTCGAGGTGACGGAAGCTGGATCAGAGCCATACGTCCAGCACGTTGTTCTCCATGACCAATCCACCGAAGACCTTGAGAGCAGGGATTTCTTCACCAGCAATGCGGCACCCAACATGGAAATCGAAGACCCTACTGGTTTCCAGTATATTGTTGGAGAAGAGGTTGATTCCACCCCTATGGGACGTCGTCAACAGGGACTGTACCGTCGCCCCACAATGATGGCCATTAGTGTGAAGAGACAAAGACGGCTGAAAATGAAGAAGCACAAGTTCAAGAAACTGACTCGCCGGTTGAGAACTTTGAGACAAAGGCAGGGCAAGATATGAGTTGTCCTTCCACCAGAACATATCCATTCAAGGCTTCTGGACTACCGCCACACTTTCTCACGGGTGCTCGCGCTCCTTGCATCTTAGTGGCGTTATAGCGAGATTTGCGAGCTTGCAGTTCTTTCGCATTTATTGCATCACATCATATGCATTCACCTTTTCAATCAGTCTCTTCTCTCCTCTTTGGCCCGTTGGCAGGATTCCCCTACCAGGCCGCGTAATGCATTGAATATGTGGGTTCTGCGACAGGCAGGACAATGGAAGCTGGAGTCAAGATCATTATGAAAGCCGCCATACACACATATAGAGAAGACACATCTAGCATTTTCATGATTCGGCGTCTGGTCCAGGTTGGACTGCTACTTTGTGGTGGAAGCGTCTAGTAGAATAGCAAAGAAATTACACCCAACCTGACCAGAAATGAGTCATCTTGTTCTATTCAGATCACTGGGATACCCCATAATCCATTGACCGTCACATGTATGAAATCCCTTTTTGAATTCGCGCTCAAATGCGTTCTCTTCTCGTATGCTGCAGAAGTGGAGATTTCACGAGCTACGAACCTTGGAAACCAACCTGTACAGGTTTGAACCAAACCATATTCTAATGGCGGCCCCGCGGGAGAAAGAACATATGTTCTAGGCCATCCCTGTGAGTCGGAGTAATAGAGCGACGAGGCTGTGAGCGGCAAAACCTTCATCCACAGGATTCCAGAATACCCGTTAAAGGGCGTAGAGAAGTGGAAAAGGAGGCCGTGGGAAACAAAGCATTATCTATCTGTGGTACTATGTAGAGTGTACAATGTCGAACCCTTCCTTGCACTACATTGCACACGCAATGAGAAGCGTTTGCAAGAGTTGCTAGAGAAAAAAAGTTCGTCGAAAAAGACTTCTCCCTACCCCGATGACGAGTACCACATGATTTCAGAGTCAACGGTTGTATAGCCGCTCACTTTCCCATTCCGTGCTCCCTGTCGTGCACGGTGATCAAACAGAGGTTTTGCTAGCATTCGTACATGATTGGGGCGAATATTGTCCGACCCGGAGTAGTGGTTAGTTGTGTAGAGGTGTGTTCGTGATATAGAAGTTCCAAGGTGGTCAATCGTGGCAACTTAATTTCTGAGTTTTGGTTCTCTGTGAAAAACCATCCGATCGTTGTGCATCCGTCTCGTGTCCTTCCCATCTGGATTCATGAGGAGCGCTTCCAACGCAGGCGCTGCCTGAGAACTGTTGCTGTCTGGGGGATGGCGTGTTTAGACCATGTCTAGCAGTGCACATCGGTCTGAGCCTTGGAGTTCATCAATAGAGCAACAATCAATCCGTACAGACCCAGCACTTCGGCGAAAATGAGAATGAGAATCATGCCGACGAAGAGACGAGGTTGTTGAGCGGTACCACGCACACCAGCGTCACCAACGATTCCGATAGCAAAACCGGCGGCAAGACCGGATAAGCCGACGGAAAGACCAGCACCGAGTTGAATGAAGCTAGTGAAAAGAGCTTCTTTCTGGGAGAGATTGTCTGAGATCAAGACGGAAACGACCAGACCATAGATACCAATGATACCAGCCATGATAACGGGCACAATATCTGGTATAGTGTTAGAGTCTGCGTACACAAAATTGGAAACAGCTGGGTGAGCATACTCTTGACGATAAGATCCGGTCGAAGTACACCCATTGCGGAGATACCAACACCAGACTTAGCAGTTCCATAGGCGGCGCCAAAGCAGGTGAACACAATGGCGGACGTGCAGCCCATGGCACCGAAGAAGGGCTAAATAGTTGATGTGTTAGTCTTCGAGTTTGATCTTTGGGAGCTTATTATGAGATGGGCAACGAGTCGCGTTGGACTGCGTCATGGAAGGGCTAATCGTGTTCTAGGAGAACATACCGCATAGACGGGACTAGAAGGTGAAGAAGGTCAGTCTATGATGATCTCGAGCTTTTACATAGCCAAACAGTAAGAGAAAACAGGTTCCAAGCACAACGAGCTTATCGGAGAAGTTGTTGGACAAAGGCGTCTTTAAGTCTGTGGGCTGCGCTGGGAGGCAAACTTACCAGAGATCTGAAGACATGTTGGCTAGGTGAAGGTGTTTGTGATGGTCACAAGGATGAAATCGGTGAAAGGTAGAGAGAGTGGCGGTGTTTGAGACGAGAAGAAGACGATGAGGAGTGGGAAGCTGGGGAACAGATTGATGATGCTGGGATTGCAAAAGATAGATCGAGGTTCCCTGCGGTTGGCGAATGTATAGCAACAGCAACTTGAGGCAAGCTTGCTTCTCTTGGCTGGAAAGGGGAAAGCTGGCCTTGGCAAGCTTCTTGATACAGCAAGTCGGCCGAAGTCCGCCTAAACTATTTGACTGAACTTCCCACGTGATCTGAGCCGAATCAGGCAAGTATGCCTGGTCCGAACATTATCATTTTTTTCTTTGCGCCCGCTACCACAAGTTACAATTCCCTTCACCACCACCTCTTGAACTTCCAAAGCAAAGGGCGAGCCAACGCAAGGAACCCTTTGCTACAGACATAACTCGGTTCTGTTTTCTTTGTCCTTGCTGAGATACCCATTTCCGTTCTACACCGGCGTCAGTTGTAATAATTCCCAAAAAACCAAACCAGTCCACCTCATGGCCGACAACCCTTCCGCAGCATGGCCAGTCGCTGACTCCGCGCTGGCCACCAAAATCCTGGACATCATCCAACAAGCTTCCCACCAGCGTCTTCTCAAGAAGGGTGCCAACGAAGCCACCAAGACTCTCAATCGAGGAACCTCGGAAATCATCATTCTAGCTGCAGATACCAGCCCGCTTGCGATTCTTCTCCACCTACCCCTGTAAGTCCTGATCTATTACTGGGTTCTGGGCCAATTCTAATTTTGCGCAGCCTTTGTGAAGACAAGAACGTGCCCTATGTCTACGTTCCAAGCAAGACCGCTCTCGGCCGTGCGTGCGGCGTCTCACGATCAGTCATTGCTGCCAGTATCACAACCAACGAGTCCAGCGACCTGATGCCTCAGATTCGCGAGTTGAAGAACCGTGTGGAAAGACTAATGATCTAAGCCGACAATTCTGTTGGGATGGTGGAGGAACGAGTTCCGCTCGCCCACTGGAATTGCCTGGATTTTGTGGTGTCGACCTCACTAGGAACAAAGGAGCTCTGCAAGGTGTTTTCATGCCAATTCTGATCGCATCTTGTAAGGCGACTACTGAGCCATGCTCAATCTACTTGCTGAATAATGAAGAAGAAAAAATCTGAAACGCCGCTCGGCATGAACAAATCCAGGATATTCACATTCCAAACTCGTGACAGCACTCTCGTTCCGTCTGAACCAGTCCATCTATCAAAACCGTTCCATCTTCTGCGATCATCGTCCTGAGCACCCAAACTTCGTGTGGCATTGCAGAGTTGTGCGTCGCTAAGTCTCAAGGACAGCGTGATGCAGACATTTCAGCTGCTTCTGCAGGATACGGCACTCCCGGTTGAGCCACCGTTGAGTCCTCGTGAACATCGACCTCCCTACCGTTTGGCATCGCGATTCTTGAGTCTTGACCCCGACTCTTGCGGAACAGGGTCATGCTAACAAAAGCCAGTGCCACAGCAAACAGGATACTGAGAAATAGATTACCCATTAGCAAACGAAGACTCCTTTCGCGAATATCTCAGAAACGCAAAAGCTTACAACTCAAGCCCCGCAACCCCGACACTTGCTCTGGTAACAGCACAACCGATGGTCCAGGCGCGAAGATAATCATCGTAGACCTTGGTGCGAGGATCGGACCCAAAAGCATTGATTACGATATCGAGCGCCGCGCCGAGGAGGACTGCAGCGGCCGTCGATAGACCAAATCCAACCAACCACCAGATTGTGCTTAGAACATCCATGATTAAAAACATGGCAATTGATTTGATCTCATCTGGGAATTGTGGGATCACAAAGATTGCCGCTGGAATGTAAATAGCAGTCCAGGCAAACTAGAAGATCGACTAGGTTAGTCTCGATACCCTCTCAAACTCGTTGGTTGTATGGAGGTAAAGAGACATACAGCAAACCAGCAGAATCCAAATCCAGGGTACGCATTTATCTGTAATTGCAAGACACTAGGTCAGTCTTTGGTCTTCAGCCCTTGATGAGATTGTGCCTTAAGTCTATGCTCTTCCCTTTCCCACCATCTACTTGCTAGAGAAGTTGGACTTACAAACGTGGCCGTATCAGCTGTGGTGTCAACGAATTTTGCCGCTGCGAACGCAGACAGGATCAAGGATAACACGGCTAGGACACCCTGTGCAATACGGAGATAAACGAACCATCCTGGCAGGATGAATTCCGGTCGGTGAGCTTGGGCGTATTGGAACATCGGGGGAAACTTCGTGGCACTTGCAGTTTTTCAAATCGCAATTATCCCCAGAAAGAATTGTATGGAAAAGAATGGCGAAAGAAGCGAGGTCGAGAAAGACAGAATTTTGGCTGGAGAGACCGAGATCACGAGAAACGGTTCGACAGGTATGGTCTCCATGAGCCTCGAAGACACCGGGACACGAGGATTGAGGATCTATTTGAGGCGATCATTGCAAACCCGCTCCTATTCTGTCAGACTCGGCCACACAGATCCACAACACTCTCGCAGACCTATGCGTCCCAGAACTTCTAGAGCTCACACTTACCAAACGGATCTCCAATTTGCCCAGGGGGG